TTCTTGCTTGTCTTTTGTCTACTTTCACCGAGTATGGTTCGTCAAATGTTTGTGACTCTTATCAAAAAGGACTTTGAGTTTACTTTTCTATTCCGTTGAAGTTTCATTTGCAGATACGATTAAGTGAGGAATAGGAGAGGTTAAAATCTCCGATCTAAGGTCTTATTTTCTGATGAAAAGATGAGTTGGTGAGAGAAAAACTTCGATCTGCAACTAGCATGGAATTTATTTTATTTCAGTAATTTCTGCTCAGAGTTTCGAAAGCTATCATATAGACAATAAAAGCATTTTTTCAAATGGTGTTTCAAATAAATGAGTAACGTATTTTTAGGCACTTATGATTGTCGTTATCGTGTCTTATTGCGTCATATTTGTGCGCTTTTGTCTGTAAAATGGGATGATTTTGAGAATGTTTGTTTCTTAATTACATTGTTCTAAACATTTAATTTAAATTAGAAAATAGTATATTAATTGTTTAGGGATCTTCAGAACATCGAAAAGTTTATCTCATCAATGCTCTGTTTTAGATAGAGGATGCACTAGTTGATACAATCACTGGATATCATTACAAAGAAAACGAGTAAGTACTATTGAAAATATTTTATTTTTACATATTTGAAAATTTCTGGTCATTTGAGATGATATTTGTTAAAATATTCTTTCATTTTCATTTTCATTATCATTATGATTTTTTTTTTCACTGCTTTCAACACATGAGATTTATGTGTGGATTAAGCTGTTTTACAACAACTTGTAAAACACAGACTTCGATCTCCAAAACTATTCATGCATTGTAGAAGTTACAGTGAAAATATTGAAAGGAATCTTTTTACCGCCCTACACCACCACTCTTTGCCCTTTTTTGATGTATAATGTTTACATTCACACTGTTTCGTCATGATTGAAAGCTCTGTGAATAATGATTTCAAAAGTGAAAATCTGATACATGAGCGGTTTTTATAATCAAAAATAAATGCCAACATTTTTTTAAAAAGTAGAAGTGAAAAGTTCTGTATTTGAATGCATAGATTATGAAACACGAAATTCCGTTTTCAGAGAACAAAAAATGGTAAGAGATAAAGCTGCGAAACTGAAAAAAATTAAGCGATATGTTATGATTGGAGCAGCCAGTAGTATCGGTGGTGTCTTACTAGGTGGAATTTTTAGTATTCATATTCTTGGAAGATTTCTAGATTTCGCATGCTGTATTATATTTTTTGAATTTCAGGAATAACGGGTGGGTTAGCAGCACCGCTGGTAGCGGTTGGTGCAGGGGCTGTAGTTGGTGCTGGAGCAGCAGCAGGCATTTCAACAGCAGCGGGCGCTACTATAGTTGGATCATTATTTGGAGTAGCTGGTGCGGGATTAACGGGCAAGCTATTTGAAGTAAATTGAAAAAGTATAGATGTTCATTGCCAATTTAGCAAAAGGTCCTGTCGTTCTTATGAGTTCCTTGATCCACAGATAAAATACTCGCTTCGCCGACATGGATCTTATTTTCTATTTTATTTATTTTTTGTTTTACTTTATTTTATTTACTTTTTTTTTCTTGTAATCTCACGTGCTAACAGATTCTAATCGATTTTTAAGTCAAATTTTTATTTTTTGAAAAAAGTGGACTTTATATCCAATCAGAAATTTTCGAATTTATTCGTATTTCACTAGTAAACTTCACTTTATATTTAATCTTTCTATTTTTCAGGTTACAAAATGCGAAAACGAGTAGGTGCAATTGAAGAATTTGTAATTCAGCCAATTTCTGAAGGACAAAGTCTGCATTGTGTTTTGGCAATTAGTGGATGGATTGAAGATGTAAATTTGTAATTTTTTTTTTTTTTTTAAATCACAGTTTTCAGATAGCAGAAATATTTTTATTCGTGATTTAATCTTCTGTAATTAAATTGAAAATAAAAAATATTAATTGATTTTATTCACTTCGAAACAGTCCACTTAAATTGCTAAAAATTGCAAAAAAAAAAAAATATTTTCATGCAAAATGTTGTAGGTTGATGTTCTTACAAGGTTTTCATGATATAACTGTTTCCTTGTGCCCAAGTCGCATCGCTTATCTCTGAATTTTGAGACTTATTAATCTGAAATTAGAAAGTTTGTCGTTTTGTATTGGCGACCATTGTTGTGGCGGTTATGTTAGTGTTGGATCTATCTAACATTAGTTAATTGCTTTTTCTGAATGGTTCTTACAAAGTTTCCGTGACATAACTGCTTCCTCAGTTGGAGTTTAGTTACCTTTTGAATCATATTTTAGCAAAATTTTGAAGAATTTGTTTTAGCAAGGAGAACGTGTTTTTCAACAGCAATGGAGGCATTTGTGGATGTCGCGCGAACAATATATTTTGCGTTATGAAAGCAAATATTTAGTAGAATTAGGGCGAGCAATTAATTATTTGACTTCTTTTGCTGTATCACTTGCTGTTCAACACACTCTTTTGGAAACTGCCTTTGCTGGTATTTTCTTCTGCTGATCTTAGTTTCTGATATCTCATGTTCGTTTCTGATATTTTTGCTTTCCAGTTTTTTCCTTTAAAATTCCAGATGAAGGAAACTATTTCAGGTTTAGTTGCTGCGGTTGCTTGGCCCGTGGCACTTCTTTCCGCATCTAGTGTAATCGATAATCCATGGAATGTTTGCGTAAGGCGAGCCGCCGAGGCATGAATTCCTATAGTTTGCATTTTTCGGAAGAAGATAATTATTTATTAAGCATTTAAAATGATACTTTAAAAAACATACGTTTAAAATTCTGGAGACAACTGAAAGGGACTTTATGAAATATTAAGATTAGTTACCAGACGGTGGTATAGTTTTCAGGTCGGTGAACAATTAGCCGAGGTATTGTTAAGTCGTGCACATGGCAACCGTCCTATTACCTTAATAGGATTTTCCCTTGGAGCACGTGTAATTTTTCATTGCTTAATGGCTATGACCAAACGTACTACATGTTATGGTGAATTTTTTTTTTTTCTTTTTGATAGCACTGCTGCTGTTATTATGTGCCGTAGTTTTTCCTTATTTTTACAGTTATGCTGATGTAAAATTAAAAAACAAGGATTCCAGGAATAATTAATGATGTGGTACTTCTTGGTGCACCTGTAACAGCTTCACCGATTCAATGGCAGCAGATAAGTCACATTGTTGGAGGACGGATTATAAATGGTTATTGTAGTAGTGATTGGTTATTAAGGTAGAATTTTCATGTTTGGATCTCTCGATATTTTTTAAGTCTTTAGGATGCAAAGAAGAAAAATATTTTGGGTTTGAGTCTTTTAATTTAGTCTACTTCTTGTAACGAAGTTACATAAATTTTGGTATATTTTTCGAAGTTCATAAAGTGAATGTTTCTGAATTCTATATTTGATGTAATTGTCAATTTTGTAGGTTTATTTACCGTGCAATGAGTGTACAGTTTACGATTGCTGGCACAGGTCCTGTAACATGCAAAATGGAAAAGAAAATTGTTAATTTCAATCTTTCTCACTTAGTTCGTTCACTCTGTTCAAAAAATTATATTAACAGTTTAATATAGCTTTCTTTACTAAAGCATTTGATTAAATAATACATAGTTGCATATTGAAGATAGCAGATTATTGTAAATTTATGAATTCATCCTTTTTTTGTAGATAAAAGGTCATCTAGACTACTCTCGAAAGTTAACTGAAGTATTGGAAGCAGTTGGCGTTCGAGTTACACCGCGTCCCGATCATTCCATGCTAGATATGGATGAAGTTACGAAAGAAATAAGCACAGATATCATTGATTTTGATGACGAAGAAGAGAAAAAGTTCTCTTTTAATAATTTTAAAAGTGGAACAGAAGCGCATTGTGCATCATGTGAAACGAAACAAGTTGAGTGATGAAGATAGATTTGTTGATTTAATGATTTGTAATATCTAATTTAAACTGCGGTTCTGTTAGTTAAGGATGGTCGGACTTTAAGATTGAGAAATAAAAAACATGCAGACAGCTGTTTGTTATGGGAGAAGCTATGAAATTTTTGGAAAAGAAGTCACTAAAAAAGGAAAATAAATTTGTTAGAAATTACTCAAAGTATTATAAAATTTGCAGAAATAAAATCTTAGAACGTTTGGAATTTGATATAAGATTTTGGATGCGCCAGAAAATTCGGGAAGATAGAAGGGAAGAATGAAAAGAAAAACAAAATTCATGTTGTCCGGAAGATAGACAAAAGAAATAAACCGAGAGGAGGTGAGTAAATTTTTTTAACATTCTGACAGCTGTCAAATAATAATTGGGACAGACATTTTATTTTTTATACTGAAGTAGTATTCCTAATTTATATTACGTGTTCCGTATTTTTCTTTGCCTACAAGTCTTTGTAGTTCTTTTTTATTTGGTTTTTATTTCTTTGTAAAATTTTTTTAGTCTCATGTAATTTTCATAAAGGTCTTTTTTTTATTTTAATTAGATTTCTTACAGTGCACTGATTTCTTACTTGACTTATTGATTTAGATAAATATTTTTTGAAGACTTAAAACTAAATTATCTTTTTTCAGTTTATTCACTTCTTTGTGTCAATTTTTTCGTCTGCTGGATTTATTTTTATTTTTACTCACTTGTTTGTTATGTTAATTATTGTTTCCAGTAATGAGAAAAAAATAAATTATTGTATTGAAAAGTCGAATTTTTTACGACAGCAGTTTGAATCTGTAACATTGCTACTTCTGAGCAAGAAATAAATAGAGATTAGTTTATGGTGTCTTACATCAGGACGATTTGAAGCAGTGGAGACACTTTTTTATTCAGGAATTATTTGTGTTGTCTTGATGTTCTTATTTCTGTTGAAGTATCTTTGAAGAGATCAGATTCGAAGTTCAACCGTCAAATTTTTAATTAATGAAAGAAGATCTTCCTATAGCTAAGTCATTTTTTGATGAATATTATATATTAACTGTTCATAAAAAATATTAGATATATTTTCATTAAAAGTAATTGCATAAAATTTTAAAATTTGACGGAATCCAGGGATGTCATCTGCGCTTATCGTTGGTGGCGTTGGTATGGTAGCTATTGGACTGGTTGGACGACTGATGCTACGAAATCGTGTAGCGTTCCTAAAAATGGCCAAAACATTGCCGGTTGCAAATAGTATGTCAAAGTACTATCGTGGCGGTTTCGAGCCTGTTATGACACGACGTGAAGCAGCACTGGTCCTGGGTATATCACCTAGTGCTCCAGCGTCAAAAGTGAAAGAAGCGCATAAACGTATAATGATTGCCAATCATCCTGATCGTGGTGGTTCACCCTATTTGGCTGCAAAAATTAATGAAGCAAAAGACAAATTGGAATCAACAAGACACGATTAATTTTTAATTAGGATTAATATTAATTGTATTTCATGCGGATGATTTCGCTGTGTCTGTGTGAACGATAAGTCGATGCAAATGGAATTTACATTCACGGAAGATTTATAATATTTGAAATAGTTGAAATATTGTCAGTCGGAAACAGTCATTTTAGTGCTCGTATTTTATAGAATCCAGAAAATACTTTAGTTGACAAGGTGAGAAGTCGTTAATATCTGCTGCAATTTCACTCTGAAGGAGTGCTTCATTTTGGAAAAAAAGAACGAGAATTTGAGGAAAAAAGAACAAATTTATATTTATGTGAACGTATTGGTTGATACTGTTAACCTGGTTTACTAACAGTTCTTGTTCTTTATTTACTATAATTTTAAATTGACCTTTCATAAGGAAAGTTTTGTCAATTTTAGATTCAGAATTTTTGTTTTAGGGTTTGTTTTGTCGTTATACATCCAATGGTATCGTAATATGTCAAATGAATTGCCGTAAATCTAGCCTAACCGACTTTTGTTCACTTTAGTTGATCTTCCGTGTTTGAATTTTCATATGTTAAGCTCTACTCACTCATTTGCTGTTATATTAGTTTGTGGAAATGCTATTCATTGTTTATTCTTTGGTGATAAACGCCTTTATGGTTATTGAGCAGAATCTCTGCTTCAAATAATTGCATAAATTAAAGACTATAAAGTAACAAACATTGAATCGAGACACTCCTGTTATGTTCGAACTTCTGATTAGTCCAGATCATGTAGAGAGCATATATGAAAGGTATTGTTGCTCGTGCATCTGGATTAAAATTTATTTTTAGTTGATATAGGTGAGGTTTAGGTTTAGTCGAACATGTCGATGTTTAGAAGCATAATAGAAAAAATAGTTTGATGAGTTTTTGATTTATCACCTGGAATATTTGTCATTTGTTTTTGATCCGTGAGGAGTTGAGCTTCGTTAGTTTTAAGTGATTAAGTAGGGATTAAAAATAATAAAAACAGGGTTAAGAATAAAATAATAATGCTAAAGATAAATGGATGTAGGTGATTTAAGAGTAGTAATTAAGCGGCCATGTAAAAGCAAAGAAATAGGAAGATATGTTTCATCTTTGATTGCTTATTTTTTTTCTCGAGATTTGTTACAAAGAAATTACTAGTATTCGCTTTGAAGGAATTAAAGTGCATGGGTATAGGTAGTAACCTGTAACTCTGAAGGCTAGGTGCAACAATTCTTTGCTTATGATCACTGCTAACCGTCTCAAACTGAATTCATCGTGAAAGAAAGACAAGGAACTGTAATGGATTATCGAAGTCAGCAAAAAAAAGTTTGATATGTTAATGGTAGCACACGAGCTGATGACAGCATAGCTCCTTCTCTGGGCGTAATTCTACCAATTATCTTTTCGTCCACATAAAAAGTATTGAGTGATGATTTACATCCCCTCTGGATGTGAATTAAGTCTAAATTATTTTAAACTGTATATCGAATTTTACTGGATATAATAATGCCGTTTTCGATGGGTTTCCCTCTATTTATTCCACATTTATTTTCCAAAAAGGATAAATGTCTGCGAATCGCAACAATAACAACACCTTATTGCAGTGCTTATAAGAAGTCACAGTTTTTATAAATGTTGTTGAATCTCTGTCAACTCCTAATCATTCCGCAATTCAATGTATCAAATGAACTTCTTTCCGACTAATTGCATATTTCAAATGAATATGAATAGTTGTGCTAAAGATGGAATATAAACAACGGATCTGATCCACTGACCTCTACACAAACAGATCGAATCCAACTCAATTTAATATGACGACTTTCCATCGGAGTAGAATTTCCTTCCAATCTACGAATATCCCACTGATCAAGTGGGAGAGTATACGCAACGCATAGAACAAAAGCGGTGACAGAATTGTAAAGAGAACAGGGAGGGGTGGAAATAGTGCGTAGCGACAAAATGTCTTTTACTTTAACACTTTGTTTGGAGTAAAACGGTCACGTCATGTGGTCACGTGTTCCATTGTTCGTCTCACTTCGACATTCTGGCGATGTCATCGTTAACCTACGGTTTGCTATGATTAGCACTTCGAAGATTTTATTTCTTCTATTCTAATAGTAACAATGATCATTCATACTACATTGTGATAGGGTAATGTTTAGATGAATTTTATCTCTTTTTTAGATGAATTTAAAGGTCAGAAATAAATCTTCTATCAAAGATGTGGAGTTCTAATCTTGAATGATGCAAGAGAAAGTTGGCAACAACTGGTATATTTTGTGACAAATTAATGAGAGAAAAGTATAAACACAAAATTGAGGACAATTTGTCAGATTATTTTCAGGTAAACATTTTCTGGAATAGTTGGTGTTAGTGATGACAGTTATTCTATCCCACCAATGTGTCATCGAATTGTATTGAAATTGGTGAAATTGGTAATGGTGCATACCAATGTTGCCGAAATCCAATTCATTGAAGGTGAGTCCTTCATTTAACACTTAGTTGGATAAAAAAACCAAGTAACCTAAGTTCTCAAGTTATACTTCAGGCGAAGTCGGAATAGGTAGTCATGTGCTTTGATTTTATAATACTTCCTTGTATTCCACTTACTTGGGATAATGGTTGGACTAAGGACTGCTTTATATTCAATATATTTGTTGAGTATTTTTGAAAAAAGTTGACTTTTTTTTTTAAATTTGAAATGTGCAAGTTTATTTGGTAGAAATTAATTCTAACTTCGCATAATGTACACTTTTTTCCGGTTTTGATAATGAAATCATTATGATGTTCACGTTTTTATGTGCTGTTATTGGGGTAATCTGTTTTTTATACTGTCGGCAAGAGTAAGCTTCTTTATTTTTTGTTCGTTTTAATTTGCAACCTTAATAGTTTATTGTTTTATTTCTTTTAATTTCCAGATATTCAAATCTAACAGTCATTTTCCGTCATTTTAAAGGACTCTTACATCTCTATTCTGTTGAGAACAAAGCTGTCGATGTTCAGCTTCTATATAATTTTAACCGAATTTTAGGCAGCAGGAAAGAAATATTTACCCTGCTTTAGATTCGGCTATAACTGAATTCAGACGCACATTTTCGGGTGCTGCGCAAGCAGAGGGACCGGAGACTGGTGCAAGTGGTGTATGTCCTTATAGCTTTTCTTAAAATATTATAGTCTTTATTGATGTATGTTGTCAAGGCTGTTGTGGTTCTTTTATCAGTCTGTTCATTTTTTGGGTTTTAGAGTAGGGCAAGAACGCTGCGACGGTTTGGAGATGATCATATTTGTCCAATATGTTTTGGCCAAGCTTCATTTGCTGTTGTTACAAACTGTGGCCACTTATTTTGCTGTGAGTATCTAAACATGCAATTCTGAATCAGATTATAAATTGGATAATTACATGCTTTGGTTTTAGTTCTTCGCTTATATAGAAGGAATGTGATAATTCAATAAAAATTTCAATTTTTTATTGTATTTTTGCAGGTAATTGCATTTATGGTTACTGGCAGTATAGTGCGTCTTTGATTACACCTGTAAAATGTGCAGTGTGTAGAGAAATTGTACGTTTCGGCAGTTTTACTTATGCAGTAATTTCATATTCCCTAGTAACAATTTTATGGAGAACTAACAGTTTTGTGAGATAAATTAGTTCTTAATCACTTGCGGAATTTTACTTGCATTATAGGTTAATTTGCTGATACCTTTGCCGGTAGAAGGTGAAAGAGAAAATAGTGCTGATGAAGCACTACGATGTGATGAACAGTTAACGGATTATAATCGAAGGTTTTCCAGTGAAAGAAGACCAGTGAGTTTGTTTCCGAACTTTATTTTGGTGGTAGCACTGAATAATTTAAAACGAACAGCTTTTTACAATGAGTACAGGCATTGTATTTCTTAATTAATTCATCTTGTAGTTCTGCAACTTATTTTATCGAAATGTAGGTCACGCATTATTTCTTGATGAAAGTAAAGATCAGAAACTATGAATCAGCATATCTAATAAATTTCTTTTTGCTTACCAGATATTGTCAGAATTTCGTCTTTCACTACCAACAACTGCTGCTTTTAATATTCCCATCGATTCATTATCCTTTTTTCAGATTATTGATTACATCAGGGATTTACCCGTATTAGTTCCACACATGTTTCGTGCCGTAGTCTCAGTCAATGGATTGATGTTTATGTTTCGGATCCGTTTCTTTTTATGTCTTTGTGGTATGGCTGTGTATATTTTAAGTCCTTTTGATATATTACCGGAAGCAGCATTCGGTGTACTTGGTATGGTGGATGATATTTTTATCGCATTTGTTGTTTTGGTGTATGCTACAATTCTTTTTCGACAAATGTTAACTGGTGGTAGGAATAGTGGACGAGAACGAGAAAGACGCGAATAACTCAAAATGAATAACTAATTTGCGTGAATAAGGCGGATTCTTTTGCCTTTATAAGCATTTGATTGCGCTTTGATATATATGTATTAGAGATTAGTGAGGGACTTATATATCCTCTATGTCATAACCTTTTTGGCAGTAAAATAAACGTCCGTATTTGTGCAATTATTTTTCTTGCAGATTTTACGTCATTCCAATCTTATTTGTTAGGAAAGATGGACAATATATTTTTCCATAACTTGCAAATTAAAAAAAAAGAATTCCACTACCTTTGCAAACTTTGATTGCTGATCTCAGTCCATTTTTTTTTTCGCTTGGGTAATTTCTTAATTTAAAATCCATTCCGAGAATGATTTTAAAACTATGCTAAATGAGGGATCTTGGAAACACTATATAAATTGGCATGCATTACCTTAATGCTTCTCGTTGCCTATTCTGTCTAATATTAATCTTTCTTTTTTTTTTTTTTTAATATGTTGTCATTAACGAATCTGCTTTTTATTTTGCGTGTAAATCGTAATGGAAAAAAAATTGAAATATAATTTATATCTCTAATAAGTTACAATTTCTGTGATGAACTTTGTTGCAATTTTCTGTTGTATTAGAGTTATCCTTCCTCCGTATTTCCTGAAGTATCCAAGTGTGTACTAGTTAAATGTTGAGCTGATTTTCGGGATTTGCCAGCAGCTAGAAGAAATGTGAAATGTGGCCGAAGACTGGGAGATTATTTATTATACTTATTTTTAGGCTAAAATCATAAATGATAAATAAGACCGATGCAAGACAGATTTAACCTTCCATGCCTAATGCAGCTATTTTTGTGATTGGCTTTCTCAAATTAAAATAATGACAATAAAAAGAAACGAGGGAACAATTGTAATGCAGAATTCACTACTGAATCTATATTCACGTCAGTAGTTGTAAGTGCCCTGATGCTAACAGTCACCACAAAATTATTGTGATTAGCTTATTGGACTGAGACTGAGCTAGGTGTTATTTGTCAAGTTAAATATCGATTTAGCTGGGAAAAAGCTCTAAAAAAATTTTTGTATCACAAATGCATTATACTGATTTCATTTTCAAGAACTAAAGAGGATTGATTATGTCGGAAAATTAAAGGAAAAAATAGCCAGCATGGCAACAATATGCAGATAAAGATATATGTGAGTAATGTTAACGAAAAGCAACAGATAATAAATATAAATAGGAACGGAAGAATAACACAGTTTCGAGCACCGAAGAGAATTTCATATGTTTTACTTAGTTGAACAGATATAAAAAGTGACTTCTTACCTGGCATCAATTAATTATAAAACAATAACTACACTTCTTTCTAGAATACTTATATTTGAAATCCGAAAAGTTGTCGATTTTCCAGAAAGTAACAATTACATTAGAGAGCATTTCCTTTTTGAGCCACTTTTACTGCTCTCTTCATCCATCGTCAAAGCTAAAGTTCGTTTTTTTTCCATCGCCAACAGGCGTTGAAATAATTCAGTTATATTTTCATTGTCTTTTGCACTCGTTTCGATGAAACCAGTTCCCCATTTCGCGGCCAATTTTTGTCCAAGTTCAGAGCTCACTTCACGTCGCTGAAAATTGTGCGCTTCATTAGAATTAAAATAAAATAGATCAAATTTGATAAAAGAAACCTTTCGACTGACAGAAATAGTTTTTTATGTTTCTTATTCTACTAACAAGGTGACTACAAATTACTTGGAATTGTTCTGCTGATCTAGAAACCAGCATATTATCCCGCAAAATTTTCTTATTCGAAATAAATCTTATGTGCAAGTTAATCTGTATCTTGAAAAATTACGTCGCACTAAATTCTCAGCGATTCTTTTGACTCATAAATCCGCCTGGCATAACATTACTTCCGATTTATCTCTTAAGCTATAGCTATATAATTTAAGAAGATAATAAATAGTGAATTAGCCTACAGGAGAGAGAAATAACAGGATGGATTACCTGATCTTCATCTTTTTTATTGCCAACAAGCATAATAGGCACTTCAGTAATATTTTCACCCTTTACTTCCTTTAGCATTAATAATATAGGTCCAAGCTCCTCTAAACTTTGCTTGCTGAAAACTCAAACATTGAAATATGTCATAGTAATATATGAATATGTCACAGCAATGATAGCATTTTTTCACATGGCAGTGCATCCCTTATTCTAATGATAGGTAAATGAAAAAATTTATGCAAATAACACTGTACTCTTTTGCAGCTAGTCATAAAATCACAGAAGAATATTTTAAAAATAAGTAAGAATAACCTTGTAACAGAATACACCAGTACGAAAGCATTTCCTTTGCTGATCGAAAGCCGTTGCATAGCAGGAAATTGATGGCTGCCTGTTGTATCAGTAATTTGTAATGTACATACATTCTTATGATTACAGCTTATCACCTGAAATATTATCTCCCATTGACACTTACCTCAAACTGAATTTAGAAATATTATTGGAAGTTGGTAGCTTTTTACTGCCTCGAAATCTTTTTGCCGCTAATTATATTGCAACGGTTTGTCGGGACAGCAATTTTAAAATCTATTCGTCGTTAGTTTGCAGGAGGGAACTGATGAATCTGAGAAAAAAAGCGAAATCTTTTAAATCTGCATCTTTTCATAGATCATAATAGATTGGTCTATTTGAAGAAAGCAAAACTTCAAAATGCTAATTTAATCTAAATCATGTTATTAAACTTCCTCTCTCAATGAAAAATCTTTAATTCTTTCTAGGCATTCCTTTCGAAGTAGTTAAACAAGACTATGTATAACCTGTACTGTTGTTAAGCCTTCTCCTTTTTGCAGTTTGCATTGAAAACAATTTTTTCTTTTTTTTCTTGAAAGAACAGAAAAGAAGATTTCCTTATTTTTGTTAATTACGCCTTGTACAAACAAATTTTTCTTCCAATACTACTCAAATAAGAATGCTAATATTAGACATGGGAAAGTAAAAATGAGTTTAAAAAGGTAAAATAAATCGATCATCTCAAAATCCAGTTTATCCATCTCACTGCTAATATGATAGCGAAGCAATGGAATTAGGTACAAATTTAGAATTTTGATGCAACTTAAGACACTCTTATGCAAGTTAGCTGAGAATATGATGTTAGCCATCGTTAATCTGGTCCGTAGTTAGATTAACAATAAACAGAATATGAGCTAATAGTTTCCAAAGAAAATTCTCTCAATTTCTTGTTAAATAATCACACTTAAACAATAATTAAAGTCCGTATTATCCACACTCCTGATGTATCTAGCTCTCAAGTGAAATTGCACAAGTTGCATGGATTTCATTGGAATAAATTAAAACCGAGTTCCTATCGGCAAGATTACAACAGCAAAAACTAGCTTGTCGAAAAGTGTCCTCAATAGTCGGAATGTAATTTTCATTAAATGTTCCCTTGATGAAACGTTGTACAATGGATGATTTACCAACGCCACCGGCACCAAATACGGCAACTCGATAATCCGACGTGTGCTCTGGTGGTATTCGGCCGCTCTCAAAAATAAGTTCAAATTTAAGACATAACCCTAAACATGACAAAGACTGTAAGGTGCTCTTAATGTAGATCACATTTAAAAAAACAAAAAAGACAAGAAATCAACATATATTTACCGATTGAGCAGCCATATCATCTAGATCGGGTCAGAGTTATTTATTTTACTTGTAATTTTAATCACTGAGAAATGCGCCTATTCTTCGACCGTACTCTAACGATACTGCTGAAAAGCAGCGTTTCATGAAATTCCGGCTGCATTTACTCGAACTATAACAGAAGGAAAGAGTAAACGTTTTGATATTGAGTAATAATAGCTTGTGTTTAAAATGCATGCAGATACTTAAGTCAGAGAAATTTTACAGTGAAAATATTACAAGCAAAAAGTTTAAATGAAATGGAAAAACTTTAAGAAAATGGAGAAAACGGAAAGTGAAACTAACTAAGATTAATCCCTTGTATTGACTGAAATGGCTTCCACAACAACTTATATCTTGCCCTGATTTCAGTGAGTTCAAGTTGTCGTATTTTACAAGTACACACCTTCCGCTGCAATATAAGTTTGTGTAAGATAATGAAATATTGATTGACGCTTAGCGCCTAATAAAATTCCTGTAAAACTTATATCGTCTAATTATTATCCATAGCATTTTCTAGCTGATCGACAATCTCAAACTAACTTTTCTCACTCAAGCGGTAAACTTACAATCAGACATTATAATTCTGGCATACTATCAATTATAATTAAGTAATCAGATTAAGTCCCTTACCGCATATTCTTTTAATTTCTGATATTGGTTATCATAATTACTTCATGTCATGTTTATGCCTCCTTTAGATAGATTACCAACAGTCAGTTTATTGCCATGTGATGTTTATTTAGACTTGAGAGAATCAATTTCGTCTCTTACAGCTGGTAATTAAATTTTTGAATCAGTGATCAGTATAACATTACTAGTACTCACAAATGTTAATGATAAACATATTGAATCAAAAGCCAATTTCAAGAACATAAATCCGAACTTTTAGAAAAAGGCTGATTGCATTAGTAAAGCGTGCTTCACTTTGGATTCGTCCTTTCAACCCTTCACCCTATAAATTCTTACAGTTAATATATTTCAAAAATTAACTTGAGATGCAATAAATAGTGGATACAATGAAACACTAAAATCAAACAACTAAAAATATCTGCAAATTATTGTGAAACTGAGGGGTAATCATTTCTAAAAGGATAAAAAAGGATGAATGAAGAGATGCCACCAAATTATACCGTGTACACTTAAGAAAGAAAACGTACAAAAATTAAATAACTTACCTATATAGGTCACGTGAATTTTTAATAACTGCACGATTTTGACAAAAGATAACATTGGAATAATAAAAAGATAATTACAATGAAGTTGCTAGCGCAACTACTAGTCAAAGTAGACTTACTTCCCGGTCCGTGAGTTTGTTGCAGATGCGTGTTGTGCATGTATATTTATGTGTGCATGCGTGCGTTCCACGGAATATCAGAAGCCATTGCAGTATCGATCCTTCGCATATGAGCCCCAGAAGTGGCTATAGAGAAAGCGACTACTATCAGAGTTCCACAATGGGCTTCAAAGCCATCGTCTGACCGGGAGAGGCGTTGGCGTCATTATAAAATTCCCAACAACAATAGCTTACTTGGCAATGGATGAAGCATAGAAATAGTTTAAAAGTTTTTGGGAAGTTAATGGAGCAATAACAGAACACTCATATCGGGCCAGAAAACAATCAGCGTATTGAATAGATTATCATTAATAAATTCACATCTCATCTAGCCCAATGTGCATTTCATAGAATACTACATCAAAGCATTAATAGGATCCAATAAATCTCCAACGTGATATAATTAAGATTCATAGTCTTAAGCAGTGCAGCGAAGCAATGCACCAAATGAGATCACACATTGCCAGATTAGGTAAACACCTGCAAAAGATGCAAACATATCATCCCCACCAATACTGTTAGCGTCTGTTTTATCCTTATCGGAATTAACAGACCCGATTCTGGAATTAAAAAGGACTGATGTTCAGTCCCAGTGATCATTGACTCAATTTCCCATTTGTTATCATTCCAGGAAAACATTTGCCTGGGCACAATATTTTCCCCATCCTAGCTATTTTATTTTATGAAAATGTATAAAGTCCCAATTCCCCCTTACAACTAGTTGTGGTCAAGCCTTAACACTTGCTGGTATGCACAACTGAAAAAAACAGCTATTGGAAAAATGAAATTTAAGTGTCTTTAAATTACATTTAGTTGTTTCATCCAAATCTGGCCGGCTAACCAATGGACTTTTTTGACAAACCCGAGACAGCACAAAGTCAATACCTTACAACCTTTAAGTCACACTAAGTTAAATTTAAATAACATCCTATTTTCTTCACAAATACGAAAATGAATAGAGTGTCAACAAACAAACTTCAACAAATTTACTTCCTGATCCTCAAATGAAAAGTACAAAATACATAACTTTTGAACAAGATATTATTTTTAAATTTCAGACCAGTTTTTCAAGTTGAAACAGTATTCTCTTAGATATTAATTTCGGAAAACCATACACTGAAAATCTAACTTGCCACCAGTAAATCAACTGTGCGGGAATGAATTAAAACTTCCAAACAAGCAGTCCATAGCAAACCCTTGTAGCTATTCATAGGTTTTACACATCTGTGCTTCTAAAATCCAAATAAACAACTTCAAAGCTCCAAAAAAAAAAAAAAAAAAAAAAAAAAAAAAAAAAAAAAAAAAAAAAGATTAACGTCGAAAGAAAAAATTTAACAAGTAACACATAAAAAGAGACCAGTACATTCACAATATTATTCCATTTGCTCCATCAAATATTTCTTCTTCTTTTTGTGATCCCCTCCCTCATTTAAAATTAGAAGTGCACCCTTAGAACATTCAAGCAAATTATCACCACTTTCTGTTGTTTCTGAATCATTTTTCTTCATTAGTTTCTTCTTTTTCTTTGAACTGCTTTCTCCATTCATTACTCCTAAATATATAGTTCCTTTCCACAGAATCAGTATATAAAACACAGATTCCTAAGACCATATAAAACCTTATCTGTGCTAAATGATGATACTATAATAAGGTATGATTACTTTAACTTCACATATTGCATTTGATTAATTTCACTACTATTACTATTAGCAGCAGTGGTGGAGGCTACTTATTATTCATCTAAAAAACCAACTTATATTACTTCTATTGTAGCACTGGTAAACAATAAAAAGCATCCACATAATTCATTAACAATCATAAAATTGATTTAGAAAATTTAAATAAGATAAAAGTAACTACCGCTTTCTTCCCTGTGTCTGGACTCATCCCTTACGTCTGAACTTTCTCTTTTCTTTTTCTTCTTGTGCCCATTATTTATGACGCTTTCATCATTATTTGTCTTTTGTCCATCTTCCATGCCTTCTTCATGTAACACCAACTTCGGCCTCTTGGTCTTCTGGAGGCATTGCAGCTGTTTAACATAACGTACAAGTATGTTATATATATTAATAACTACTTTCTTGTAATAAACAGCTAATTTCAATTTGAATATTCTACCGAAAAGAATTAAAACCAATCTTCTTTCAAATATTCTACACAAACAAATTTCAAAACATCAGTCATTGAAAACTAAGAACTTGTAATTCTGCTTGAGAAATCAGACAAAAAATCAAAAAAACTTAGGACAACAATGCCTCCATACCTCCTTAACAATTTCATCCTCTATTTTCATTGTATCAGCATCTGGTTTCGACCCTTGGGTAGTATCAAAATCTTCTTGTTGCTCAGCTGCTCTTTTAGCCCTTTTCGCTTCCTTCTTTCTCTTTTTCAAAATCTATAAAGCAGAAATAAATTCTTACAAGTCAACTGCAAGAAAACCTGCTTCGACGGCTTTTCTGAGCAACACCTTTTTACCAGCAAATGCACATGGCCCTACCTTTACTTTTACAGTAGCTGCTTCTTCAATCGCTTCTTTCATTACATCCAGATTCTTTTTTGGAATTATACCACTTTCCAGAAATTTCAAACGATCTTCTACCTAAAGAAAATGAAACAAATAACACAAAGAAATGCTAGGTAGTATCTAAACAAACCGCCCATAAAACTATTACGCTAAACAAAAAGTTACAGTTTCAAATCTTTAAAATACAATTATCATCACTATCATCGCCGTATCAAACCTGCTGTTTGAGATGTTCACCATATGTAGCCACTGGTACATCAGAGAAACAGTCAATACGAGAAGCCACTGTGCATTTATTTGCAAGAAAACGTGATATGCGACCCTTGTTTTTGGCAGATGCACGACCAATAAAAGAAGAGTGAAAAAGGAGACCATATTTTGGTGTATTTGCTGCAACATATATATAATCAGATTTTTAAAAGGAAACAAAAACATAGAACTATGCAGTAATGGCGAACCATGGATATTTTAAAAATGCACAGTCAATCACTGCAGCTGAATAAAAGGAACATACATCTAGTTTTTAGTGCACGAAAAAGCGCTTTTTCTGCTCCAAGTATTTGCACAGTTGATGCTGGATATTTCGCTAAATTTGTTAAACTTCCTGCATGCGAAATCAGACGGGCACCGACCTGAGAAATACCTATTAAAGCAAGAAAAAAAAAAGGGTAACTCAAATGATCAGAAATTTAAAACGTTGGTCTCGAAATTTAAAAATTGATTATGTTCCATAATTCTGAAAAAATAGAATCAATGCTTATTTTTTGTTTTTTTTTTTTTTTTTTCAGCGATATGCAATCCTCCCTCACCTAAAGTAAAATTAATCGCCAAATTTCATTACCTGTTCCCCAATTAATGCTGAAAGTGATGGCGCGCATGAATGCATACGCTCTTTGACATATATGTGAAGTTCCTGACGATAAACTGTTAGTTCATCAACACGCTTTGCAAAACGAAGAACATTAAATAAATCAAGATCAGAAATATCCATTCCCATCGATGTTCGTGCAGCTTCCACTATTTCTACTACTTTATCATTATCTTCCAAAACTTCTGAAAAATTGAAAAATGCAAAGACCTTCCTACAATACTGCTTATAAAATCCAAGCTTCTTTGAAGACTTCCATGTTATGAGATTGAATGCTGTCATTTCTCCTAAAGCTACACTAAGTTCAAGCTATTACAATTCGGACAGTGATGTTAAATTTCCATGTGAATGAGCTCCAGATATTTACCACAAAACTAAACACTAAATTCAAGACTTATTTCAAAACACATATCTACTGTTTGGAGATCTAAGAAATGCATACCTTGTCGTAACTCGAGATTTCTCACTAAAAAATGTGAAAAATCTCGAGTTTTTTTTCCAGCAGTACTCAAAATAATTTTGAGTCATTTATATTGGTAATCCTTAGTTTTTTTTAATGACAATAAATTGGTGGTGGTCAATTGAGAGATTCGAATTTGAAAACATGAATGAATATAACCGAACACAAGAAGTAAAATACTGACAATATAGCGCTTACACTGTTGTCTGGACAGCTTTAAGTTCAGAAATAAGAATAAACCATAAACACCAACCGTTCAGTTTCCCGACCACCTCATCATCAAGATTCTTTCGGTCCATTATAATGGATGCACATTTCACATAATTTAACTGATCAGGAACCAATTTAAAAAGCTCGGGAAAATGATATGAATACCTAGAAAACTTTAAATATTTCATTATTTCAATGCCTTACAAGTACTTCACAAAAAACAATCCTTCACTGGACTCACCACTCCCGAATCCTCATCCCGAAAAGATTAATATCCTTATCAAGTTGATCCAATAGTGCAATTGATTGGATAACCATATTGTCCACTCGATGCACATCGAATTTAACCTTCAAAACATTAAATATCAAAATCCATAGTTCCTCTTGAATCTGCAGCGCAATACGAAACCAGTATTAAATGGAGATATTCCTTTTGAACCCAAAAATAAATTAAACAATATACGTTAATGCATACCTTTTTCCGCGAATAACCATGACCGAGTGAAAGCTGAGCCTTTGAAAGCGAATGATGAGGTAAGTCTTTGACAAGATGTTCGAAATGTATGCGTATACCACGCATAAGTTCTGGCACGACTCCAGAAATTTGACACTTTATGCCAGTAATTTGTTCGCTTATGGCACTAGCCAATCTCGAATCACCAACAGCAAGTGTAACCACCTTCTTTTTTTTCCTTGGCAAATTTGCTTCCAGAAAATTAAGTAAATCTGGATGCAAGTGACCTAAAAAAGATGTTACATATGCTTTTTCTGCAACTCTAATAGCATTTTAACATTTTGTGTCTAATTACAAGTTTAAAAATAAAAATATTAATCAAGAAGGAAATCAACAAAACAATTTAAAAAAAAACTAAAATTACAACATGTATGTCGGAGAAAGATAAGTTACCTTCCGATAAGCTATTACAGTTTTCCAGTGCAGACTCAGTATTTTTAAAAGGCTCGAAAGCTCCTACTTTAACAATTGAACGAAACCGCTGTAAATCAGCGATACACTCTTCCACCTAAAGTGTTGTTCTATATTGGCAAACAGAATAAAAAGAATACTAAAATTGAAAAAGGATTACCAAAAGCATAAAAATTTCATTTGGAAACAGAAATGAGAACCTGAGGAATACTCGTTCCAATATCTTCAAATTCCGCAACACGGAATAATACATATCCGACAGCATGTTCATATAATACGCATTGCGGAACATCCCCCATATTTCGAACAAAACTGATTAATCAGTATACAGAAACTAAAAGAAACCCAAATAGCACTAATTTACAGAATATTTAAAATACCAAATCATTTAAAATTCTCCACATTCTGTCCCATCCTCATTCCAGTGCACCACTTTGCATCTACAAACAGCTCTCCCCCACCTTTCAGTCTAAAGTCACATCCACACTCATCAACACGCACTGACCATACTCACTCCCCCGTCCACAACACCACATCAACCTACCCATATGAAGAAAAACCGAAATGTGCTCACCCCACCATCCCTCACTATTCTGGGCCATCAAACTTGCCACTATGCAACAATATCTTCCCACTTCAAGTATTTGTAACATTAGATCAGAAGTACTCATTGCTGACATCTGTAGTCGCATTGCACGATGCTTCCTCTTTCCTGCACTGCATCCTGCCAAAGTTTCTTCACTGAGTGATGATGAGCGAAGTGATTAAAAACATCGCAGAGAATACATTTACTTCCTTGAATCATTTAAACACTACTGAACTAACAGTTTTCGGTATGACCTGTACATGTGGGAATACTTGTCATCAGCAAACGAATTTGTCAACGCATGCATTTTCCATCTTTTCGTGAGTACTTCAGAACCTTCTTGCTAATATTCAAGTATTCATAGGGGCAGCAATGACTACAATCCGCAACTTAACATACCGATCACAACATCCTGCATATCCAATCAGAAACCTTTATAGTCTGTAGGTATGTACTGTTTTCCAATGGAAATTAGGAAATACTGCATAATTATGTAGTAATTTAAAATTACAACTCATGTGGAACGGTTGCATCTCCTGAGACATATTTAGTCATTCGGAAAAAAAGTCGATGGTGGGTATCAGCATCAAAAATTCGGAATTATTTCATCCCAATCTTTGGCTTCACAACAAAGTCTGACTAACTACGAGTCCAGCTCTTCTCAGGAAATTATGAGGAATATCAAAAATGTGGGAGTAAAGAAAGTCTGTAATAGAATCATTATTTAAGCATCCCCTATTCCTTCCGGCTTCTGAATAATAAGGGAAAAACCAACCATAAAAAAGCGATAAAGCGCTGCAGAATATTAGAAAAATACGATTGCAATAGATTTTTTTATCTAAAGTAAGTTGAAGCTCACCCATTATTCATAACAATAATATCTAAAGCCATTCAAAATTAAAATTTAAGATTCGGATTTAAGGTCTGTCGATTATATACAAAAGTATGTAACAGAAAAATAAAGCTGGTTACCGATCCACAACAAGCAAGAGTCAAAAATAGGAAATATCACGATTACATTGGATTGCATTCTGTAGCCGGATATTTCTTAATGTAAACGTATGAAAATTAAAACAAGGGAATTTTCAGAAAAAAAATTTTTTGGTCAACAGATGAAAGCTTTTTTAATGTTTCATGGCTATAATTCTTGTACTTTTTTTTTAAAGTTCTAAAAATCAATATTCTGTGTAAAATTATCCATCTGAATTTAAAGATTGTGAATCACTAATATGCATAAGATTAATATAAAATTAATCTGCATCGTCCAATAATGCCTCACGCTCCATTACATCCTTCTGATGATTTAACCGAACATAATAGAAGTATTGCATAACCACAATAATGTCGATTATACAACAACCTAAGCTCCCTGCCAACCACGGTAAATGACGCAAAATATAATGCCAATTAGTTGCTTCCAATAAAACCTAAAATTCATGAAAACTTAACACTAAACTATAAAAGAGCAAAGGATAAAATGCTGCTTCTTGCTCTCTTATTCTGCTTCTGAAGGAAAGTTGTAATTCGTGATACCATTAAATCACTGTGAGAACTGGTCTTCGACATTCATAATAGAATGAAATTTTTTAATTTCTTAGGTATTACTTTACTAACTATAATACTTCCATGATAGCATTTCTGCTTCTAATTATTTAATGTTTGAAACTTGACCATGGCCGAGGAAAACTCACAGATAATCCATATGTAGCATTTGCTGCTATAATTATGTAGAACATAATCAACGATAGACCTAAAAAAGCAAATCTTCTATTTTGCACTCAAATTTCTATTTCGAAATAAACTTCTAAATATGGAGATCTAATTTATATGATTTATAGAGGTTGAGCTTTATGCTGCTAAAGCACAGAAACCATTATATAACTGTTTTCCAATAACAATACAATAGATTAAAATGTGAAATAATGCTTACATCAGAAAGCAGCATGTTCATCGCTGGAAAATTCTGTTTAATTAACCCTTCATTCAGAGTACTCCCCTTTTGCAAAAAGCGCATATCTTAAGTTTTTAGCGCTAATCCAACTTAAGTACATGAGAGAGGTAAATTAATACTGTTGCTATGACATAATACCTTCACAAGACTGACGGTAATAATTTTTTAGCAATTGTGGAATTCGACCGGCAAAATAACACGTTGCAGCTACAGAACCAATTATATAGCCGAGCTAAAAAACAAAGCAATTTCTTATACAAAAATAAATAATTTCTCCTTTTTTGCCAATAGCAAAACGATAAACCTTAAATTTTCAACTCCAGGCTTTTTAAAACAGAAGGCTAGCACATGAAATTGCACTAACCAAATCATAGTAGCCGTAAAAAAATGGTGGTCCACCAAGTGGTTCAGCAGAAAGTAACTTTCTTCTCCCAAATGGCATTTCGTAAGCTTGAAAATCAAATTTATTCGATATATACCCATTTGAAAGTAATGTTCCACTCATGAATAATCCAATAAAAATGCCAGGTACTATTGCTGTTGGACTTGTTATTGGATTACTTCGTGCCGAAACTAATAATCATTTCGTATAAAATAGGCAACAAAAATATCAACAAAAATAAGGCAAAAAACAAAAAAAAATGTTTAAATTTTTCACACAAGCGAACTACTGAAGGCGATCTAATCGCAAGTGATGTAAGCTGCACTGTCAATAAGAAACTGGTCCTGCTAAAATTTGCTTTTTAGCAATTCTAAAAGGACAAATAGCTCTTCAACGGTATATCCCATCCAGTGAAAGATATGAAAAAGTAAAAAAAATTAAGGATTGAAAACATTCGAGAGATACCTCGCAGTCGATATGAATAAATGTGACTATAATAAAAAAACTGACTGAGAATAACCATATCCTGAAAATACGCATGAAAATAAAAGATAAAGCGATAATTTCTTAAGAACAGGTATAGCACATCGTAATTTATGAAGTTGCACACCTGCAAAATGTAGTAAATACCGATAACTTTTTGGAGAGGCTGTTGATCTGTAAGTAATGCTCCAGCAGTATTGCATGAATCACCAACAACCCTAAAAATTAAAAAATGAAATAATTCAAACACCTATCTAGAAAATGTCAACCCAGGCTCTTCAGGCTATATTATTCATCGAATAGTTTTGCAATAAATAAATAATAAGGTAAAAAACACTAAATTAAAAGAACAACGTAAATCAATGGAAAAATTGTTTTGTAGCAAATAACTATTCATACCAAATCGCTAAAACATATCAATGAATTCTTGTAATCGAAACTGGAATGTGGCAATTGGAATGTTAAATTTGTGCCCAGTTGGAATGTTAAATTTCTATAAACAATACAAATTGGTTTGGAATAGGTACCAAAAAAGTATAAAATATATGGAAAGACCATCGCATCGCTTGGTACGATAATTATGTAAAAGCTGTGGAATTATCGGTAAAAGCCAGAGAAACAATGATATAAAGCCGATGATAAAGCCAATTAATTTTATATTCGTGTCGACACAATCCCCGAAAATCTGAAATTAGTGCTAAATTCTACTCAAAGCAGATAAATATTTTATTCTTCTTTGTTAATTATTTCATAACTCTAATGAGATTTGGTAAATGTGTCCAATCTGAAAAATAAGCTTTTACTCTCAAAATCGTTTTGCACATAGAGTTAGGAACTACTTGAAGTATTTCCACTTTTGCATAATTATCTTCAGGTATTGGTGAAGACTTTAGATTTTAAGTTTTTTTTTCTTAAGTCCCCGAGTTCAATCTGTTTAAAAGTTTTTGATAAAAAAAACGTTCGATAAGCTATAAATTACTAAATGAAATTGCAATATGAGAAGGGCATTACATCCAACACCCATCTGATCCCATCCGTACAGTTCGGCAACTTATGGAACTCGCCATCATTGGATACTATGCCATACAAGTGAGCATCGCGTTTCGGTATCATGCGAAACAATAATAACGTCATCGTGTCACATCTCAAGACTCTCGAAAGTAAAGAATGGGTGAACTGAAAGCAAACAAGAATTGAGTAATTAACAATCACTGATAGCGCTTATATTATCTGAAGGTAAGAATGCAAAGACAACTAACAATTAATTACTCCAACAAATCCGACAGTAACAGTCGAACTGGGATGGAAGATAGACTTTTCATAGTGAGTACTTGGTTGGATCGCATGCTATGTGACACTCAGATGGAATGGATGTGAGGTAAGGTTGGTTTAATGTGTCTTGGGTTGGTCGGTGGTGCCTTGTCCTCGGGGTAATGGCCAGGGCACATGAGTGGGTATAAGTAGGGGATTGGCAACATTTCCTCCTTATTAATATTTATCATTTGACTTACTGAGTTATACTGTTTGTTTAGGAAAGATGGCATCTGGTGGCGAAAGACTTCTTGCTGTTACGGGCAAACGTACTTCGGGTCAGTCCGTCAGAACACAAAATGGTATTATAATACGTTTTCCTTTGCATTATTATATTTTATGCATTCCGATTCTGGTATTAACTTTTCGTGTTAACCTCTTTATGTATCATTATGTATGCATGCAGTTTGATCTTCTGGATAAATCTAAATTTAATAAAAAATTTGGCAGAAACTTCATTTTAATCTTTACAGTCTCAATTTAATTCCATTTCAGTTATGGCTGCATCGGCGATAGCTAATATTGTCAAGTCTTCACTTGGACCAGTTGGGCTCGACAAAATGCTTGTGGATGATGTCGGAGTAGGTTGCATACATACAAATGTCTAAACCAAACATTTTTTCTTTTTATTATAATGACCATCAACATTAATTATATTTGTGCACTCTGATTGGAGTGATATTGTAGCATTGTATGTATTTTTATACACTTACAACACTTAAACTTGTAAGGAATTTATTTGTGGGGAAACAGTTTTGAGAATGGGATTAGGAATCACATTTTGAGAGTCCGTGCAACACACCACAGTGAAGTTTCTGAAGCATTTTGTATTTTTATTTCAGGATGCAGTAGTGACAAACGATGGTGCGACAATTCTTAAACAAATAGAAGTTGAACATCCAGCTGCGAAGGTTCTTGTCGAATTGGCTCAGTTACAAGATGAGGAGGTATTCGATTGCACATTGTTTTCTTTTTGTTCTCAGTTCATTTTTCTGTGGGTATTTTTAATTGGAATTGTGTTACGCAGCAGTTTCAAATAAGTTTGATTCAAGGTTGGTGATGGAACAACATCGGTAGTTATTGTGGCGGCAGAGTTACTCAAGTCTGCTGATGAATTAGTTAAGCAGCAAGTTCATCCTACGACTGTTATTAACGGTTATCGCCTAGCTTGTAAAGAGTCTGTGCGTTACATGCAGGTAGATGTTCTGTGATTCTAAAGATTCGCTGATTTTTATTTATTCACTTATTTCATGATCTTAATCACGTATATCTTTTATGCACTAGTTCAGAGATCAAAAATTGTTTGTGTTCGGAAAATTAGGCTACCACTTTATATTTTCATCAATGTTAGTATTTCAGCACTGTACTCTCACATAGCGACAAAGGTGCTGCGGTCGAAAATTAGTGGTAGTTGGTAATGCAAAGAGAAATTTCATATTTAAGCTGTGGGCGTTTGATGAGTGAGCAAAAACGTGCAGCAGTCATGTGTTCATTAGTCGTGATAATATTCTTTGCTTATGATTTTTTTCTTCAGGACAATTTGTCATTTGGATCACGGGAGCTGGGTCGACATTCGATTACTGAAGCTGCGAAGACAGCGATGTCTTCAAAAGTCATTGGACCGTATGTTTTCTTTTTTAATTGTTCAAAGATTTGAGGTGAAGCGGTTTGGTTGAAGACTGCATATTACAGGGTTATTTGACCTGTATATTTTTATTTCCTTTTTTAAGGCGCTAATTACCTGATATATCATTTTGATAACACTTTATGATTTAAGATCTTATTATCAAATTGCTTCACCGTCTTTTCGTCTCTCCCTGTTTCTCGGAAACAATGAATATATTTTCCCGTAACTATTTCTTTGATAACTTTTTCGGTATTTTGAAAAACATGTATTTTTTTCAGAGATGCTGACTTTTTTGCTGATATGGTTGTTGAGGCGGCAGAACTAATCAAGATAACTGATGTTCAGGGTAAAGTTACATACCCAGTCAAGGCTGTCAATATACTGAAAGCTCATGGGAAATCAGTACGTGAAAGTTTTCTGATTAAGGGCTATGCGCTCAATTGTACTGTTGCTAGTCAAGGTAATTTTCATGTTGAGGATTTACAATTCTTAGTCATAGGTCCTAATCATATTTCTGTTGTTCCTAACTTTCCCATCTCTTCTTCGCTTCTCTCTCCCCCTTCCCAGAATTTGGTCATCATGATTTATCTGATATGATTTGGACAAAGGTTTCTGAATTTTTTATGTTATTTGCTTTATATTTCGAAATGAAAGGGCTCTCGCAATCTATTAGTCTTTTTTTTTTACTGTAGCTTTTGCAGCTATCATTATTTCAGTTTAGGCATTATAAAAATTCTATAGTGCAAAACAATAAACTGGAGGAACAAATAAATTTACTTTCAAATTGTTCCCGCTTTATCCTTCATTTGTGTCATTCTCTTGCTCAGAAACTTCATCACTCTGATTAATTTCTTTTAGTAATTTGGTTATGATTCTCATGTATTAACGTTTAGCTATGCCACGCATTATTCAAAATGCGAAGATTGCGTGTTTGGACTTTTCGCTTCAGAAGGTCAAAATGCATCTCGGAATATCGGTGATAGTTGAAGACCCGATAAAACTTGAAGCATTTCGTCGTGAGTAAGTTCTTTTTTTTTTTGTATTTTTTACAGCTAATATTTTTTTAGCATATATTCTCAAGGATTATTTTTACAAGTTCCTTTTAAGTTTGTATAAGTCTAAATCGTGGAATTCAAAAGGAAACAAATGCAATACCTACTTCTACTTTTCTGCCTTTAGGACTGGCAACGTTTTTGCGTTTTTTAAGAAATGTTCGGTTGCAGAGAATATGAAATAACGAAACGAAGAATTGAAAAAATTTTGAAAGCTGGAGCCAATGTAGTACTGACGACAGGTGGAATTGATGATCTCTGCTTGAAGCAGTTTGTGGAAGCAGGTGCAATGGCAGTTCGACGATGCAAAAAGATTGACTTGAAACGAATTGCTAAAGCAACAGGAGGTAGCAGTTTGTTTTAACTTCTTTTTGGTTGATATGATATTACCGTTGAACCTATTAGTCTAACTTTGAAATACTTTTTTAAAATTTTTTTGGGGAAGGAAAATAGGAAATTTTATTTTTGATTAAACACTTTCACTGATTAATGTTATATATGAATGGAATGGAAATTTCCTCTGATTCTAGATTTCATCTATTTCAGGCATCTTTCGCAACGTGTAAAATGTTTGAAAAGCATTTGAGCAATCTTAAAACATTACTGTTTTAACAAAGAATACCACTGAATATCTTTGGAGATTTTATGGGTTCTAAAGGATTGAATTCGTTGGTTATACAGAAAACATATTTATGAAGTCTTAATTTTATAAAATCATGTTTCAGCCACGTTAATGTCATCTTTGGCAACTCTGGAAGGCGCAGAAGCATTCGAATCCTCCCAGCTTGGTACAGCTGATGAAGTAGTTCAGGAAAGAATTTCAGATGATGAACTTATTTTTATCAAAGGACCGAGAGCGCGTACTTCGTCCTCGATTATACTTCGGTGAAACATTATTTTTCTCATCATCTTAATTGCTAGTCAAATTTCTTGTTGATCTGGTGTAAACTTCATTGAAATTATTTAAATTTACTCTGATTTTTCTCAACAACTTCCTCATATCTGCAATTTTATTAAAAGAGAAAAGAAAAATGAATGAACTGCTGCTTTGCCATAAATCAGATCTTTTTGATGTTCCATTGCTTCTTTCTTACTGACTTTTGTATTTAGTGGACCAAACGATGTGATGCTTGATGAAATGGAGCGGTCAGTTCATGATGCGCTTTGTGTTGTTCAACGCGTACTTGAAAGCAAAAAATTGGTTGTTGGTGGTGGAGCGGTAGAAGCTTCGCTGAATGTTTATCTTGAAGCATTTGCTACAACTTTGGTGAGTTCGATTTCCTTGCAGTTTGCATAATTTCATCAACATTTTATAATTGGAAATTGGGACTATTTTTTCTGCTTTGATTTTGCATTTATACTACAAATATAGACTTAAATCTGAAATATTTTACGTCTTTAAAATGCTTAAGAAATTATTTTAGTGAAATTTATTTGCAGTCAAGTCGTGAACAGCTTGCTGTTGCTGAATTCGCTAATTCATTACTCGTTATCCCGAAAGTGCTAGCCTCGAATGCTGCTAAGGATTCAACGGAATTGGTCGCTAAGTTGCGAGCATTTCACAATAAAGCACAGCAAGTGAAGGAACTTGCTCATCTGAAATGGTATTTATCTTACTGGAAATAATTCATTGGTCTTCATCTAATAAACATTTGCTTAAATCTGTTTTAAATCTGTCTAGTGAAGGTTGCAGACTTGTTTCATCTCTAACTCAATCTGTTTTGAATTAGGGCTGGTCTGGATTTGGAAAATGGAGAAATTCGTGATAACAAGGAAGCTGGCATTCTTGAACCGCTGATGAGTAAAGTCAAGAGCCTGAAATTTGCGACTGAGGCCGCCATAACAATTCTTCGTATTGATGATCTGATTAAGTTGGAGAAACCAGTGCAGCGAAGGAATGATGATGATGACGACGATATGTAGAGTGATTGCGCTCCATTTTTATGCAGTTGATGGAAAACTTAACAAAAAAAAAATTGATAGAAATCCTTGTTGAAAAGATAACTTTTGTATTTTGATGGAGGTTAAAAAGACCACTGGTACACTTTCTGCTTTCCACCTTGTTTCAATTTGTTTCTCATAAATACGCATTCCCGAAACTTCATGAAAAGGCTGTGGGCGTGGTTGTCTACGAAAACTGGAATTTTCCTACTCCACATTAGAATCCTTATTGTTATCGCTTATCACTTATTATTTTCAGATGACAGTAAAATATTTTAACAGTATTTCAAGAAGTCTATTAGCATTAAAGATAATTACCCACTATAAAAATGATATGGCTGGCATCTAATTGGGGAGCAGACCTTCACACACCATAACCTTCATCCTTAAAATCCTTTGCTCTGAAGTGCGTACTCACCTTTGTGCTGGGCACCACCAGCCAACGAAATCTTGTCTTCCCGATGGCCCTGCGGTCTACCGTAAAAATGAAGAACTCCACCCGGTATCATTTCCCATACGATATGCTACAATATTCACAAGGACCATAATACTCGAACTTTATTACAAATCGTACGGAAATCCAAGTCAAGAAACAATAACAATCAATAAAATAACTTCCAAATACAGCCTAGTCCAATCACACCTCAATTATTAAGACGAGGTTGCAAAGAAACCAGTAATTTGAAATTCCATAACATCAAAAACAGGGAGGGAGAGGTAATATCACGCAATGAAAATGAGATCGTCAATTCCGATCATAAAAATCATCTAATCAACTTCTTCAATTGTTGGTCCACCTCCTGTTGAACCAGCACCTGGAGCTCCACCAGGCATACCACCCGGCATTCCTGAAATATTCCTGTCATTAGACAAATCCTATTCATTAGCTTATAGTGCATCATAATTAAACAACCCGAACCATTGGTGAGACAAAAATCCCACCAGATTATGCAAAACATTACCTCCAGGCATACCACCAGCGCTCTGGTAGAGTTTTGTAATAATCGGATTGCAAACAGATTCCAATTCTTTTTGACGATGCTCAAATTCATCTTTTTCAGCTGTTTGATTTCCATCCAGCCACCTAACTGTTTCGTCACATTTTTCTTGAATCTTTTTCTTATCCTCTTCCGAAATTTTATCTTTTAACTGGAAATGATAAACGCGTTATTCAAACGATACACCACGAAGCAGAATACCTTAGGAAAATATGTCTCCAATTACCTTCTCGTCCTCAATCGTCTGTTTCATATTGAATGCGTACGATTCCAGAGCATTTTTCGCCGCAATACGATCCTTCTGTGCTTCATCATCTGCCTTGTATTTCTCAGCTTCCTGTACCATCCGCTCGATCTCATCCTTTGACAAACGTCCTTTATCATTGGTAATGGTAATTTTGTTTTGTTTGCCTGTGGATTTATCCTGGGCAGAAACATTCAGAATACCGTTGGCGTCAATATCAAACGTGACTTCAATTTGCGGCACACCGCGAGGAGCAGGCGGAATTCCAGACAACTCGAATTTACCAAGCAAGTTATTGTCTTTAGTCAAAGCACGTTCACCTTCGTAAACCTGAATTTCAACTTTTGTATGTATAAGTTTTTAACAATATATTTGGGATTTTTTTTTCTTTTAAAGAGTCATACGGACGCCCTTGTAAAAAATTAGAATAACAAACCTGAATAAGGACACCAGGTTGGTTGTCGGAGTATGTGGTGAAAGTTTGGGAGGTTTTCGTGGGAATAGTGGTATTTCTCTTGATGAGTGCAGTCATAACACCCCCAGCTGTTTCAATACCAAGTGAAAGCGGTGCGACGTCAAGCAGTAACAAATCTTGTACGGCTTCCGACTTATCACCAGAAAGAATAGCTGCCTGCACTGCTGCACCATACGCCACGGCCTTCAAATTTTTCTCATTTCAAATTAAATGGCTAGATTAAAAAAACAACTACTTTAATTACTCAAGTGCGCGATAACTTCTGAGATCCTGTTTATGTCATGGAAACAGACTGAGTCAAATAACAACTCACTTCGTCTGGATTGATGCTTTTATTCAGTTCTTTGCCAGAAAAGAAATCCGATAGGAGCTTCTGCACTTTCGGAATACGGGTTGATCCACCTACTAGTACAATGTCATGGACTTGGGCCTTGTCCATCTTAGCATCACGGAGTGCCTTCTCAACTGGATCCATAGTTGAACGGAAAAGATCAGCACATAATTCCTCAAAGCGAGCACGGGTGATATTGGTGTAGAAATCAATTCCCTCGAACAATGAATCAATTTCGATACTGGAATAGAAATGTGCGCCATCACACCAATGTTGACAAAACTTATAATGCAAAACCATCACCCATTTCTAAAACTGCCTGGCTAAAAAATGGCAATTCCAGGTGAAAATATGTACCTCGCTTGAGATGAACTAGACAATGTCCGTTTTGCTCTTTCGCATGCAGTACGTAAACGACGAAGCGCACGAGGATTTGACGCAAGATCCTTCTTGTGCTTTCGCTTGAATTCCGCAACAAAGTGATTCACCATGCGATTATCGAAATCTTCTCCTGCAAACGCACAACTAACAGGAATAACTACTTACATAACTAATCCAACCTACAACACACTGCATGCGCACAAATAACTAGAGGAAACGTCACTTTATGGAGGATAAACATACCTCCGAGATGAGTATCCCCAGCTGTAGACTTGACTTCGAAAATACCATCCTCAATGGTTAGAATAGATACATCAAATGTACCACCACCAAGATCAAAGATAAGAACGTTGCGTTCACCATGGCCCTGTAACATAAAATATCACATTCCCACTGGTGAGTACAATAGTATACAACTCTGTTAATGTGCGCTATATAAAGCACCTTCTTGTCCAAACCATAAGCAATAGCAGCTGCTGTTGGTTCGTTGATAATACGTAGAACATTTAGACCAGCAATTGCACCGGAATCTTTAGTGGCTTGTCGTTGTGAATCATTAAAGTATGCGGGGACTGTAATAACAGCATCCTTGACCGCGTGACCCAGAAAAGCTTCCGCCGTCTCCTTCATTTTAACCAAAACCATCGACGAAATCTCTTCTGGAGTAAAAGTCTTCGTCTCTCCCTTGTATTCAACCTGCACTTTAGGTTTACCACCACCAGCATTCACTACTTTAAATGGCCAATGTTTCATATCCGATTGCACTGATCCATCATCAAACTTACGACCAATCAGTCGTTTAGCGTCTGAAATTACAGCAGATATTAAAAAATTAGTCCAGACTGTTGGCATAATTATCCAAAAACATTAGCTCCCTAGTCGTATACCCAGCAGTGTAGTATTATACACCTGTGACACCACTCGACACTAGAAACGAAAAAGACAGAGAGTTCTGATTTACCGAAAACAGTATTGTGCGGATTCATTGCAACTTGATTTTTGGCTGCATCGCCAATAAGACGTTCAGTATCGGTAAATGCAACATACGATGGTGTTGTACGATTACCTGCAATATCCCATCTCTTTCTAAGGAAACTGCAAAATGAAAAATTGGTTCTGCCCTTAAGTCACCATCAATTCACTATAATGTTAAATTCGTCTTGATATGTCACATCAGTAACTTCATCTATTTATGTCTCAGAGCTCAAAACATTAACATGCGTCCCATTAAATGATGTGGACCATTTGGAGGTCTGCTAAAATCGGTGCCAGCACCGCCTTTCACCTTATGCAAAAATTTCAGTGAGCAAAATTGCTGCAACAATACACGCACAAAAAATCACATTTGATCCTAAACATAAGTTACTGGCAAACAGTTAAAAAAAAGAGGCCTCGATTATAATTTCAGATGTTGAGCAAAGCGGTCAATTTCATGGAAAATAAACCAATAACAATTGTACCTTGATCGTTAGCAATGATTTCCACTTTGCCGTGCATGAACACACCCACGCAGGAATACGTGGTTCCAAGGTCGATACCAATGGCATTCTTTGACATATTTGCTGTATTTCGAGAAACGTTGCAATAATCAACAACGAGCACGCCTAAAACTAGACCACACGTATAGAGCAGCGTCAAACACACAATCCACGCATACTACTTTCCCCCCCCCCCCCCTCCACTAGCCCAAACAACCGACAACGCAACCGAGCACTGTACAACGACGACTCACCACTAGCGAGGCAGCCATCGCTCAGTTCCTTTATATGTGGAACACATCGAATGTTCTGGAAGACTACAGAATGTTCAGTGCACAGGCAGAGAGTGTACTCCAATAGTCAGTGTGCGAGTGCTGCTAGCAGAATATCAAAGATAATAAGTGATTGGGGCTAGGATGAGAGAGTGACTGCATCGGAGTGAGAGAGATATTGTGAAGTGTCAGAATGTTCTAGAAACTCGTTTAGGATTGCAGTGAGAGGGGACCAGATCAGAGAATGTTCTGGAACACTAATGAGGGAGGGGGTCGATTCTCGGTTGGTGCATTCCCTAGCTGCCCTTGCTTCTGTGATGCTTGCATTTCTTGGAGGGATATTCTTAACCGTTTCATATTCTTGCCAGTAATCCGCAGATTAGTCATACACATGCATTACTAATTTCCTAATTGACCACCTGACAGGGTACGGGTAATTCTTTGCTGTAGTGGTATTGCCCTTCAGCGATTGCCCAGTTGAGCACACCTGAATGTCCAGTACTCTACAGCGCTAGGACTGGGCAAGTATACAACTGCATGAGTGCTTTTGACTTTTATTAAAATCTGGCCGCTCAGGACAAAATAGACTGAAGAACAAGAAAATATGGACCAAAATATCTTTAGACTATTATTATTACACCCGAAAAATATGAAACTGTCTCTCTTTTTTCTTCGATCTACTTCCTCAACTATTCTCATTAACATAAAATATTGAACTCAAGAATTAGCAAAGTATGATTTACCAATTCAAAAAAACATACTCTTAAACTTGTAATACCAAAATTTTAAGTTGTCATCCCTCCTTTATTCAAGTTACAAGTTTGTTTTGTTTTGTGGCTTCCTCAGAAGAAATGCACCTGTATTTGTTTACATTATGGTACTTTGTAAACCGTTCACTACTGTCTAATAGCTGTATTTATTCGTGTTGTCGGAACAGTGAAGGGCAATTCGACTGGTAATTTTTCTCTCGTTGGGCATGTATTCTCATCCTTTAATGAATTTATGCATTTTTACTGATCTTACGAACAATCAAAACTATTCATAAAATCAACTCCATTAATATGCAGTTCATAAATCACTACTTCGAGAACAAATATCTCATTCTACTTCTTCGATTGTTGGGCCACTTTCTTGTGAGCCGTCGCCTGGTACACTTCTTGGCATTCCTGGAATGAACAAGAAAGTTAATGGCTTTTTGCCTTCTCGAAACTTTAGAAGTGAAAACAGCAAGGATTATTAATTCAGGTGGATCACTAACCCTTGTGATATAAGTAGGTACTGCATACATTCTTACTTAACGACTCGGCTTTTTCGTAATGCCATCGACTGATGATTTTATCAGCTATAGTATTATCGATAATATTTTTCGCTGTTGAAAGGACCTCATCGCTTTGATCAGACAGAATAGCGTACAACCTTATCTCGAGTCTTTAAAAGATTGCTTTCAAACAAAAACAGTTCCTCGAGTTACAAAATATCTAGTGTTTTGGACTTTGGAACTGGTCCAACATCGAAAATGATGTTCTCATTTAAATTTTCAATACGGATTACGCGTTGTAAAAATTGACTTTTATACTAGTAAAATGAATCCACATACCGCCGTGCATATCATCGGCGCTCTGATACATCCTAATAATGATTAGATTGCAAAGAGCCTCCAACTCCTTTTGTTGATGTTCGAATTCGTCCTTCTCAGCCTGATTACCATCCAGCCATCTGATTACTTCGTTGCATTTGTCTTTAAATTTTTTGCGATCATCCGCAGAGATCTTGTCTTTCAATTGTAAGAACTTTATTAAACCAAACATTTCATAAATTATTATAATGGACATTTCTGTAAGATCTTTTTCGTACTTCCTAACATAACAAATCTTGCAATAAATTTTTATGGCATCAGGTGAATGTATCAGCATTCTGCAAAAGGAAATATGTGGCGATATTATGTGATTGATCTGAATTTATATTTTTGTTGAATATATATATGTTCCAATGCTCTCATTAGACGCTGCAATGAACAACAGCTTTTTATAATCTTAATTCGTTTTTAATGGTAAGAAGATCAGTAAGCGAGAATCATCCAGTACTTTTAAAAGAATTCTATTTTCTTTTAAAGCAATATAATTCAGATAGTTGATAATCCTGATTTTGCTGAACTCAACTCCAGGGTGAATAGGACAGCATAATAAACTCAGAATGATTGGTATGCTGTGTAGCACCAGCTTATTTGTTATAAATTGTGATATTCTGTATGTAGCATTTCTTGTCTATCCCTGGTTAGCTCTCTCCCATTAAAAAAAAAAAAAAAACGGAAGTAAAGCCTATCTTTACAGAATGTCCAAGGAATCGTTCAGCTGTCTCTTTCATTTTTCCCAAAACCATGGAAGAAATTTCTTCTGGTGTAAATATTTTCGTTTCACCTTTGTATTCTACTTGAACTTTTGGCTTGCCACCATCAGCACTGATGACTTTAAAGGGTCAATGCTTCATATCTGACTGGACCGCCGGACCACCAGATTTCCTACCGATCAACCGCTTTACATCTTTAAATTCATACATTCATTAGTGGCACGGAAATCTATCGCAATTGATCTCTCATCAATCATAATATTACAAAAAGGGGTTTCTCTATTTCTCAACACTTCCGACATGGAGACTGACACAAATCAGAGCTGGATGAGACTAATCTATCGACAGAGTGTAAAATAATCATCAGCATAGCAAAAGCAGTGTTATGTGGATTCATAGCAGCTTGTTTTTTGCCGCATCATCAATTAAGCGCTCGGTATCAGTGAATGCAACATATGATGGGGTTGTTTGATTGCCTGAAGCGAAAAAAGTTTGATGGAAATCCTAAATTAGGATGAATATGAACATTAGAATTTATGTCTAGATTTTATTCAAATTTGATATCTAGATTTTATTTAAATCATTCATCCAACTTATTTTTAATCTAGACTTCTGTCTTCGATCATTCATCAATTTGATGTATGTAATAATCGGAAAATGAAAGTTGTAATTATAAATGAATATAAGGAACAGAATACTTCAATGTGTATTGGAGACAATCTACTAAGCCATCCACTTCTGTCTTCGATCATTCATCAACAAAGATGGTCACCGGAATGCATAGAATAGTTACCTTGATCATTAGCTATAATTTCTACTTTCCCATGCATAAATACACCAACACATGAGTAAGTAGTACCGAGATCAAACCCAACAGCATTTGACTTTCCTATTATTCTGATAAGCTCTCTGCAATACCATGATAGGAAAGCAATAGTGCCAGTTAACGAGTGATAGATTACTATACAATATTAAATTTTATTTTTACTGATCTCCCATTGAATTCAAGATTTGATAACTGTAATTTAACTTCACTTCCAGTCAGAATTTGTTAAGGAAGTATGTGCAGTGGGGAACAGGAGGTTAAGCGAGTTTAACACCTAAATTGTTTGCTCCTACTATTAGTGTTAGCCTCTTAATATGTGGAAAAAAGGCATTCAATGTAACTGAGAGGTGTAGGACACGGAAGGATATCACGCAGACTATTGAATAAATGACCGAAGCAGCATGCAAAGTTAAGACAGAAGGCAAAACGATCGGAAAGCTTATTTAAAAGAGTGAAAGAACATTCGAGAACGCGTGCACTGTGGAAGTGTACGCAGAGCAGCAAGCGAAATAATGCTGAGCCTGTCTCACAATACTACTTTGATCTTATGGAATCCATCCTGCTTTGCACAGACCGAGAGTTCTCAAACTCTCCACACAAAATGCAACATATCTTGTCGAAAATGAGAAAGTATGACCTTCCCACTCTCTCTGCCACTTTCCTTTTACTGACTGCAGAACGGCATGCCGCAAACGAATGTCGATTAGTAATGAGTCGTGCATGTTATACTACACAAAGGTATGGGACATTATTCTTGACTGACCATTGGTCATTCTTACTAGACTACTGGTTGCTTTTCAAGTGCTATACTGTCTTCATCACTTAATTAATTTACCTCTGGCTTCAAATGAAAAACTTCTGAAATCATTATGTGAGCCAAGGAGGAAAACAGCTCGTCCTGTAGTCTAATCTTCACTCATTCCATACAAACAGTAGTTAACAACTGTGAAATTATTCAAAGTTATCTGCATGATCTGCGGATTACCTAAACTTAGTTATAAAGGCATCTTAAAGAAACTTGGAAGACTGCTCATGTTCATGTGGAAGGATATAATACAATTATGATGAATGTAAGTAATATATGACTGTGTCGATATCCCACTTTTCAGGTTAGAATGGGTCTACGCACATTTCATATATCCTTCTATTTAACAGCAATTACTTTACTAATTAAAAAAAAAAAAAAATTGGAAATTGCTGATTTAATGGAGATGGAGAACAAAAATCAAGAATCACGATTCTGGCTTCCCATTGTGTTCATTTTGTACACAGAGAAAGTTGAAATTTCATTTGAATTTGAGAGAGAAAGAGAGGGAGAGAATTGTCATTTGTATGAATCCACAATATTAAAGAATTTATGGCATGGAAAAAAATCGTACTTTTTTTTACATTGAGATGTATGGAAAAGTGACACTGATGGTCATTGCTTTTCACCTGCTTCTGAAAATCATTTTTAAAGAAAAGCTAACTTTGCTATTTTCGCAGCCGCATTGATGCCATCCTCTATGTTAAAGTTCACAAAAACAAAGACTGGTCTGATATCAGAAGTTATAAATTTATTTTGTTTTCACCATTACTTTGTTTTCTTCCTACTTTTATATTCTTAATATGAAATCCATACTTCAATCCATACTTGAAATTGTTTACATAGAATATTTGAATTAGTTTTTTGAAACAAATAAAGAGATGAAATCGACGAGGAAAAAAGCAACAAGCTTTTTCATAAATTGATGCAGCAATAATTTTCCTCCTCCTTTTTCGAATTTTGATTCACACGCAAAAAGTGGAGATGCACCAATAACAAAAAGATCAATTCGATTTGATCCATTAGGATAGAATTCATCATCACATCATTAGAGTTTCACGTTATAGTATAACTAATTGACAGTAGTCTAACATTCTATACCACTCTGGGGTTCATATATGCTATATTTTTTGATTTCGTTTGACTTTCTTCTAAATTTATCATAGACCGCTGATAAGAAAGATCTACTATCAGCATCCAATGTTCTATAAAAACTGATCGTACAAATATGGAAAAAGAATTGTGAGACTGTATTTTTATGGGTGAAAATTTCTATTCATGTTGATGTTCTGCTGGAAGAAAAGGAATTCCACAAATATTGAAGGAAAAAAATGAGTTTTCGTCCTTGGATTTGTTGAACCATTGGAACGAATTGGCAATTCGAGCAGCAACAACATCGGCCGATAAAAACGATGTAACGTTGATTTCTGTATACTTTTGGTAGTGAAAGAAGATAAGAAATGGCTAAACTTTTGAGTTTTACTGAAATATGTGCAGGAAGTTTTTTAATTTTTTGCACCATTTTTGGTCGGAATTGCTTTTCATGTGATAATCATGCTTTCGTATTATTTGAGAACTCATTCCATCTCGATATATTATCCTTACCCAAATTAAGACCTTCTAAAGTACGTCCTTCCCCTCAAAGGTGAGTTAAAACATAATCTTTTTTTTTTCTGAACTGTACTTGTCCATAAAATAAATAGCATAAATGACTGAACATTTATTAGAATGTTACATATTAGTTTCATTTGCTGACCAATCGTTGTTTGGAATTCAAGTGACTGAGCATAATTAAATTTGGGTAGATTAAAATTCTAGATTTTCATTGGCAATCAGTTTAATGTAAAAGTAATTTCAAAAAGTTATTTCAAACATAGTATTGTTAGACGAAGTAACGATAAAAGTTTTTTAAAAAAAGGAAGTTCTTTGAAACGGGAGAAAATTACCTATGTAGCAAAAATTACTAAGTGATTTTATTTCATTGAGAGAAAGTGAAAAAAACTATGAGAATTATGTAAGACAATAGTTGTTGGTAGAATAACGATCAAATTCCTTAATATTAGAAGGGAATGAATAAATTTATTTTCCAAATAATGGGAATAATCGTTCTTTCATGCAATTAGGCTTAGGATCTAATCTTTCAAATAGATAAATTTTGTTTTAATTTTAATACAAATTATTCGTCGTCCAAGAACTATTTCAACAACTAAACTTCATGATTTGCAGAATAATCAAAGAATGGAAATCATCCAATGTTATGGAGATGAATTAAGGTAATATGTATTGTTCACACCCAACAGGTTCTTTTCGATTTTGGTGCAAATTCGATATCTTCGCATAAGTTTTGTCCATGATAATGAGGACTATTTCTCAAGTGCTGAGTACCGGAAGTGTTTCCTACCGCATGGATTCCCGCAGCGGTTCGAAGGTCGTCTTTGCAAAGACTTTTTCTCCTACCTTCCGTCTATGCAAAGTATATTGTTGACCTCTGTTAACAACTAGAGAAAGGACATCTACTGTGACAGGGAGCCACGCCCAATGGTCACCTATTTTGGATCCGCCCAGTTTAACCGCCTACCGTGAATATCAGTCTATCTTATAAAGCAATTCCTCTCACCTGATGTTCTATTTGTATTAATAGACTGGCAAAGGGCTAAACTATGACTTATGATTTCTTATCAATTCCAATAAGCTAACAAAATTCGAATTCATTCCATTTTCTTCTTTAGATGATTTCTCAATCACAAATTACTTTAGAATTTCACATACAACTATGCCATTGTGATGATTATTAGCTAACTGATTACTTTACTTCAAATGCGCTTATTACTACTGCCAAAAGATTGATCTTCATCGTTTTAGTACTGACAAACACGCCGGATCTGTCTATTTTGTGGATCTTTCCCACCACGGTAAGTAATTTTATTTCTGTTAAGATTATACCTTTTCATTTGTCATTTTCCAAATAATTCGAAACAGTTCATCGACACGTCATCTGGGTTTTCTTTCATGATCATACGATTAGATTACATCTGCATGCCATTATCCGCGGAAATCTCTCTCTTCATGCACTGTATTCTATCCTTTACATGCATATCACTTTTTGGCCATTCATCTATAAAAAGAATTAGTTGTATTTATATGGAAGCATAGTTTTAATGTCTGAACTTTTTAGTTATTAACAGAAAATTAAATCAAAAAATTACGATCCTTCAATACATAATTATTTTATTTATTAATTTTGGTTGTTAGATATAAAAGACCCCAGTAGTACTTGTCAGTAAGCAGTCGGCCAGAAAGATTTTTTAGGTAAATGAGTACTGTTTGCATCAAATATAAGAATCTAGTAATTTCATGCGATCAACTCTTTGCATATTATTCATTGTTAAACAGAAATTCATTTTTTTCAATAATGCCATTCTGCAATATTCATTGGATGTAATTATTTTACATCCACTCATTTGTTAGTATCGGGACTTTTTGTTCTCAAAACTTTTTTCTTTTATATATGTAGATTCTTCGGCTTCTTAAATTTTCGTTTTTTGTGGTTATTTTTTAAAATTTCGAATTTATTCCTATAAATAATTTCTTCACTATGTCCATTCACAACCTCACGGCACATCTTCCTATTTTGTCACTCCAGTGACAAATACTCCACATGAAAATCTTAATGATACAGTAGGTGATGCATGTACTTATTATGACATGAGGAATATGTTGTCTTGTCTAGAAAGATTATAGAAAGATCTTCATTAAATCATTGAAATGTCAGACCACAAATTTTCAATATCTTTGTCAACGAAATTTGTATTTTGTAATCTGTTCCGCTGTACTTTTGTTTATTTCGCTATAAAATGTTAATGTTATTTGAGTTTGTGGAATGCGATGTGTTCTTCAAATATCTCTACTCTACTCTTTGGTTATCCCCATTCGATTATTCTCAGAACAACATTTCGACTTTGAAATTCCAGAAGGTATAATTTGTTTTTTAAAGAGTAAATATAAAAACCAAGAAACTAATAAAGTATTTGTTGCAGAAACATTTTTCATCAGTAATTTAGCGAAAAAATGAATGTAATGCCAGTCATAGGTTATCAATTTTACTAAAAATATGTAGTACTAAAAATAGGTTGAAATTAGAACTAAATTTAAACTTTTTATTCTCCGTTTCTCTGATATTTTATCCTTTTATTTTTTTGCAGATATCGCGGAAGGTACATTGATCGGCAAAATTCCGCTGGAACCAAATCTCAACTATCGATTAAATGGTCACAATCAGTTTGCATCTGTGGATATTCAAACTGGTGAAGTTCGCACTTCTGCACCATTGAACCGGGAGACAATTGCACCCAACGGAACAATTATTTTGATTTTAACTGCTGAACCGACTACAATAGTCGCAGTTCGAATTAATGTGCTGGATGTCAACGATAACAGCCCGACGTTCCCCTCAAAGCATATGGTTGGTTAAGCTGTAGCACAGAACAGCACAGACTTATCATTCTCGATAAATTCTCGCATTCAGGATAGGTCAATCGCTGCTATTAGTTGAAAATCCTGTGGGCCATTCACTTTATTTTAGTAATTTGTACATCCATACATCAAATTTCTGGGTTTCAGAAATTAGTTACGGCGCTGAATTGAGAAAAAAAAACTGACTTTTCGAACTTAAAAACTTGAAAAGTATTATTCAGTAACTGGTTCTTGATCCTTTAACAAAAGAAAATCAAAATATTTTTCAAGATGTGGAAAATATAACAATAAATCATAACGAATAACTGCATTCTGATAGTTATTTATGAAATTCAAAAAGATATCCTACCCAAGATCAGGTATCAATTTGACAGCCAGGATCTATTTGGCCTTTTTATCGCCAAAATAATTTCAATTTATTCATCACATCGAAAATTCTGCATAATTAAAAAGAAAATATTTCAATTGAGTCGTTTACCCGTGGGTAGTAAATTTTGCTGTGTATATTTGAGAAGGACCATTGACCGTAGGCATTAATTATATATTTCGCTTCATCAATGCAGCGGAGAAAGCTTTATAATTGTTGGGGATGTGAAGCGGAGATAATTAGTGAGAATGGAAGATGAGGGTCGGGCAATGGATTTATTGTCGCAGGTGTCCAGAAATCATGAATTTATGATGCATAGTTAATTTTCATGTTGCTTTACATCCTGAAAATTTGGCTATTTTTGCTATTTTAATATAAATTAGATTGAAATTTGAACAAAATTGAACAGAAAAAGATTTTCTGAGCATTTTTTCATGTAACTCCTTCTAATTAAAATTTTAACTATCTCATTTATTTTCTAGAGTGTTTCAATTGTCGAATCAGCAGTTATTGGCAGTCGGATACGCTTACAACCAGCAAACGATCCAGATTTAGCTGAAAATGGCACGATTGTAAATTATGAGCTTGAAGTCAGTCGGTTTTTTTTTTTTTCAGATCATTGTAAGTTCTGGAAAATTAAGAGACTCTGATGATTTTTTTCAGAATGAAAAAGAATTTTTTACATTAGTACGATCTTCGAACACTTCTGGTGAAGATGTCTTGCTACTTGAACTACAAACAAAACTAGATCGTGAGACGAAAGATCTGTTTGTTCTCAACATTTCAGCATATGATGGTGGCAGTCCACCTCGGTTATTTTTGTACCTTTAGTTTTGTGATAGTAGCGTATTCATTACCATGATTAGGATTATGGAAACTTTTCTTGATCTCTATAAAGTTCTTTCCGAGAACTGAAGAAAACATTCTTATGGCAAGGACATTTATATAATTATCGTCTCATTAAGGAATATTTTTCATCTTGACTTGTAATTCAAGTAATTAATATCGTTAATTTAAAATGGTTTTAGCTCAGGCTATTGCATAGTTTACGTAAACGTATTAGATGTGAATGACAACCCACCAATATTTCGTCAATCACGTTACGATGTCCAATTGAATGGATCGGTATTATCTAATGCAACACTATTGTGGGTTGAAGCTACTGATGTAGATGTCGGTGATAATGGTCTTATTAGCTATCATCTTACAACAAACCCTTCCGAATATTTCCAGATTGATCGCAGTACGGGTGCAATAACTATTCAGGTAAAGAAAATTAAAGAAAGTAGTTAAATCCTATTTCACAGTGAGTGTCTCAATCTGTGAAAAAAATCTAATATTTGCGAAATCAATAAATAGACTATTTAGTATAGTATATAAGAAATTAAAACTTTCCCAATCTTTTCTATAGTGTAAAGACCCTGAACGTTCTCAGTCTTCGCAATATCACTTCACTCGATTTACTTGAAGTATTCAATGTTCTATCAATTTTATTTGCTGCATTTAATTTTAGACACTTTTTTTTTTTTTTCGGATTCCCAAAATGGAATTAAGCCAAAACTATGGAATAAAGTTATTTGTAGCACACTGCGCTGAACTGCTTAGAAGATGGTTGTTTGCAAGATTGCTCGGGAATATGTGTTTTAACAGTGGAAGCACAAGACCAAGGTGAACCAAAATTGATTGGCCATACTTTGGTTTATATACACCTCACAAATACCAATTTGCATGATCCCGAAATCAATTTCAGGTAATTAATTTGAAATTCTAATTGCCGTCATAAGGCTGTTTAAATTCTACCAAGTTTCAATAACTTTACAGGACCTATCCAACTGGTTCAGAGGTTGCATACATTAGTTCAGAAACAGCTGTAGGCTCAACAATTGCTGTGATAACAGCAAATGATCGCGATGACGGGCAAAATGTTCGAATATCTATAATTAATGGTAACAATGAGAATTATTTTCGATTAGAAAGTGGAAAAAATTACGGTATTTTACGACAAAACCGATTAATGGATAAGCCGATCAAGCAGTTTCTATTGAAATTTTGTGCAACAGATGATGGTGTGCCACCACGTTCTTTGGAGCGTGATCTGAAGGTCAGTATTCTGAGATTACGTAAACCAAAAAAAGAGCTTTTAGCGACTAAGACACGCAAACCAGAAAATTGATGAAATTCAGTCATTTTTAGGTTTTTGTTACAAAATTAAATGACACGGCTCCAGTACTTGAAGAGAAATTTATGAAAGTTGATATTTTTGAAACTTCACCGCTGGGGTCATTTGTTGCTGCGGTTCGAACCTCTGCTGAGGAAGATTTACACTTTTCGATTATTGAAAACAGCGGAAATGACGGACTATTTTTGGTTGGTGAAAATACAGGTAAAATCAGAACTTGAACTCTTTTGTTTACTTGAAATGATTAATCAACACAATAAATTTTAATAATTAAATGAATCCAGTTTGTCCTGTCTGTCCAATACTGGAATATAAAATCTGTTATAATTGAGCATTAGCCAAATACTGAAATCGAGTACCGAATTTTCTAGTGATAAGAATATTGGTTTTCTGCATTCCTCATTAAATTATCAACATAGTAAAAGAATAAACAATAAGAAGGATATCCTAAATTTAGTCTGAATCACTTAATTATATGAGGAAATTAATCGAAATGGTTGATAGGTATTGTGACACTTTCCAAAGTATGGCCAAATCATACCAAATGGAATTACGAACTTGAAATATCAGTACGAAAAACAACGCCCAGTAATAAATTTTCGATCTGCACAATTCAAATAACGATTATCGATGTAAATGATCACGAACCGCAATTTTCTGCTCCTTTTTATGAAGTTGAAGTGTTGGAAGACACTCCACCACTTACTGTCATCTTTAAAGTTTGTGCAACTGACGAGGTGCGCTTTTTCCTGCTAAACTAAATTCATCAACTGGGATCTTCAAGAGATGGTATTAGAAGTATTACTTAGTTGAATGGTGAAGATTTTAAAGAGCTGTTAATAAGTAATATGCAGAAATTTTTGTTTTTCTAAAATGAACTCATATTCAGGACCATGAAAATAACAGTGCTATTTCGTACAACATAGAAGACCCTCATAAGAAACAAATATTTATGGTCAAGGAATCTTCTGGTGAAATATTGCTGCGTACAAAGCTTGACCGAGAAACTAAAAAACAGCATAAAATTATTGTTACCGCTACCGATCACGGCAAACCATCACGAAGTTCCTCAGTTCTCCTTATCATCAACGTCTTAGTTCGCTTTTTTTTTTTTTTTTTTTCATATATTTTAATACTAGTATTAATATGATATTAAATTACATTATTATTATGTTTCCTAATGATAAATCTATCCTCGGGAAAATGATGAGTACCAAATGAAAATTACTCTTTTTTAAAAATAATTCAGCTGTGGTAGTTGAAAAAAGATTATTCATGCTTTAATACGAAGCTTTAATAAGGTATTTTCTCATGTTTTGAGGATGTAAACGACAATGATCCATATTTTGCTCAAGTTGAGTACCATGGTTACATTGTACGAGGCAATCCATCAGGTACTTATCTCGTACAGCTAGAGGCATTTGATAACGACAGTCCAAAATTTGCGCAAATATCATATTTGTTTTATTATTCTGTTCCGAGTTCCTTGGAATTGGACCATAGAACTGGAAGAGTGTATCTAGCTACGCATGCGGATTTACTTAACTTTGGACCGAAAATAGAAGTAAGTGCTTTTAACCACTTTTCCTGAAGTCTTTTAGGTTTGACTTACCACTTCAGTCAGTTCAATCAAGGAATATGTAATTGTATTGAATTAATGTGTCCTCAGATCATTGTGGGTGCAAAAGATAACGGCGGTCGTCTGTCACGTAACAATGCTACTATAAATATATGGCTACTAGACAGTATGTTTCAAGTGCCAAAATTCAGCACATCGAACAACTGGTCCATTGAAGTCATTGAGAATTCGTCACCGGAAAAAATCTTGGCCTCATTTTCTGTGCATTCGCCACTCGTGAGTTATTATAACAGCAGATTACAACTTAAAAAAAATCGAGCTGTGACGATTAAAAGAAGACTTCAAACTTTTCACCCCCTGTCATCATACTGGAGCACAGTGTAGTATTCATAGTTCAGTGAATTGCACTTCTGTGCTAATTTAAATTGTATTATATGTTAATTGTAAAGAAAATGGCTAAATTAATGATTAAATTAATGCAATAATTTGTGTTTGATGCATCTGAATTTTAGCTTATTCGAAGGTTGCAAAATCTGTGTCTTTTAAAGCTGCGAAAAATCCACTTAAAAAATTGTAGAGTGGTATTCGCTATCGTATCAACACTACTGATTTGTTGATCAATGAATTTACGGGTGAAATACGAGCTCGTCGTTCATTTGATCGCGAAGTGGAACCTAGAATTGGTTTCACGATTTATGCGGATGGTGAATGGTCAACTGCAATGCACCAAGGAACGCTGAATATCCTTGACCAGAATGATAACTCTCCGATCTTTGAACTTGATGGAACAGCTCATTTTGTTATTGATTCTCAGCGGATAGGGATTGGTGCAGAATTGTTTCGATTACGATGTCACGATCCAGATGAAGGTCGCAATGGTCACATCACATTTAGTATCAATAGTAGTTTTTTCAGCATTGACTCAGAAACGGGAATTGTGCAATTGGTGAAATTTCCTAATAGTTTCAATCAGTTGCAATTCCATGTGACGGCAACTGATGGCGGTGAACAATCACGACACAGTACTATTAGAGTTGTGGTAGAAATCAAGGAAGATGAAAAAGTGAGCTTCTTTCAAAAATTCACTAGTACCTTTTCAATTAAACCTTTTCAGGTTTAATTCTCTTGTTCTTAAAGCAACTATAATTTCACTATATCCTCCGATGACAAATCATTACGCCATTTTTTATCGAAATTACAGTAGTACAGTTTATCAAGCAGGCAGAAATTCGTTTTAATTTACTAGAAGTGAACGTACAGTTCAACTGGTCATGAGTTAATTTAACTTGAAATCATCCATCTCCTAGCTTCAATTTCTCATTGAGTATTATGCATTAATTAATGATGGGCAAATACTAAAGTTCAGTTAAGGTTAATAGTGAAGATATTTTCCATTTCTTCCGTCAATGACATAAACCCTTCATTTTATTTATCTTTTTCACTTCTAATTGACCAAATCAATTTAAGCTAGTGATGGCCAATTTATCTTTCAGCCCTATTCATTTCCGCCAGTAATCGCATTATCGATACCAGAAAATATACTTTTGGGAACAATTATAACCACTTTAGCACCCAAAAATATAACCCAACGTTTTGAATTCCAAACATATGGAGTTACGGAAAACCATCCAGTTCAAATTCTTCCATCTGGTGAAGTTTTCGTTGCATCTAAGATTGACCATGAAATTATGAATTACCTATCAATTTCTGTTGCTGCTTTCAATTCATACAAAAATTCAAATTCAGTTCCAAACAAGCACGAATTCCTACTTCAGCTCTATATAGAGGTAAAATTTAGCTGTCCCGCATTCTTTGGATAAAAGTTCTCTTTTCGAATAGCTATTTTGTACTTAACTTGATTAAAAGTAAACAAAAGACCTGTTTTAAATGACAAACCATTTCAGTAAAATTAACGACATTTTGAAACTTGCTATTAGTCAGGCATAAATTAAAATCTTCAAGCAGATTGTATTTTAGAAAGAAATTTCCATAAGTAGTTTTCAAATGTTAGTTTAGTTATCCTAAAACCCATGGTTTTAGGATATTAATGATAACGCACCTCAATGCCCCAACAAAAATAAATTCATCATTTTCGAAAATAACATCCCTGGTGCAATTGTGGGACTTTTTAATGGTATTGACGATGACAGTGATCCAAATGCGACGTTGTTGTACGAAATGATATATGATACGAAGAGAATGTTCAGCATTGATCCTCATACTGGAATTGTATGTTCAATTTACTGTGATTAACTTTCCGTTTTCATGCTAATCATTTTTTAAAAGTTTTTTTTTTTTTTTTGCTTCCTATAATAATTTGCAAAACTGTAATAATGACTTTATGTTAAAATTTCAACATTTTTTAAAGAACTGTTTCATGCGTTTCTTACTGTTAGACATCACCAGAGGTTCATTATAAAACGTTAGATCCGAACATTATTGGTGTTGGATTTCGAACTGGCTCAATTCCACAATTTAACCGTCATTATTACGGATGGAGGCTTGTTAAAAGCAAACTGTACGGTAGTGGTTGAAGTGAAAGATTCAAACGACAACGTACCGTACTGGGAGAAGGAATTTTATCATTTCTATATTTCACCAAATGCAGGAGATAATTTCGTCGGTAGGGTAATGGCGCAAGATCTGGACTCTGCTCTAAATGGTGAAGTTAGATATAGACTGCAGCAGAAATGGATGCCGTTTAAGGTTATTGGTTGAAAATTTTCAGGATTTTTTGGGCTCTCTTTTCATTAATTACATTATTATATATTATTATTAGTCGATTTTTTTTCTATATATTCCTATATATTAGTCGATTTTTGTTCATTTAGATTTATATTTAACTTTACTAATTTGCAAGCTTATTTGTTGTTCGAATCTAAATTTAGTCGTGGGCTTTTGATTTCAACCTTTCCATAATCTAAAAGCTTATTAGTTCTAGATCAATGAAAGTACAGGTGATATCACACGGGATGGTTCTGTGGTACCAGGTCATGTTTACAACATCACCGTGATTGCAACAGATAGAGGCATTCCTACACTCTCTAATGCAACTTTTGTTTTCATTCACAGTGATGCAGAAAAAGATTGTACACCTAATTTTACAAGTTATCCAAACAATGATATTAAAATTGACAACAGTTTAGTTGGACAAATGATTACTCGAATACATGCAGTTGCATGCGATCAAGAAGTACTGTATTCGTTAAGTTATGGTCATGCAAGTAGTATTCAAAGCAATCTCGGATTGTTTTGGATTGATTCTACTGACGGGAGCATATTTTTAATGAAAAACTTAGATGAATATATTGGAGAGCGAATTGAATTGATAATTAAAGCTGAAACGATATCGGTTTTTAATAGTGTAACTTTTGGAGTTATGATAGTGGACAAAAGGAATAGAAACTCTGATATGGATACGATTACAATTCATATTCAGGTGGATTTGACTCTTTCTTTCATTTTTATTTCCGTTATTACAAAATCGACTCGCCTTTTCACTCATTTAATCTTGTATATGATAAATTTTTATATTACTTGAAATCTATCTTGGAGCTTACCAAATATCACATTTTTAGGAAAACAATAGTGTTGGTGAAATATGTGGCAAAATAGAAACATTGGGGAGAGATTTAAAGTTGTTACGCCAAATACCAGCTGGGAAAGCATTTCTCTTCCAACAACAGAATTTGATTTGTATTGATGTGTTGGATCGTGAACAAGTGGACTTTTATCGTCTGGTTGTTGCTGAAAGTGATGGTTTGAAGTCAATGGTCATTACAGTTCAAGTAGATGATGAAAATGATAATTCTCCAGAATGCTTTGGAACCAAAGCAGTTCTAGTTGGTTCTGAGTCATCGTTCGTCCCATGGAATTGTTTAGACAGGGATGCTGGTTTGAACGGAACAATTGGTTATAAAGTTATGGAGAGTTCAGAAATAGTTTCTGAAATAAACGACAGTGGTTTCATAGTCAGTTCTTTCTCAGGCGATCCGAAGTATTTTTCTGTATTGGTTTACGATCGAAACACTAACAGTAGGTAAGTTTACATTCAGAAAAGCAAGAGATGTAGAATTCTCTTTTTCGAATTTCCCTTCAGTAAAAAATGGTTTAGATTTGAAGACGATAAATTACGAAGGACCACTGAGCTTCACTATATTTTGATCTCGATTAATCCAAGGCTGGAAGCACCAGTTGAATTCAAGAAGCGGTATCAGCTTGACCGAGACATCCAACTTGGCACGGTATTTGGTACCGTAATAGCGAAAACTGGCGCTAAAGTTGAATATTTTACTACCTCATTTAAAAATGAGAAACATGTGAATAGCGTGCAGTGGGCTGATATTGATCGTCAAACTGGACAGTTGCAAATTAACCAGAAACCGGATGATCATCTGGTGAGCATGGAAATCACGCTACTGTCAGAAGGATTCACCAAGACAATTGCAGTAGGTTTACTTTTGTTAAATAAACCTTCCATGAATATTTGTAACTGTAGTAAAATAAATTCAAATTAACTGATAAAATGGATAATTGCACCATCTATTCGACAAATTACATTATCATTACATTAGTGTCTCGAAATTCTTTTTTTTTTTGAAAGAAATTTATTAGAGTATTAACAAGTACTCGTGAAAATGATTTGGTGAGATAAAAAACATCTTTTCTCTCTTTTTCTTTATCTTTCTTGATTCTATATTTGAACACATTAAAATTAAGACCGCATGACTGATTTAACATATTCTACTTGTATATTTGGTCAATATTTGCTTCCCCATTCTATCTTGCCTTTCGCTGTTTACCTTAGTTTGTTGAGATTGATATGTGTGGTAATGCGCATCTAGAACTTCAAAGTACAGACGCGATGTCATTTATATGCAAATATAAATTTGTTGCTGTCTCGACACTATTGTTCGTCCTATTGATGTCCCTGTATGCACTGTTCGATCATGCGTGTTTGTAATGTGCAGTTTGTTGATTTTGTCATTTGTTGTGTTGTCGTCCAATTGTATATGAGGACATCTGGTGATGACTGAAATGCTGAGGGTTGATATGCATCATTTATTCCTCAATAGCCTATACAACTACCTTTATGTGAAACATTGAATATTGAAAAATCAGTGGCTATAAACCTTTTATGGACATTGACATACTTCACAGATTTTCTCTGTTATAGGGATCATTTAATTTGGCTCGGACAGAGAATAAATTTATGAAAATTTTGCATGTTGAGGTCTTCAAATTAATTTATTCAGCTAACTTTTTAATAACTCCTGAGAAGGAGAGTTTTTGATTCAGAAGTCAGTTTCATCAACTAGAAATGAAAAATGCGAATTTCGAAATGTTAATTTAAAAATGATTGAACATTTCTGTTATTCTATTTTCTCCTTCTTTAGTTCCATGATTTTTCATAATTACTTTCGTTTTCGTAAATTCGATAATATTTCAACATTAAGGTGAGAATTTTCACACTGGGTTCAATATTCCACAAATGCTGACTAAAGAATACCCTGTCAAGTTGTACTTTATTCAATGAGTCATTTATATTAGAGTGATCAAATGGACCTCATGTTCATATTGTTTCCTGTCCACTTATTGATCAAACTATTTGTTTGTCAACATTTATAGTAATGGAAGTGGACACAGAAGTTGAGTAAACAATCTGAATGAAGTAAGAAAGAAATTCTATTCGATTCATACCAACTTAAAATTATAAAGAAGTGTAACGAAAAGTCCAGACCTTGCAAAAACTAATAATATTAGTTATAAATATAAAAGATAATTACAGTAACTAATTTTGGTATCGTCAAATCTTTTTGAACATCCAACGGAGATTTAATGTTAAAGCAAACTAGAACTGTATGCTTTTTATGGAAGAAATAGTGATACGATAGGTTTAATTGTAGATCTTACTTCCGTCAGTTATCTTCTTGGTGCTTTCATGTGAATCATCCATTCGCGAAATCTGAAGCATCTGGTAGAATAGAAGTGGCTTATTAATTAATTTTTATTTTATTTCCCGTAATTCTACAAAATCTGATTATCTCAACACAAGCAAAATTCCTCTTCTAAGTGATCAGTCTTACTTAATGTTTATTAATTATGTCGCAGGGCATTCATTTTCTATAGTGTTTACTCAAGCGTGAATATGTTAGTTGTAAGGATTAATACATTTGGAGCTTAGAAGCGTTTGATTCAAAACAGATTAGCCTTAAGGCACTCCTATTAAACTTACACTACACTTTAACACCAGAATGAGATAAGATTATAAAGGGAAATAAGGCATAAATTGCAGAATCTTTCAGTCTTGCAAAAAACTTATTATCAGCAGTTTAACTTATTTTGTCATTAAAATTTAATCTTCAAAAATTTTATGAACAGTAATAGTAACTAAGAAAAAGAAATTAATTATTGCGATTTAAAAGAGCTTGCAAAGCGATAGATTAAAGTTGGGTATGTTTTCTTTACTTTATCAATTTTTATTTGTCTTAGATTTCACTTGAAATTTTTTTGTAATCAAAAACGATCACACTAATTGTAGACTGATCCTTTTTCTGGTATACTGCATCACTAATTCTAATGAATTTTCATTTGCTTTTCACTTACTTCGTCTCTACTATCTACTGATCGATCACTGAGAATCAAAGCTCGATCGAGATTATGAAGTCGAGCTTGATAAGTATTTTAATGAAAATCAAAGTGTTTTTTTTCCTCACTTATCATTTTGTTTTTACTTAAAAACGAAATCAATACCTATTATCTCTAATCACCCTTACGAATAATTTGAAATAAAACGAACGGGAATGCGTTAGGTCGGAAGGTATGTATTTCCTCCTAACCTCACTTTACCATATTCTCTGATTGCATATTTTTCTGTTTTCTATAATTACATCATCGTTCAGGAAAATCAGGCAACAGTCAAATTAATAGTTGCTGAGATTTTAGTCAGAAAGCCAATTATATTGCTAAGAATAAGAATGAGAGATCAGTGTGAGAAATTTATGTGTTGTTTATTCAAAAGTAAAATTGAATTCTTATAATCAATCGACAGGAAATATAATCAATCATATATTAAAGCAATTCATTTGCTCTATTTGATGAGCTCGTTGAATCGAAGAAATCAGTATGTCCTAAATTTTTAAATGAAATGCTGAGAAATCGATGCCCAACAAGGAATAGTAATAGTTTTTATTTATTTATTTAATACAGATTGTCTCCTTTAAGTATTAGATAAATCTAAATCAAATCTATCTAACAGGAAATGATGATATTGTGATTAAAATTTAGTGTAGATTATCCGAAATCAACAAATTTAATTGTTGAAGTAATCACTTTTAGTCTCTATAATAAAGCTGCAAAAAATTCAAATTAATGTCTAAAACACATTAAGCAGCCTTCAATTACCATCATTGGCACAGCAAGGTGCAATTATAGAAGAGAAAATGATTTAAAAAGAAATCAAGCATTCGATTAATGGGCCGTAAGTGAACAACAAGTTTTCATCACACAAACAATTGATGAAATTTATTGTTGTTTTCAGTCTGATGAAATTGCATTTAACGAGTGTTCCAATTAAATTAGTTTAATAGCCGAATTATACAGATTTTGAGGACAATCAATCAAATATGTATATGAAAAGTTGGCGTTGTTTATGCTCCCTTTTCACTCATTAAAAATAATTAAAATAAGGTTGTGGTATCTCTCTCCATATTAAATAACCTGCCTACAACATACGTTCAAATTGAGAAATGATTTGCTTGATAAAGTTGTAAGATATTATATCACTTTTTGTGCTATATGAACGCATTTCTTTTATTATAGGAAGAAATCAACCTTAGGTTGTCCGTTTCGTCCATTTTATGCATAGAATTCAATTTAAAGATGCAGAAACAATCCTGATTTCAAGCATAATTGTCCGTTTCGTCCATTTTATGCATAGAATTCAATTTAAAGATGCAGAAACAATCCTGATTTCAAGCATAATTTCATTCAAAAAAGTAATTTAAAACATCTTATTCGGAGCACTCATAATTTTGTTGTCATGGAAATGTCAATCAGCACATGTGTATGATAGGGGAAGGTTTGATGAAATGGTAAACGAACGCAAATTATTCCCTCGATAATGATGAATTTTTTATTCGAATTTTGAAATTAAATCAAGGTCGATAGGGCACATTTTCTCTAAATGAAATGAAAGCTCAGAAGGACATAGTTTAAAAGAACATGTTTCCCTTCAACTTTTAAAAAATCGAAATATTCAGAATGCCAATTGTGAACATCAAAATATTTGATGTCTAAATCCAATCAAGTTTTTTTTTTAACTATACAGCAATAAACTAGAAGATCTCAATAATTTTTGCAACAACCATTCGTAATTAGTAGAAATTCCTCAAAGGTTATATCAAATGAAATTTCAGATAGAATTACTAGTAACAGGTGAAGAAAGCAGTATTGATAATCTTCATTCGTATTATGAATTCACGATTAAAGAAGGAGTGCCAGTGGGATCTACTGTAGGGAAAATTGGCAGTGGAAAAGCAATCAAATTTGAGATGCTCAGCGAGAGTGATAATTTTGAAATTGACAAAGAAATTGGAGTGATTCGGACAAGAAATGAAATGAGGGTATGTAAGTTAACTAACTTGCTGAAAAGTCAAATAGTAAAGATCTATTAAATGAAGTAAAAATTTGAACTCTCACAAGAATTACAACTATTGTATATTTCTTATAGATATCGGAGACTTATCTTGATATCAGGGTCACAAATAAAGTCAACGAGGTATCCAAACTAGTCACTGTACTCATTATCGTCGCTCAAGTAGACAATAATGCATTGTTCTGTTTGCAAAATCGTATTGATTTGATGGTACCTGAAAATTCGCCTTCGGGGACATTTGTTGATATTCTGATGTCAGATGACAATAATCTTACTCGCTATACGCTTCAAGGAAATCCGGCTGCTATATCGATAGACAGTAATACTGGAATCATAAGTACCACTGCCCCGTTTGATTTTGAAAAAGTATATCATTTGCACTTGATTTTATGCTTAGATGTAAAAAAGTGAGATAATCTCTAAATTAAAAATAAGTTGATTTCCAATTTTAGAATAATTGTTTGAAGTAGAAAGTCCAATTTTTTTTAATTGTTTAAAGTATTTGAAGTTCACATACAGTATTCTTTTGATTCTTTCTATCTCTCTCATCAAATCTTCAATTTCCAGGAAAGTCTTTATCAGTTCGAGGCAATCGCCCATAGAATAGGGGGTGCATCAGTGGGATGTCAAATTTTTCTGTATATTATTGATAAGAATGACAATGCACCGAAATTTAAATCTAATAATTATGAAGTCAAAGTTTATGAAGATGCTCCAGTCGGTGAAGTGATCACTCAACTTGAAGTTATTGATTTGGACACTGGTTTGTTTTTCAAAGCATCACCAAGAAAATCACCATTATTGTGGTTGCAGTCAAAAACTACCTTTTAATTTGTTTTTTTAATATTGCTGCAATTGCAGCCATAATTTCACGTTTTGTTTAATTTCCTGAAATTCTTCAGTAAATGAATTCGTTTTCGAAATTTCTATAATTGGTAATGAGCGGAGTTGGTTCGGAATTAAACCTGATGGGAGAATTTTTCTCAGAACACCTCTTGATCGGGAGTACATGGCTGTTCATCACTTACACATTGTTATTTATGATCAGAGACCTCCAGAAAAAAGTGGGTAATTTTGCGTTGATTTAATCTCAATCTAGTTGAAAATACGACATAGTAAAAAAACTTTAATTATGATGACGAACTAAAACGATAGTAACATGAAGAAACACTCAAGATCAGTAATTGACTAGATAGCTAATGTTTTCGATGAATTATAATTTTGATTTTAAATCTTCTAATTACGTATGTTGAGTCATGCATTATATATAGGAAAAGAAGTAAATAATATGTTTATTGGTGAGATCATTGTGTAAAATAGAATTCAGACAGTCAAATTTAAATTGATCATTCCAAAGCACTTAGTGAATACAACTTTATGTTTTAGCTTTCAAAGCAACAACTACAGTAAAAATAATAGTTCTGGACGTAAATGACAATGCGCCACAGTTTGTTTCACCGTCTGCCTTTTTTATTTCCGAAAGAGCGACGTCTGGTACCATAGTAGGCCTAGTTCATGCTGTGGATCCTGATATGGGTCATAATGGACAATTGCAATATCGCATTTTACCATGGTCAAATTCAGAAGGCTTATTTATGATAAATCCAGTTCTCGGATATCTGCTGGTACCTCTTTTGATGCAAAGTTTTGTTCTCTATATCATTTCGATGTGTTTCGTTAAAACTACCACTAATCACGATGAATTCAATTAATAATTAAAATGCTGAAGAAATGTTAAACTAGCCAAAAATTAGAAAAAATAAGCGGCAATGTAAAGTAGTACTAATTATCACCTCAATGATGACAATTAAAGACGAGTAATCCTCAAAAGTTTTAAATTTCAACTAAACCAACATTTAGTTTTCCTCAGGTGCACTACCCGATTGATGCAGAAGAGCAAAAAAATTACCATTTGCTAATCGAAGCAAAGGATTATGGTGTTCCAAGGAGGTTGTCAACAGTTGTTTCAGTAACTGTGACAGTACTAGCTAGTAACAAGGAATCACCGAGACTGAGAAACTTTTACCATATAAAGATTCCAGAAAATGTTCCAGTTGGCCATATTGTGTCTCAAATTACTGTATGTCGCATTCAATTCAATTATTTTTAGAACATATCTTATGCAAAAGTTTTTCTCGATCAATCTCATCCCTTGCGTGAATCTCATAAGTCTCTCATCCCAATCATATAATTGCAGTGAAATGGTTTATCTAGAATCAATCAGTGGATTTCCAATTAGTAACTTCTGTATTAGATGAAATTTCAAGGAAACTCGAGAATAAACTCATCTGTTTTCATTAGAAAAACTTCAAATAGACTCCTAATTCATTTTCCATCATTCACAAATAATTTTTTGCTTTTTCCACTAATGTTCGAGGCAAACATCCTTTGTTTAAGGACACTGTGACAAATGTTCTGTTTGAAATTAAATCTGGAAATGAAGACGACTATTTTCGAATATCTCCCACAAACGGGATAATCATGACAAACAAACGCTTAAATGCTGCCAAAAATTCGAGTTATAACTTAACGGTTTCGATACTATCAAACAATAATACTAGAAAGCAGAGCAGGTGCAATTTTTTATAAAAAGAAGCATTTAGTTTTTAATAGCGAGAGTATTAGCCAAATTATTATAATAGAAATCTAATTAAAGTTTGATCATATAAATTATTCATTATTCACTACTAGGACAATCCAAATATTTGTCGAAGGACTTTGTAAATATTACTGGGAATTATTGCTTTTTTACTGAAATTGATGATGTTTTGTTACATGCAAGAGGAAAACTAAAAGCTGAATCGATTGAAAGTCATTGTCTGTAGGTAATGAAAGTAATAATTTTTGCAGTTCCTTTGTGTTTTATAAAAGGATGCGTTTCTAAAAAGTTATACTAAAAAGATTAGCAAATAACTGATGTTATAAATGCTGCTGTTATGAAATGCTTTTAAAATGAGGCAGTATTAAATTAATTTCAGCATCGTTTTAATTGAAGTTTTAAATATTGGTGTTAAAACTGCTCAATTTCCTGGCCGTGTTGACATAATATTATATGTTGGTGAAAATATGCAAGGGACATACCCAATTACTATAGGAACACTGAGAGCTATTACTGCAGATCGAGGACTGAACGGAACGTTATCTTATTCACTCATTCAGGTATCTTCTTCTCATACTCCATGGTATAATTGTCGAAATGAGACAACTATGGATTGTGGGTTACGTTGATAAAAACTAATGACATTAGTTCTGTCACTATAAATCAGAAAAGGATAGTGTAAAGGGAGGTGTGAAAGATTTTTGAAGTTCTCGAATATTTTTTATCCTCCGTAGGTTGATAAAAGGTCATCAGTTTTTTAAGGGTAATAGCACACTGTTTCGGGTGATACCACAAACAGGCAAACTACAAATCACAGGACCACTGAATTACGAAATGCAGAACCGATATGAATTGGTTGTGCAAGCAAATGACCTAACTGTTCCGAGAAGCTTCAACACAATAAGTACGGTTACTGTATTAGTCATGGATGTAAACGACAATGTACCAATCTTCGAGTATCCTCAATACTACGTTGAAGTGATGGAAAATGAGCCTGTTGAAGAGAATTTAACGCTATTGTGTTTGAAGGCAACAGATAAAGATGACCGAGAATTCTCAATGATAAGGTGAAGATTTTTTAGAGATTTTTAAATCATGTGGAATAAACTGCCTTAAAAATCATATGATACTCATATCTTCTTGCATTACTTTTATTCATAATTTCAAAATTAAATTTCCTCTTCATTACTATCGTATTAGCCATAGCCACATCGCTTGTCATTTATTGTACAATGATTTGTCTATAAAATGCATAATCAAATTTATTCTTCTATCATTCAATCCTTCTTAATTTTAGTTTTCAACTCTTTTTTATAAAAAAGATTTTAATTCTTTTTTTTTTTTTTTTTTTTGTGCAGAATCGTTATATAGAATTGTTATGAACTGGTAGTATAAGTAAAACAACTCCTAGATGCTTCAGCACAACGAATTCGGTGCTGCACTACACCTTACTGAAATTTCATATTTTCCTTAAACTTTAAGGTAACTCAAAGCAACTAAAAATTAGTACAAATTTGATTTAGATTTAAGTGCAAAATTTCTCAATGCAGGTACAGCCTTGATGACGAAGAACTGTTACCATTCTTCATCAACTCAACAACAGGATGTATAGGAAGACTAGAAGTACTGGATCGTGAATCTCAGTCGCATTGGATCTTGAAAGTGATAGCTCACGATAATGGGAAATTTGTGGAACATTCGAGTGCTGCAGTAGTACGAATTGAAGTGCTGGATCAGAATGATAATATTCCTATAATTCTTAATGAACAACTTGATGTATTCATCTCAAACAGTGTTGAAAAAAGTATATTGAAGTGGTTTTTACTAAATTATACTTTCGACAGTCACGACAAGAAATATTACTATGACTGTGAATTTAGCAGAGAAATGAGGAATTAATGTAACAGTTCTACTAGAGCACTATTGTTTTGTACTAATCAGCAACTACATTTAGCCAATTATCTGAGTTCCAACATAGGGCAATGAATTTTCGAGAAATTACATTAAAGCAAAAGCAGTATTCGAATAAGTGCAAGAAAAAAAGAAATTAAAAAATTCTTACTCAATTCACAAGTACTTCAGGTTGAGATTTATTAGAACCTGAGACTTATAAAATAATGTCGTTATTTGACAAATTATTACATCATTCCAGATGATGTAATATATGTAATATCGGCACTTGATCTGGATGAAAATGATACTTTGTACTATAGCCTTAGTGGTCCGGATGTATCATATTTCCAAATCAGTCAGAGTGGTATCATCACTGCTACACGACAACTCCTCAAGCAAGATTATTCAATCACTGCAGTAGTTTCTGATCATGGAAACTTAACCTCATCTGTTGGATTAGCCTTTTACGTGTCCGAAACTATGAGATTCCCCGTTTTCGAAGTAATCTGTCATGTTTTCAAAACATTCACAAAAATTTTTATTCAGTTCTAAGATATGAATCTTCTCTGTGTTTTTATTTTTTACTTTTTGATCTGCTTTCGTTGCTTGGGTGCTAGTTCTTAGAACGAATTTTGTATAATCCATTTGATCAACAAGATTCACTCACTTTGATTTTAATAGTTAAGTTGTGAAATTCTAAAAGTCCCTTTCAGAAGACCCTCATTTTCCAAAAGTGTTTCATTGTGTATATTTTAAACACGAGTTCTACAAATTTCCAGAAACGTTCACAGCAAGAACTGATGGCTACTGAGCATAATCCGGACATGTTGGTAACAAAATTTATGGCTCAGTCGGTTAATGTATCCAGTCGAGGGATATTATTTACGATTTTCAGTGGTGACCCGCACCATCATTTTTATCTAAATCCTAATTCGGGAGAATTGTATGCTACGTATGTTTCTTAAGTTTATGGATTGTTTCTGGAATCAACTTTTTGCTGCTTCAGAAATAAGTTTTAATTCTTAGAGGATGATTTACATTTCATTTGTTTACTTAATTATTGACAAATACTTTTAACATAGCTAAGAATTTGCGATCAGAACTAGACTACTTTTTATTGACTTTATTTATAAATATTTTTATATTTTATTTTATTTTTTATTTATTAAACATACTTTTAACTGGAATTTAAGGAATCGAATAGATTATGAATATCGAAAACAGTACGAACTGTGGATTGCTGCTATCGATCAACATATTCAACCAATGATTTCATACACAAATTGTGTCGTAAATGTTGTAGACATCAATGATAATAGGCCTTTCTTTGAGAAGGTTTCACTTATTTCATTTTTAACAAAAGTCTAAGGTATAAATACAAATACGTTGGAAGCGCGACAAAATTGCATTTTCTTTGGAACGATTATAATTTGTAATGGCATTTATTTTCGAATTTAAAAAGATGAAGATAAATTTCGTTTTTTTTTTTTTCAGGCTTTCTATTCTGCTTCAGTAGCAGAGAACGGTGACAGCGATGAACTGATAATAAAAGTTACTGCCAGAGATTCGGATTCTGGAATGAATGGGAAAATTTCATACAGTTTGATGACAGGTGATTCGGTTGCACAGAAATATTTCAAAATCGATGAAGTATCGGGAGAAATTTTTACTACTTCCAGTTTGGATGCCGAAGAGTTAAATGAGTATCATTTGCACGTTATTGCAAAAGATCATGGTAATCCACAATTGTCGGAGATGGTGGTTGTAAAGGTTTTGCTTATTTCTATGATTTATGAATTACATTTTATAATGATTTTACGAATGAGTAAGTGGTCAAATCGACTGACCATCCAATTGACTATTTCCAATTATGTTTTTTTAACCACTTTAATCCGATTTTGTTGGCATTTTGTAAAAGCTGTTTTACTCTATGTTAAGTTGATCAAGTTTCCCAAATATTTTTTTCAAAACTGAGTCAGATTCAATCGATTAAATTATGATTCGTCTCTTTGTATAGATTGTTATTTGAAATTACTAGTTGATTTTTTATGTTGTCATGTTGATAACGGTAATTAAATGAATGAAATACAAAAAAATGCTGTTGATATTAATCACCCTTAATTTCTATCATTAGATTGAAGTACTGGATAGAAACGATAATGCGCCGCGTTTTTCAAATTTATTTCATGGTGCAGTTGCGGAAAATAGCCGTTTGGGGACACTAATACTTCAGGTAAGGGTTTTAGTCACAATGTGATTCTTTATGTTTGGTATTTCAGATTATTACCGAAAATTTGTTATCCAGGTAATATGTTATGATGCTGATGTAAACAGTACTCTTATCTATGGTCTGGAAGGTAACTGTGCTGATAACTTTTCAATTGATCAACAAACGGGTTGGATTAGTCTGGCAAAACAAGTTGATCGAGAAAAGGTACGAAATGGAACATTTCTCATTTGTTCAGTTAAAATTAAAATAGTTTGTGGAGAAAGTCTTGAAGTATAGAAAATATCAACATGGATAGGATCATCTGCTGAGAAAAAACATCGCTTGAAGAAACAGGGAAAAGGTGCTTACTACTGTAATTAAGACATTGGTTGAAAATTTTCTTCTGTTTTGATGTGAACATTGAAATTTTCATTTTAAAGAAAAGTGAATATTCAATAAAAGTGAAAGCATGGGATGGCCTGTGGGAAGTGCGAACACCGTTAACTATTACCATAGAGGACGTTAATGATAATGCTCCCACGTTCAACGATTCATTTTATACATTTTCGATTGCAGCTGATTCAGTAAGTCTGCAAGACTTAGAACCTTCTTTATATCAATTACTTATTTAAGATATAATAGGACTTGCAAAAGACATAAAGCTGGAAGTAAAGTTGGTGGCTGATTTAAAAGATTTTATGTTGTTAAGGGTTCCTAGTAATTTTTAAAAAATGTTTTCATTCCAAAGTTTACAGGGAATCTTTACTGAAATTGGACAAATTTTGGCATTTGATATGGATGAAGGATTAAATGGGCAAATTCGCTACGCTTTGCGATGCGGCAATGATTTGTTTATGGTTGAACCGTCTAGTGGACTCATTTTTTCAACAACCGCCTTAGGGCAGTATGTGAATAATACTGTGGAATGTAAGGGCGTTGCCAGTGATCAAGGATTTCCATCAATGAAGAATGATGTGAGTGATTTTTACTATTTGAAATGGTCAAATTATTAGTTAAAACTGGACTATTCCAGGTCACAATCTATATTCACATCACTGATTCTGCTAAGAGCAATGAAACAGAACAACCTTACTACCAGTTTGCGCTTCTTCTTAATGCTGACCCTTATACAGCAATTGGTCATTTACCATTATATAATGTTGGTTGATTCTCCAAATTTTCTATATCTAAGAGAAATTTTGGTATCTAATTTTCTACTGGAGGTGGCTTTGCCTCAAAACTTTTCTAATAATTTATTCATTCCTCAATTTCACTTCTGTAAATTTAAGACAATGGCCATAGTGAATGATAGCCGTTTTATGGTGGATCAGAATGGGTATTTGTTCACAAACGCTACGTTTCCGGAAGCTGTATTAGGATATAAAATTATATTCTCTATTGCAACAAATAATAAGAAACTTATGAAAGCTATAATTTCCGTTGAATTTACTGAACCAAACATTAACCACCCGCAGTTTTCATTTAAAAGGTAATTATGAGAAAAACTAAAGGTTATCCTCCTTTCAAATTTTGAAAGACATACAATTTCTAGCAATAATGACTACTAAGACGTTGTACGCTGGTGAAGTTATATAAATCATTTTCAAATAATTATATGTCAACAGAACCATTTCCTTGTGAAATGCATGTCGGCCGCAGAATTAATACGATCAGGTATGCAGCAATGGATCTGAGTTTTGTTTTGCTCATAAACATTGCAATTATAGCTGAAAGAACAGAACTACTGATCAAGCTATTTCAGATATAAATTTTCGGTTCAGGAAAACTGCGATTTGCACTCACCAATTGGTATGGTTATAGCAAAAGATCCTGATATAGGTCTTAATGGTTACATAACTTATTATATTGTTTATGACACTGACCGCTTACCATTTGCAATTGATGCAACAACAGGTTTCAATTCCAACTTCTTTGCTTATGTTTTTCAATTGATGTAACAGTTTAATCTAGTTTATATCGAGTTGATAGTGATACAAGGTAGTGAGAAAAATACATTCTTGACATATACTACTTGTGCAGCGTTAAATTTATTTACTTATTATTTGGAGAGTATGTTAGAATTATTATAAATTTTTATGATCATTAGGAGTTTAGGAACCATATTAACAACGGAATACGTAGACTTCGAGGAAAGCAGTAACTACCAATTTTTAATAACAGCAAAAGATTCCGGTTTCCCTGCACTCAGCGCTACCGCAGAAGTTACTGTTGAAGTGCTCGATGAAAACGATAATGCGCCCGAGTTTGAAAATCGTTATGTGCAGTATACGGTATATTCTATATCTGACATTTCTGCTTTCTCTATCCGTGCAATAATCAGTCAACAGCGCATTCTTCAACATTGTATTTCTTTAAAAGATTGTGATTCATCGCTTCATAGTGTTATCATGGTTCACGGTGCATTCTGCTCAGCGATCGTTTCAGATATCAGCATATTCACCAGTGGGCACCACAATTGCACATTTTTCTGCTGTTGACGTGGATTCAGAGTCAAACGCTGTTGTCGTCTACCATCTGCTTTCGGATTCTGAATTACCTTTTACTATAAATGCTACATCTGGCACATTATACGTGTCCTCTCAATTTCATTACGGAACAGCTAGTGAATATTTATTTGGCGTACTGGCCAGTAATCCCAGAACCACAAGTTCGGATTATCCAGGATTAGTTCCAGAAGGTTCCCGAAACGGAACATATTATAACGTTTTACAAGTTGAAATTTTCGTGAAGCAAGATGGCGAATCTGAGCTATATTTTGCAGAAACGGAACGAAACTTCGAGATTAGTGCTTTTGCTTTGAAAGGTACCTGGAATTAAGAATGCAAGCAACTCGTTTTTCGTTTAAACCAAAATTATGATTGATCGATAAGATCTAATTTCATCATGGTGAAATGTGACCCGAGATTTAAATTTATTTTGCATCATAAAATCATTAAATTATTGTTTGGGTTAACAAATTCTATTTAGGCACCATAATTGGTAGAGTGGAAGCGATTTATCAGAATGGAAATTATTACCAAAAAATTCTATATCGTATGACTTCAAGTAATCTAGTTGATATAAATGGTCGTACAGGGGAAATATATGTGAAAGAAAATTGGAATGGGACTACTGGAACTATAATGGTTCAGATAGTTGCAACTGGCCAATTTTTGCAAAAAACAAATTTTGAAGCAAATGTGTTAGTTGCCGAAAATTTCCTGGAAGAATACTTATTTGAATCCTACTAATGACTTGTCAGAGTTTACTTCAGTTCTTGGATGTCTCATTTTGATTTTTTTGAAGTGGTTCATTATAGTTGTAAGGTATTCATCGAACGGAAGGATACAGAAGCACCGCCAATATTGCAGCCTCACTACAAGTTTTTATTATCCGAAAATGCTGATAGTTCAAGGAGTTTCGTTATTTTTGAAAATCTTCCTGAGGAATATTACCTTGATATTGTTGAAGAAGGAAGAATTGGATATGCTACTGAGCAGGTAACAATTTTTGAACTAAGTAGATAACAGTTTTATTATTTTATCTATGCAAGATCCACAATTTGAGGTCTTGTTTAAAAAGGTATGAATTGTTGGTTGAGTTTTTTAAAAATTGGTTGCTGGAGAAAATTGATAGTATGCATTGCTTTTTATTGTGATCTATTTAAAAATAGCAAGAGGAAAATAAAATTTTTTGCAGCCCTTCTGTGTTGGTGACCCCGGCAAACTTTATTTATGCGGCACGATGAATTATGAGCAAAAAGTTGATTACCGCTTACAAATTGCTCTTATCGAGAATGATGTCATACGTTCTCGAGCCTTAGTCACGATAACAGTGAATAATGTAAATGATAATAGACCTTCACTGGATCCTTCCTCTTCTGTTGGTTATGTCTTAGAGAATTCACCAATACACACAGCAGTAATGAAGCTACACATGATGGATAGTGATATTTTACGAAAACAGTCGTCATTCAAGTACCGAATTGCTGACAAAGACCTGTCTCAGGTTGTTAATTCTTTATTATTATTTTGGACCAGGATGACTGTTTGGGTTAGGTTGCCGGTCCAAATAGGCTTCTCAAAATGTCGTCGTTTACGGTCTGAAAAATAGGTGAGAACAATAATATAGAAAAATATCCATCATCAAGAAATAAGTAAGTTCATTAAAACTGGCGAGAGGATGCTCTCAACTTGAAGCTTTTCTCTATTCAAATAGACTGAAGATAACTTCCATTTTTGTCACAATTGGTGATGGTATAGAATCTCAATGAAAAAAATTGCGATTAGAGATGTTCTCGCATTAAAAATGATGATTTTATCTCATTCACAGGATTCTTCTTAATTTACAATTGAAGATTTCTTTACAGTCTCAATTTAATCTCAGATTTCTTTAAAGATATTTGTTATCAATGATACCACTGGAATAGTATTCACTTCTGAGGTTCTGGATCGTGAAAAACGTTCGCTATATATTGTGCCAATAACGGTCAACGATTTGGATGTCTCCAGTGTTCACTCTATGATTCACTTACGGATCTACGTTGATGATCAGGATGATAATGAACCAGAACTAGTACCACGAACAATAAATTTAGGATATTTGTGCGAAATTCCTGACATGATAATCCTGCATGCATTTCCAGTTGACGCTGACCAAGTTGGCGTATACAGTTGTCGATTACTAAATGTTTCGCAAACTTATAATGTATGTTGTAAAAATATATCCAGTAAACAAAATTCCATAAAAGTACATTAAACTGAAAAAAAAAAAACTTTAAAAAATTGTCTGGTAACATCTAATCAGAATATTTGCAGATATCAGGCAGTTGTGTGTTAAAGCTATCATCAAGTTTATTACAAGAAGAATATCTTCTGAACACTCCATTATTGGTGGAAGCTTCCAATCCTCGTACAAATATAACATTTCCAATAAATTTACGAATGCGACGAGAAACCGCTCTAAGATCGTTACTTAGTGATTTCAGTGTAATCGTGGAATTATGGGCTGTTGAAGGGAGTATAGCTGATAGTATTTCTACATTTGAAGAGATGTTTCCAAATATGGTAAGATATATTAGAAAAAAGCTGTTATGTGGTGCGACATTTGCATGTTTCAATATTTTTAGTTAGAAGATGTAAATAGTTAAGTTTCTTTACGTCAGCCATGGTTAGAATTAGTACAATAATTAACTATAAACCGTCGAAGCGTTTTATTTTTTGAAGTTGGCTTTGTGATCTGATACATAGTAGATTGAAACATAAGAAAAACATTTATCTCACTTTTTGTAGATGCTTCAACTTCTTGGCCTTCAGCAATTAGAAGTTGACTTTTTCCGTGTTTTTGTTGCAATTCTGGATCAGGATTTAGTTCCAAAAGACAAAGAAAATGCATTGAAACTATTGAAGCAATTTTTCACTGAAAAACTGATTTCTAAAAATGTACATCTCGTACGAATCGCATTAGATATGTGTACACTCACTTTTGAACAATGTATCTACGGCACAAGATGTTCTCAAAATATCACAAAGAATGGAGAATTACTCGAACTGATTGGCTACAAAACAAGTTTTATTGTTCCTGTTGTTATTAGCCATGTAAAGTAAGTTTCTCCTTCGATGATTATAAATAGAATTGTAACTGCATCTTTAGAGAGTTAGGAAAGAAATTTTTTTGGCTACTATTTCAAGATATGGATAAAACCATACTGAAAGGTTTAGGAAGTCCTTAAAGTTCGTTAGATAGTTAATTTTCAAAAGTAAATATTTGACACCAGCATTTCTGATATTTGTTCCTATTCTCACCAATTAGATTTTTAGCATATATTATACATTATTTCCTTGTTCATCAGTGTACCATCCTAATTTTATATTGTATTATAGCTGTATATGCGAGAATGATATCCTATGTAATGGTGGTGACAATCAAGTTTGTGACGAAAATGAAAAGTGCAGAAATGGCGGTACTTGTATTGACAAGTACCGCCATTTCACACATACGGGAACATGTCTGTGTACCAAAGGTTATACAGGAAAATTCTGTCAGAATGATATCGATGAATGTGAGGATAAGGTCATCCTTGTTTACCCGTCTCATAACTAACCATTTGCTGTTTTATTTGTTTAAAAAGTAAATGAAACTGTAAAATTTCAACAACGTTTGATCTTGGTATTTTATTATAATTGTATTTGTTTCAAAACCATTTTTAAAAATGAATCAAAGTAGAGTAAAATAAATTATGATTGGAAAACTTGGACATTGTTGAAAGACAGCTGATGAGATTTTATTACAGAATATTTGTGGGAATGGGAAGTGCCTAAATATATTTGGTTCATTTGTTTGTACGTGTAGTGATAATAGCACAGCAAGTGAAATACACTGCGATCATTCAAATATTAACATTTGTGATCGTTGTCACAGGTTTGTCATGTTATCGTTGATTTAATGCAGTATATAGCGATTTATAATAATGTTTCAAATAAGATATTTAACAGATACTTCGCAATAAAAACTAACTGTCAATTAATTCAAATAAATATCCTTTCTTAAATTACGATATTTAAAGGCTGTATTGGAAAGTTATAGCCATTTTTGTTTTGACCACCTCGTTTGTTCTCAATCAGTTTTAATTCCGACATTTTACCTTTAACCATGATCTTTTGTAGAGGAACATGCGTTAAGCAGAATAATGGGCTACGTTTATGTGAATGTGATAATGGTTATAGTGGGCGCTACTGTCAGCTAAAAACTCTTTGTTTCGATGGTTTATCATCATTATTACAGTTTCCATTTTCTCAACAAATTTTCATATTGACACAAGGATTCAGGACTCTAAATCCGGTGAAATTTCTTTTCAGTTTTTTTTTTTCTCTGCAATGAAAGCTTATTGTTCAAACTATCTTCATAGAAAATGGAAACGTCACAGGTACCGCCTCTCTTATGTTTTAGTTACATTGCAGTCAAGCTTGTTGTTGACATCGTTAACAATTTCCGGGGTCAGTGAACCTCATTTCACACTGAAACTACAAAATGGTCAAGTACACCTAAGTGGAAATTCAAGCAAAAAGATGAATGAATTATTGGTGGAAGAGAAAGTAAATGACGGAAAATGGAAAATGATTCGTTTCCAATACAAACATAGAAGAGTGAAGTTGACAGTTGAGCACTGCGACGACGATGGTTTCTGTGAGCCATGCAAAAGCACTCGCTGTATTGCTATTGCAAATAATTTTGAGTCTGTCTTCCTTGCTTAATTTATATCAAATTTCGTTTTTAATGAAAAAATAAACCTTTTTTAAATAAAATTTTTTCTTTAATAAACTTAAATGGTTGAAATTTTTTAAAACAATTCTAATACAGATAACTTTTTCTAAACTCTTCAAGACTTGGTAAATTTTTTCAGCACATTCTAAACATTTAGAAAGGTTAAAGTTGGAGAAATAAAGAAATAATCATTAATTAAATTTTTTTTCCAGTCATATATTATGAGTAAGTTTTAGCATTTCGACATCCAGTGGAGAGCAAATTGTATATATTGGTGGAGTGAAAGATTCCGTCAATTCGGCTATCATTACTAAACAGGTTCTTCTGTTCGTGCAACTAAAATTCTTTATCGTTAATTGGAGCAGCTAGAAATCTCAGAAGAGTTATTGTTATTAGGATTTTTATTGTTTAATGGAAGGAAATTCAATCAAAATAAATATTATGGTTGGCTTTGAATTTTCTGGAATGGTCTCTTATCTTTTCTTATGTGAAGAATCATAGGTTAGTTCTAAAAAATCTCTGAACCGGTGAATGAGGTACATCAAATTTGCGCTTAAATCCTATAGGATATGTGTTTTCCAGGACGGTACTGCCAATTTTGAGGGTTGCATGCGTCAAATTACAATTAATGAACATGAAATTGATAGAGTTCCCGGCTTGTTAGAGGAAAATGTAATTGACAAAGATAAACGGAAAACATGCGCAGATGATGGTGATATCGATGTATGTTCTGGTGGCGTTTGCGTCATCGACGAAAATGATAGAAAATGTATTTGTAGAGATGGTTTCGATGCGTTGAATTGCCATAAAGGTTAATAATTACACAGTAATACCATACACGGCCAGAAGCGCTCCTTTCAAAATGTCGCAAAGTTTTTAGCAATGGAACCATGGCATGTTAAAAGCGGTGGAATTATTTTTCAATTATCCATGTACATGATGCAGAAAATTGAGCTCGCAAAACGCAACACTGCTATACAAATACAGTCTGAGAAACATGGACGTAGTGCCATCCATGATGAGAAGGAGCTACTGCGAGAAATTCCGTGTGAGGAATCAGAAATGTTAGCCTCTACACATTATTTTTTTTAAAATACTGAATTATAAATAGTAGGATCTTTTGCTGAATTTGCAAGACAAAAACTTGAGAATATTAAAGCTTAAAAAAATAAGCTGATTGAAAAAGGATGCCATGATTTTTAATACTGATGTTTAACATGAATACATGCAATAAACTATTGCTTTAATTTACCTATAATGTTGTTGAAGTTTTTATAGAGAAGGTGACATATTGGATGATATTCCTGCTCAATGGATGGAACTTGACTTCAGGACTGCACTCAGAAATACCGTTATTCTTGCTATAGTTGAAGAGAAACGATTCATCAAAATTGAGGTGAAGGGATTAAGTAGAGTTACAGTAAGGTTCTCAGATTTTAGAATGCTGAAGTTAACAATCTTTCCAAATCTCGAGAATTTCCTAGAAAAATTGGGACTAAACTTCACATGATAGTAAATTATTTCACATTCAGCTTATGAACGGATCAGCTCATATGATTGCGAAGATGCGAGACGCTCAACCAATAGAAGTACACATTTCAAGCGATCTTGATGATACTGAATGGCATCGTCTCAGCATCCAGATAAGCGAGGATCAGAAACTTTTCAGAGTCGAAGTAATTTAGAATGTTTTTTTTGAAAAGAAATACGAATTGCTGGTTGATGTCACCATGTGTTTCATAATAATGAGGGTGAAGACACTAGTACTTGTGTACAGTTGAAACTGACCTTTTAGGTTTTCTGAAAAACAAAATCAGGAATTTCCATTGCAAAATATTTATCATAGCATTTACATCTTTTATTTGACTTTGGTCCATTTTTCAAATCATTTATTCCTCAAATTTTACTTACATTTTATTTGGTGATCACAGATCGATGGACATGGAAAGGAAATTCGATCTGAGGAGCAATTACCGACTCTGATTTCGAGTTCCTTGTTATCATTTTCTTTGGGTTACGATGCAGAGAATTACTCAGCTGCTTTTAGCGGGTGCTTTAGGCGGTTTATTGTAAATAATCAGGCACAAAACTTTGACGTACTGGAAAGAAATCTATTATCACAACAGGTATATGTTTTTCTTATGAAAGAATAATTCCACTGACAAAATAAAATATTTGTGTGATAAGGGCAAGGTGATAACGACATTATAATATGGCATATCATGCACTTATTTTTTGGTTCATTCTTGAACTGTTAGCGTGAAAGGTGTCACACTGTTGCAAAATGAATTTTTGAGTGCATATTCGGTCTTCGGATTTTGCAGATTTTCAAAGGTGTCCGACATAAAGGAGCTCGTAAAGGTTGCGATCAATTTTTGATGAAGAGAATATCGATTTCATTGAAATGGAAAATTTTCTGGTCGTTAATTGCCATTATTTGCATCTTGTTTTTCATCTTGACAGTTGCTCTTGTTTTATGGATTATACGGAAGCATCTTTTTGCTCATGACATTGTGGAGAAACAACCGAGGTGTTGGAATCCGAAACTTTCAAGGCTGCTCTCGGTGATGAGATTAGATTCAAAGATGACAAACACCGATAATGATAGAAATGTAACAGTACAACGAGCTATATATTGTGGACCAGAAATTTTACAGCATAACGAGAATGAGGTAAACAATTATTTAATAGCTTTTCATTACCTCCCTCTGTTACTGATTTCAGTTGAAGTCATTCTAAACTAAGGAAGTGAGTTCCTGCTAACTACAGCTGGTATAAAACTTGAAGGTGCTTCAACTTGTTTTTTTCAGGTCCGGAATTTTTATCCATAGTAGCTGATAATTAACAGTTGTTCGCAACCACTTTGATTCATTTATCATTGATCACTTTACAGCTTCCTCTAGTTTAAAAATCTTTTTAACCCAAAAATTCTCAAGATTTATTTCCCTGATTCATACAATTCATTGCACACAATACTGTTAGATTGATGATGTACATGTTTCACTGCTAGCACATTGCATGGTACCAATTCTGGAGACAGTATCATTTATCAGAATCTGAAGTTGTTAGTAAGGTGTTGAGTAAATCGTAAATGGATTTACTGAATATCTAGCATGAAGTCCATCTGTCGTCTTTTTTTTTTCTCCAAATGTAATGTAGTGTACTACATTACATTTGAAACAGAAAACGAACAGCTCAGGTAGTAATTGGGAACTTAAACATTGTTTAAGAAGTATTTTAAAAGAACTTGCTCTCTAGTGAAAAAAAACTATAGCACTCAAACTCCATTCTCCTATCTGCAACTGAAATCTCTTTCCAGTTAAATTGTGACAGATCTAATGCTGTGGAAAGCATGGGTTCGAGTTCGTCGGATACCAGACAGCTAAAAGCAGATTTGTGTGAAAGTCATAAAGTCGTATTCAACTCGACACAGCGACACTCATCCTCGAAATGCAGCATGCTGGTAAAGTAGCTACGCCATTTCGTGGTAAAAGTGTACTTATACATATTTCTCATGCAAATTACAACGTTCTTATAGGAGTCATATCAAAACAGGTCACGATATCTACACAGAACAGAGGCGACAAAAGAAAGCAGCCAGGAGAAATATTGCCGGTCACAGTCTAGTAACTATAATAATGTCATATATGAAATGCCCTTTACGCATAGGTTATCTTTTAATTTCTGATCAAAAAAATTTAGCAAAATGGACAACATCACCCTCCCATCCATAGTGGTTTAGAAATCTTTAGAGAAAAAAAAAAAGAAGCTTCCATAGTGGTTTAGAAATCTGCACCAGTCGGAACTGTACATTTCAGTAATTAATCTTAAGTGATCTCAATTTAAATTTCAAGACTTCCAATTTTTTCAGACCTTTGCATATCCTAAGTAAATCAAATCTTCAGTCTCCACAAACTAGCGTGATACGGAAAAACTTCAGCGTAAGTATTCACAATTATTTTTAAAATTAGAAGACATATGAGTTTTTAACTATTCCATGCAAACAAAATGAAACCCTTTTTTCAGGAGAGTGAGACAGATTCAGCAACATCTTAGACACAGTATAGTTTGGTACCATTCCATTTGTCTCGCATTAGATTTGCTGATTCTGACGATTCATCCGCTGATGAGTCACTGAACGTTTTAGAAAATTTACCTAAATTTGCTCAATTTCCGAATTTTCTATTGAGACACTGTAAAAAATTCTAATTGTGCTGCATGAATTTTGAAACCAAGAAACCACAGAGATCAGAAGCCAATAATTTAATGGATTGAAATATGATTAGAATAAGCATCAAAAAAGTCACAACAGAAAAAATTGAAGGTGAAGTAATAATATAAATTCAAGAAAAGTCATACGTTACACAGTTATAAAAAACTGATATGGCGTAATTCCTGGTATTCTTTCATAATTTCCAATGGTTATTCCTAAATTGATTGAGAAAAGCATGCCTGCAGTCAGTGTCATCCGGAATACAAATAAAACGCAATATACATTAATGCAATATGAACAATTAAAATCAGAATTTAGTAATATAAAATATAAGGTCACTATAAATACGACTAAGACATAATGGAATGAGATCAGAATGCAACGACGACTTTTCTATACTCGAATACGAGTTATAAAAGAAAATTATGAAAGAATAAAGAGCAAAGCAATAAATCATTTGGCACAGCGAAGAAAAAAGTCACAACCCGTAATCTTCAATTGACTCACAAAATAATCTTGAAACCTCTTACCGGATTTTATAAGAAATGGAATTTTACAGCGTGTGGATGAAATAATGCACTATTCAGATTTTTAAACACTTCATACAGCAAAAAATTTGAATTAATGTCCATCTTTTCCATATGTGTAGTAACTTTGTAATAATAATTTCCAGATAGTGTGAAAGAAATTTCAAGTGAAATTTAAACATGATTTTCGGTTCATAAGGTATTTGTCACTAGAACTGATAAGAAATTACCTTCGCCAGTAACAATTAAAGCTCGAACCGCAGACTTTTTCGCTCTGAGAACCAGTCTTTTCTTCATATGTTGTTCAGTAAATGAACAAATACGTTTAACACTGTCATTCGTATAGTAAACTAGATAACGCACTCCTGACTCTACGTCCACAACGCCAGTACTTTCGTCATATAAAATCCGACACATTTTTCTACGTGACTTGTGTGTAATTAAAGGATGAACAGTCATCAGCAATTTTGTTGTGGAGTCGAGCAAACTTTCCATGATTCGTTTGACTAAGAATTCATGACGCAAATGCTGTAAAGAGAGGAGCGACATAATTTGCTAAAGAACGATATTTTTCTTAAGTAGAATAAATGCAAAACGTTCCGTATGAAATTCTAGCAGTTACTATCACACGCACATACTGAGAAATATAAGCATGATTGCCATATGAAATTCGAGTGTAAAATGCGATATACCATAATAACAATAAAGACTTACAACGCGAATAATGTACACATTCTCCCCTATTCTTTGCAGGTGCGGAAATTCTTTTTCTGTAAAACCCAGGTTTACCTTTTTAAGAGGCAAAAAAAACGTCTGAATATTTTCACCTCCTGAAAAAACATATATTTACGCTTAGAAAAAGACTAAGATTTTTGAAAAGATATAATGCAAAGGGAAAGACTGGCCATCTTCCCATTTCCCCGCCAATCTCATTCTGTTTTGAGAGTTGGAGTTCAAGAATAGATGTCGAAGAAATGAAATCAAAATTCAGAAAGACTAAAAAACAGCACATATTAACATTTACCGTTACACATAATTCCAGAATTAGTATGAGGAATTTTGAACAGATGACCCACTTCATGCATAACGGCACCTAAATAACATGCAACAACACCACCCTTCGTATGCTGAAGTGTGTATTTGTCACCCTAAACACTTTCATATTTCAGTAACAAATAACCGAGACTTTTAAATAAAAATTTATAATTAAAAAATAGTCGTAAAGCAAAGTTCACATAAAAGTTCCCAAAAGAAAACAAGTGAATAAATTTTGCAACATTTTAAAGATAACACAACTGCTTCCTTAAATACTGATTAAAATTACATCTTGCAAATCGGTGTAAATCGAAGCAGAAAACTTACTTGCCAACTCATCACACGCCAACAATAACGATTAGTCAGAACACTTGCACGACTTACATCTCGTAAAGAACGATGCACGTGGGATGCATTTGCAGGCATGTAGTGGAATGCAGCAGATTTAATGACGCTCAAATCAAGTAGGGTTTCAATTTTATCCTAAAAAGTAATTACAATTTCAGTCAAACGTTGCGTAAAAATTCTTCGTATTAAAATGATTTAATCTAAATCACTTTTGCTTCTACCAGTATAGAAGAATCAAGTAAGTCCTGTCAACATAACCTATGCCTTCTTCACTAACATAGAAATCTTATTTTAATCTTAGTCGAGATATGAAATCACAAGCAACAGCAAAAATTGCTTGGAATAAACAAACCTTTTCTGCTATTCCATCAGTCTTTTGCGGTGAAAGGAGGAAAACCAAATGAAGCAATTTATTGGCATCCAACTGACCAAGAAGGGAAAGACGTCTACGAATATACTTTGCAAGATGACGTTCATGAGCTAATTCCACAGCTGTTTTATCTAATTGCAAAAGTGCTACAGATGGTGTCATTTCTGTAAACTGCGGCTCTGGAACGTACTAAAGTTTTATAGAATTGTGTGAAAACTTTACAAATCGCTTAAAGGGTAACTGCATTTTAGTGCTTGGGAAATGAAAATGTTTTCTTTTTTTTAATGAAATGAGATTAATTTTTTTTCACTATACTGAAAACTTTATCTCAAAAATTTTTTATCCTTTTGAAATATGCGTTATTAGTTATATGAAAAAAAAAAAAAAAAAAAGAAAAAAAACAGTGAACAACCAACGGTTTTTGATATGAAGTCTGAACTGCCTTGATTTCCCTAAATTTTCTACATAACATATCACTAAAAAATTAAATTGTAAACGCTTACCAGACATTGACACATACGTTCCTGATGTCAGCGTTCGGTCTTCCATCGGGACTTCTACAACTATCATTCAATGAAAAATCAGACTAGAAGGCCATGAATTTTACATAATGTACAGATCCACTGAAGCAAAATAAAATATAATTACATAACAATTCATTCGTAGTATTTATATAAAACTTTAAATGCATAACAGAAAACTTACTAAAAGTTCTAATCATACTCTAACATGGCAATTCTAATATTCATATATCTCTAGTGAGTTCATGAAATCAACATGCCTGCTAATTGCTCTGTCCACCAATCATCTAAAAACGGGATATAGGGACGTAGATCATCTGCGCTGCCATTATTGAAATTGCTCAGTTCAACAGCAATGAATGTTTGAACCATTAATCCAATCAATCCAACACGTTGCAAACACAACTGACTATAAAAAAAGTTTTTGAAAATTGTAAACAGTTTTTCATCCAATAATACAAATTTCAGAATTTTTGAGCTCTTATTATTAGGCACCAATTTTACTCAAATCTCCATAGTATCTCAGCATTAACTGAAATAAGTTGACAAATAAGAAATTGGTAAGTATACGTGCTGCCTGAGTCAGCAACTTTCAAAAATGAGCTTTTTCATTCTTGTTTATCGGTTTATCATTCTTGGTCCATCATTTCTCACGGCTTCTTTAGCATTGCAGAATTTATCTGGAAAAATCAACTAAATAGACTTACTTATACCACTCTTTTTTGTCCAAAGGATAAGCGATATATAAACGTATCCTCATAGTATCTGGTGGCACTGGCTGCGGAATATACTCTAAAGCAACGTCGCCATAAGTTACACTGTCTCCTTTCCGAGGAAAATTGTGAATCAACGAAGCAGTAAATATGTCCTGAAAAACTGCCCGTTAATTAAATAAAATCTTGATTGTCGGTTGACCAAATGCTTCCAACTGCTTTAGAATGGACATTATTAAGATAGTTTACATCTGAAAGAAAATAACCAAGATGAGCAGCAAACTCTCACTCAGGCATAGCGGTGAAAGAATCGCAAAACCTGAATCCAGTAAATGCCAAGGATACAGCATATTCGCGGGAAGTTCAAATAACCACAACAAAAACCAGTGGCTTTTGCCAGTCCGCAAATTCTGTCAGCATGAAACGGCAAAAGTCCAATATATATATATAGGATAAATAGTTTAATAAACATCGAAAAAGAACGAAAAGCTTTTGACATAATCTGATCATGATAGTCCACATGCCAAAGTTTCATTCATTTCTACACAAATTATTTTATAATTCTGGATTCAAAGAACACTTACTTTTTCAAAAGGTGTTGATGACGTGACACTCACATTAAAGATCATTTCAGCTTCAGCTTTTTGCATTTTTCTTTTGCACTCCGCGTAGACCGACTTGCTACTGATATCCATCACCATCAACTGTGGAGAATAAATTTTCCGGTTACATGTAGGCTTACTTTCCACTACTTCAAAATCACGCATTCCGAATCTACTAAGGCCAATCACAAATACATATAGCACAATTGTCCAATTCTGTGGCACACATTCAATATCCAGCCGCCTAGACAGATGATGATTACTGTAAACAATTAAACAGAATAAAAATCATCTGGAAAAAAGTTTAAACTCTTTAAAAAAAATCAAAGTTATATCTAAAATGATTTAATATTAAAGAAGGCAAGTCAGATTATCCTGATTGTAAAAGAAATCTGGAGAGCTAGATAACTGAAGTCTTATATGTGAAGGATTTAAAGTTACTTCTCTAAATCACTGACAGAATTTTTCTTACTACAATTTTTGCAGAAAACAAATAATCAAAGAATATAAACAACAAATACGTCTTCCAAATCCTCGCCACTATCTGAGGCAACAATCCATATATATATATATATATATATATATATATGGAGTCAGATTTATATCACGGTCCGTCATTATAGTTTGAAATATTACTTGAATCGATCAACAAATAAAAAGTACTAAGCAATAATGTAACTGAATACAAATAATTGGGTGAATTAATTCATAATCCTATAGAAAACAGTGAACATCATTACAGTACATGGCAAAAATTCCCATCAAGCCAGAAGATGCACTTAATAAAACATAAAATAAGGCGATTAATAACAAACATGAACCAAATTCCCCCTTCCTTGACCTTTGACCGCCCAACCATATTCTCCCTTTCTGCTTAGAGGAAGGAGAGAAAAAGGGGAGTCATTGTGAAAATTAAGTTTCCAGTGACATAAATTTCGAATGTTGATGGGGAGAATGTCCGTTGCAGTGGTGATAGGGTGTATTTTATGAAATAAACTCGAGCAAGTGTTGACCTAAGTGACTGGATCTATTCCTTGCCTTTCTGTGAGGGAATTATTAAAATTGTATTTCTTATTTTGTGTTTAGAGATCAGAGGAAGGAAATAAAAACTAAAAGAATTTTTGATTAATGGTTTCTTTGCATTAGTGTGTAATGAAGAAGAAAAGTAGCGCTTTCTTTCTCCCTTCTTCCTTTTTTTCTTTTTCTTCATCTTTCGTCTCAATCGACCTTGTCTTCGGTTTTTCTTTTCGAACTATAATGTATAGTAATGGTAGTATTAAATTTGAATGCAATTTAATCTTACCTTAATTCAGCGATTTTATAGTCGGCTGGTAGAATACAGATACAACCACGAATTCGGAACAGATCGATGTGATATGGAATTCTGCTTAAACTTCGAGATACTTAACTTGAAATATTTATGTCATATGTAAGATAGTAATGATTTATTGACAGGTTAGTGCTCCAGGCTGTTAACTTGTATGTAATGTACAGTGATACGAGGTTTTACAAAAAGCGGAAGTAACCGATTTGGCAATATTACAGATAGAATATTTTGCTTGAATCTTGTGGGATATTGACTCACTTCCATGCGTCATTGCCTCTTCTCATATCTGTCAATTCACAAACAGCTAGTTATCTCTTTGCTTGTTAGCGTCTCTGAGAAAAACACCAAGTATTCTCCGTGTCATCCAATCATAAAGATTGGTTATCAGTCAGTTAATTATTGATTCTATAACTTATAAAGATAGACAGCGGTTAGGTTTTTAAATAGGTATGTTTCCATCACCAGAGAACATTTCAGGAATATGTTGAAGTGTTAGTATCCGACATTATTTTAATGTACCTTTTGAAATATTGTTTTATGTTGGCGTAATATGTAAGTGAATGAATTTGATGAGTGATGAAAAAGATATTTGAAGTTTTATGTTGGTGGCAATAGTGCTGTTGGCTTTGTTGTCTGGTGTGGTAAGTTTCCGGAGTCAATCAGTTGCAGTACGTGGTCGTCTAATGTGTGGCTCGAGTCCGGCTTCCAATGTACGCATAAAGCTCTGGGAAGAAGATAGCGGTACGTGCTTGAGTTTTCGAGATTCTTGTAAGACAATCAGGAGAAAGAGATGTTGTAACACATGTGATCTCCGTGTCATCCAGTCATAAAGATTGGTTATCAGTCAGTTAATTATTGATTCTATAACTTATAAAAATAGACAACGATTAGGTTTTTAAATAGATATGTTTCCATCATCAATGAACATTTCAGGGATATGTTGAAGTGTTAGGTATCCGACATGATTTTGATGTACCTTTTGAAATATTGTTTCTTGTTGGCGTAATATGTAAGTGGATGAATTTGATGAGTTTCTAAATTATGTTTTTCTTTTAAATTCTAAATTTTGACATGGGAATTGTATATAATTTTAGGACCGGATCCAGATGACTTGCTTGATCAGGGTTACACGGATCAAAATGGTGATTTTTTGCTTCAAGGTGATACTGTTGAACTGACACCAATCGATCCTGTTTTTAAAGTTTATCATGACTGTGACGATGGGCTGAAGGTATATGATGATTCACTGATCTCCTTAATTCAAATTTGATTTTCAAAAGACTTTGGGATTACATAAGTGTTCGATTGTTTCAAGATGTTGGAAAAATAAGTATAAGTTTTTCTTTTATAAATATAAGTTTTCTTTCATATCCGTACTTCATTTTCTTAATTTGGAGAATCTTTAGCCTGGTAAAAGGAAGGTGAAGTTCAAGATACCGCAGTCATACATTACCAATGGGAAAACACCGAAGAAAGTTTTTGATATTGGTACTTTAAATTTGGAAACGATATTTCATGTAAGTTTAGTATGGGAAAACTATTTGTCTTTTCATCTATTCTCATAATCTCTTTATTTTTTTTTTGTTTCTGATTTTTGACTCGTCATCAGCTTTAAATTCAAATTGCTCCATTTTCTTTTTTTAGTTTTTGAAATCGATTCTGATTTTTTTTGATTTTTAACTATTACTTTAACAGTGTTTTTTTGCTGGGACTAAATAATGGATGAAATCAAGCTTTAAAAAAGTATAGTTAATTGTAAGAAATAAATCTCACAAAAATTGCATATTGCTTATCTTCATCTTTTTCTCTTTTTGTGTATTCATTCTAAAGTCCCATTTGCCAGTTGTTTTTTAAGTTATAGTTTATTATCAGTTGTTATTAGAAAACCCAATGAAAAAGTAATATTGCTGATTTCTGTAATGTATAGTATTTTTGATTCGAGAAAGATATGATGTTAGGGTGTATTTACCTCTGGGCAATCCTTTAATTTTATTTTAGAACAATAGAAACTAGTCTGAAACTTTTATATTGTTGATGTTTTCTTTATCTTTGAATTCTAGCATATTTTTGGATAGATATTACTAAATGTGACGACTTTTGTGTATACGAAATGTGTCAAGTATCACTGAATGATAATATATTTAGAGGAACAATTGCTAAAAGAGGACGACGTGATTATGATGGGATTGTTTACTGTTCCATATATATATATATATATATATATATATATATATATATATATATATATATATATATATATATATGGAAGCTTTCAAATAAAAGCACACATTTCTTCTTTATATATTCCAGTTGAAATAAATATTAAGAGTATTTAGATAAAATACTCACAGAACAACTCAGAAAGTATATTTAGCAGCTGTTTCAGTCACTCGTTTAATGACTACGATTGCATACCCATTTTAATTGCTTCTTATAACTTTTTGGAAATTCATTACAAATCCGGAATTTGTGACTTTTTAGTTTCTTTTACAGCACGAAGAACGTGAATTAATTGTATCGTAATAGAGTGCTGCGGTACATAATGGAATGAAGGGAGAAAAGAACACAACAAGGAATAGATTACTCGTGTTCAATGTAGTAAATGTAAAAGAAATGTTTTCTAGAGTAACCAGGTGCACTTTTTTATTTATTAGTGGAATGATTCCACTTTCTTAATTTTGTAACCGGATTCCAGTCTTCGGGGTATTCCAATACATCCAGTGAAACTTACATCATTTGAATTATTAATTGATGTTTGGGAACAACATTATGGAAAATCATTTATTTTAGTTGTGTATTTTTGCTTTTCTTTTTTAGTAATAGTTTTCTGGTATAAGAATTAACAGCAAAAAATCATTTTAAATAATGAAATTTAAATTATGCAATTATCAATTAAGCAATTAAATTATGCAATTATCAATGATATTGGTCATGGAATAAGTGTGTGAACCTGAATATACTTTAGCAAAACTTCTAGCCTCTTCTTTCATTCATTTGCTTTTAATTGCTTTGTAGTGATTTCCCTTTGTTGGTTTTGTAATGATGTTTGTATTTATATAATGCTAAGAAAATTCTTAATTTATACATCCAGTGATTTTTATTAATTTATATATCTGTTTGTATTTTGTTTATTAGTGGTGAATGGTTGAAGAATTATTTTATAATCTGAAATATCTCTACTTAGCATGCAAACCTTTTTTTATGTCAACGAACAGCTTATACAGGCATTAACCGAAATGGCATAATTATAAGAATTATTAGCGTTCTTTAATAATTGTTGACCTAGGAATTATTACCTACTTTTTTTTCAACCTATCACAATTAATCCAGAAATAGTATTATATTAACGGCATCATAATTGTTCGGCATTCATTTATGAATAGTTAGTCATAATAAATTATTCCATGCATTTGTGAAGCAAGAAATATTTTTGCTATTTAAGGAGTGAAAAGAACATTTTTTCAAACAAAATTTGAGTATTAGAGATGGATGGATATGTCTATCCCAAATAATTGTTAATGGGAAGGTAATTATAAAAGTGATGAGAAACAAGTTCTGAGCAAAATTGGAAGAAAAAATTAATACATGTATGACAAAAAGAATAGAAAAACTGAAAACTGCCCTGCAAATTGAAATTTTCTTATATGTAAGATTTAACTGAGTAAAAGTAAATGAATAAAACAAAAATGAAAAAAGATGAATGAAACAAAGAATAAGATTAAACAAAGTTCTTTTCTTTGTTCTCAGTACATTTGAATGAGATCAATTACTTCATCGGTATTCGTCGATCTTCTGATTACATCTGAAACAATAATATTAATAGAATGAACTGTAGGCTTTTTAAAAAGTCGAGATTTTTTTGAAGTGTGTTAATCAAACTAGCATTCAAATTGAAGTTTTTTCCTCATGGCATTATTTTGCAACATGAGGAAAAATTTGTTCATTGTGCAAATTTCAACAAATTCATATACTGGAAAGGTCAGGAGGCTGTCATTTATTTCACAACAAATTTACAAATTCTTGCTTTCTGTATCTGTCCCCCTTCCCCCCCCCCCCTCCCCCTCACCCCATACCTTTCAACCAAATAAAAAGTAAGTAACTGGAAATGGGAATTTAAAAAATTGGAATTTGTAAAAATTATTTAATAGGAATGTACAATAATATTATCCAAAATAATTGAAATATAAAAAAATGAAGACACAGAATTGATAAGGCGAAGGAATTCAAATATTTATTTAAAAAAACCTACGTGAAATCAAGTTTTCACTACCCTTCAAGCATGCCTCTTGAACGTTATCGAAAAAGAGTTCCCTCGAATGCTCAATGAATTTGGTAACATTGCAAAATTTGATCGAATCCTCACATCCCGGAGCAAACTGAGTTATATCTTGTGGATTTGCATCCCACTGATTTGCATACATGATCTTAACAGTATTCCATCATTAAGCTGTCAAATTTTTTTAATTAATTGCTAAAGTCACAATACTATTATTTCATTCCTGTCACAATACTGATTTTCAAGACAAAGTTTATTGATGGAAACTTCGTAGTATCACGTTTTCCACTTTGATCGTTCGAGTTACTTGAAGCATCTATTATTTTTTGCTAGCTATAATAGAACAAGCCGAACTTTCATTTTATATAAATTGTCAATTCTCCAAATTTCAAATGCAATATTGGCTCCGTAACCAATTAATGGAGATTTGCCCAAAATAGAATGTATGTCGCTAAATGTTGACAGTAGTGCAGCAATTGTCATGTCATGCTGAAAAAATAATGTTTAATTTTAAAATGTTTTTGAATTCTAAAGTTAAAGAAATAAAGTTATAAAACACTTTAAAAGCTCCTAATGATTTTCGTCAAAATGTTAAGAAGAAATTTTTCATCATATAACTTTAGTTCCTTCCTATCCTTCTAAGTTTACTGCATAATCCATGCAATGCAAAAATCATCAAAAAAACTTGCTGCTGATAGTCCGTAAAACTTTTCTTCACAAGAATCAACTGATGACCATTCTGAATAATTTACTTTACACGCGATTCGGCTAACAACACCACGAAGAGAACTTCCACCTTTAAAATAGAATTTTAGAAATCGAAACTTTCTGTTAATTTCAAATAATACATGAGTTAAGATCAACTTAAGATGAAAAACAAATGGAAATTTAGTACATAAGAAAAACAATCTAAGCTTAAGGGTATTATTTAAGAGTGAAAAATAACAGTAACCTTTCATATTATTAATAAATTTCCTTCACAGAGTTACGAACTATTCATAAGACAGTTTTAGTTTTAGTTAGGAAAACTTAATTTCAAATTGAAATGCATACCTCGAATCTTTCTCTGCAATTTATTATCGTATGGTCCTATACCAAACTGTGCTTCTACACCATACCAACTCAGAAATTTCAATTTCTCGTACAATTCATCACTCCTCAGCCAGTTTGGTAATGCTAAATCATGTGCTTTCTGAAAATTTTAGTTTTTTAGTATTTTTTTTTTTTTTGATAAATAATAATTAAGAATTTCTGTTACAAATCAAATAAGCCTTCAAAATAACAAAAATAAGTACATTGGTTAATCACTTTTTTAGAGGTGAATTTATGTTTGGTTGCAGAAGAAAATAAATACTAAACGCATTAAAATGTAATATTGTCTTACCACTTCTACATTTTAATAAAGTCTGTAGAGCTGAATGCCTTTTATTTAATCAAATATGGAATACGAGCAGAAGTATCGACAAATCAATAGATTTTGGACTGTAAAGTAGAAACCACAAAATCAATTTTCCTAATTGAATTAGATCATATACAGATTTATAAATTTAGCAAATTCATTACCAGACAATTGAGAGTATCGAATAAATAATATGAATAACTATTATAATTCAGCTCTTGTTGCATTAATTCGTATATCTCCTAAAATTTATTAACTTATAGTATCTAGATTTATCAAAAATCGAGAATATATTTTTGATACAATGACAATATTTTAGACAATTAACAACATTGAGTCAGTTTTTTGAAAACAAATCGTTCAAATTTAAAATTTGTTCATGAACTCACGCTGAAATTTTCTCGTAGAAAATATTTTTCCTCTTGATCCAAAACAAATTGAGTTGCAACAGGACAATCAAAAAATGGATTACCGGCCTGGAATTATAATATTGATATAGAAATGATAACATGGAAAAAATTTCCACAAAAAGTACCGTATCGACATTGGTCGTTAATTCGACGTTAATTCTTGTGTCAGGAAAAGACATTCCTTTTAGAACATGTTGTGCAGTTTCGATAGTACGATGGACATCTGTACTACGAATATAAATCTGTAATGATGTTTTAGTTGGTTGAAATTATTTCGATAATAATTTCTTACAGATCATTGATCTGATTAGAAGTTTAAATTTGTGATTAGAAGTGAGTCGTTAACAGATTACTGATTGGGTTGTTTGAACTGATTGGATCAGTGCAAAATGTGCTTGCAGAACGGGAAGAGAAGAGAGAAAAGGACCGCACCTGTTTCGATGTGATGTTTCCAGGGTTAATGTAACGACGTTGTAACAATAAACCTAACTGTTCCGCTTGCTCGGCACCTATCTGTAAACAAAAAATTCAAATTTGCACTTTTCTGGTATTTTGGAGAAGCAGTTAAGAAGACAAATAAAAGTGAATTAAAAAAGTATTAATCATAATCAAAATGATTTGTAGAAAATTGGATTACAAAGCTCACTTTTGTTAAATTTCCCATGCCTCGTGGAAAGGCTATCATATATTTTTCAGTAAAGTTTGGAAAATAATGTGCGGGTGCTCGATCGCCATGTCGCCAAATCTATAATCGACATTAAACTGAACGCAGATTTTAGGCCCAATTTTTTCGGGTACACAATTATATGATTGAATCTGTATGAGATGTTACTGAAAATTAACTTTAAATTTGATCAAAAATATTTGAACTTTTCGGAAATATTAAAAACCTTAGCAATACTGGTAAAATAATTCAAAAGGATTAGAATAGCTTGCTAAGGCAGGCCAAACAACTAAGTATGCAACGTTTAATGTGCAGAATTTATTCCATCGTTTAAATTTTCATTTTTTTCTTTTGAATATCTAATGTTTTTTTTTTTTTTTTTTTTTTTTTTTTTAATGATTGAACGATCATTATGAACCAACCATATTAGTATAGACAAGTTCGGGACGAGAGTAAGATAGAATATAATATACAGTAACACCAACAAAGGACAATGCTATAGTTGAAATAGCTGCGCTTAGAATAAGAGTTTCTTTAAAATTCCGCCTGAATAGAGATTTTTGTTGTTTCGGAACGGTAACAATTTTTCTTGATTCCTCAAGTTCTACTGGCAAAACTTTCTCGTTGACATGATCGTTGCGGATTTCTAAATTAGAAAGAACCAATTTTAAAAATCACTGGGAAATAATGGAGACAAGAAAAAAAAAGTTCAAAATGATGAGCAAAGGACTGCTTAAATTTAGTAAGAAACAAGCAGTCGAAATAATATTTCACATACCAAACAAATGAGTTCAATGTTGAATTCAAAAAATCAGACCTGAATGAGTATATTCTTCCAGGGGATAAACTTTTGATTTATTTATAATTCTGCCAAATATCCCGTTGTTATCATTGTCCTCATGGGGTAACTTTTCATTATTTGATACTACTGGATCCGTAGGCATTGACATTCCTAAAATTTTGATTGAAATGTTTAAAAATGCCAGTGATACATGATCCACATATGCCTACATATGTGATATAGAACGAAATTCGAAAATTTGAAGTGACACATTTGTTAAGCACTTTGCTAATTGTTGAAAAGTTAAATGATGAAAAAATACTTTGTATTCATAGAATTGATTCTCAAAAACAAAGTTTTCAGAGAAGGATTAAAATTGCAAATGTTTAATCCCAAAGCAAGGTGGATTTTTAATCTTGTACAAATTCGTTTAAAGGAAAACATTTATGACTAAAGAAATATAATAAAACATGTTTTCTTTTATTATTCGTTTCATTTCAAGTTTCCTCAGACTATTTTGTCTTTGACAACTAATTGAAAAGTTCTGAAGAAAAATGTAGAGTGTAGGAAGAATTAAAATTTTTGCACTAATTGTTTTAAGGATAAAATGAATGATGTAAAAGAGAGGGTCAACTTCTAGAGGAAAAAGAAAGTTCCGTGTTCCAATTAGCTAAAATTTTGATCTATTTTAATATCCCATTCTCTTCCGCACTGTCTTCTGTTTGTTCTATCAATTGAATGAGTCAATCAGTTAAGCATCTCTTTTTGCTTATGTGTGAAATGAAATAAATGTACACAAAAGGATCTGCATTCAAAAAATATGTAAAAAAGAAGGATGATAAATAGTACCACAAAATAATTTCAGGAACGTGATACGAATAGCAAAAATTTAGTAGAATAAATTGGAGTGCTAGCTTTAAAGAGCTTGTCAACGAGATGAAAGTAGCTTTAAATATTTGTAGCTTCTTGTGCTCATTTTTGCAATAATTACCAGCTTAATTTCTAGCCCATAAATTTTATAATTCAATATTTCAAATTAAAAGTATAAAACATCGGAAAATTCTTATTGTTTCATTATAACGTAATAAAAGAAAAGTGAACGACAGATCACTGCTGTTTTGACATTGATTGCTTTGCAAACTATAAGTCATTTTCTGTGGCAGAGTTACGACAGTGGATAAGCGTGTAAATGGTAACAACTTTTATTGTTGATAATTTTGTAAAAATAGAAAAGATTTATTTGGATGACAGTTCGTTCCTTTGTAAGTGTATGCCAGTGTATTTTTGTAAGTGTATTTTTCTTTATATCACACATTATAACAGCCCTCTGAAACTTAATGAAATTCATTGAAATAACACTTGAAATTAGTTTTTGGAAGTACTAAGAGGAAGATAACACATTTTTAGATTTTATATATAGTTAATTGTTTTATACGCATTCAGCAAGTTTAGATATCTACTTGCAAAACTCTTAAATATGTTGAAAGCATAAAGAACAAATTTTTGAAGGCGTTTATGTAAGTGTTACATATAAAATTGTTCATAACATTAAAAATGTGTTCTAATAGAAAAGACAATTTATTCAGAATGAAAAAAATGTCGATGCAACTGCTTCATTGCATTACGACATGAAGCATGCGATGACGTAGGTCTTTTTTATGGAGCGGCATTGTATCCTCTCCATGGAGCGGCATTGTATCCTCTCCATAGAGCGGCATCGTATCTTTTCTATGAAACAGCATAGTGCGAAAGATGCATGATTAAAAAGAGTGGAAATTTTCAGGGGAAGGTAATGCTAACAATGGCTTTTGCTAAAGATAAATACTTTTTTTTGAATAGTTCAACAAATGTTTATTTAACAGATGCGGTGATGGAAATGAATGTAATTGTTATCAATGTAGTAAAGCGATATTAATGTTTGTCAAAGCAATATTTATTTAAAAAAGTCAAAAGCCATCTCAAAAATTGGTCGCTTTGATATTAGTGTCTAGAAAATTGTTAATTGCAATGCTCATATCTGCAATACTTCAAAATTTGATTTAAATTTGACTTATCACATTCAAATTGCTTCGAATTTCACCAAATCTGATAATTTCAATTTTCTGAATAGCTTACAAGATGTGACACGGAGTAATTATCAGCTTTCAGCAGAAGATGAAATTATGAGATGGTGGTTAATGCATCGAAATGAAATAAGAGCAATTTCAAAGCGATAAGTTGAAACGATTGATCATCAAATAAAACCTTATACTTTTGATAAATAGAACCATTTCAAGAAAAATTTTTCAGGATAATATCTAGTAATTAATTTAAATTACAGAAAATGTAATACAAACATGAAAATGATTGGACTGTCAGGATGTGAAGAAAGCATAGCAAGTGAAGAAAAGCACAATAAGTGCAGGAAATTTAGTTCAAAATGATTTTCGGTTTGTATGGCTAAGAATGAAATGCTGAATAAAATGTGTTTGAGTATTCTTCGAGAAATATTTCAAGCGGTCAAAAATTGAAATGCGCGGTTAAAAGCCGTTTAAGAAGGAAAAGGCTTTGAAAGATGGAGAAGTAGAATGGGATATAGGTGTCAGATGTCAATGCCATATGTTTCTTCAATAAACGCCTATTGCCAGGTAAGTAAAAAGGTGAGTAAAAAGGAAAGGAAAAAAGTATTCTGTAGTATAGAATATATAGAAAATAATAGATGTAGGAAATATTCTGAGGACATTTTCAGCGCAATCAATGCAATTGGAGGCTGCAACAGAAAAAGTAGCTAATTCACCTGCAAATATGGCCGTGAAACAAGTGTGACACAGTCAAGTACATGTACTCCATGAAACAAAGTTCATATTTTGATTTAATTAGTACTCGAGATGATACAATAGACTACTTTTCCAGATGAACAGGGTATCTTGGCAGCAAAATGTTACTCAAATCACATTGCGATTAATAGTGAGCCAAGTTTCGTTCATGGAATACGAAAAGGGACGCAATAGTGAGAGTTCATTGAAATGATCTGTTTGAAAATGTTTCTACTAAGTCAAGAAGAATGACAATATACGGCACACTTCTGATAGTTATTGAGGTTTATTTCACGGATCATTAATTTTTAAAATCATTTTTTTCACCAGATAAGTAGTAATGCCAACTAAGTATAAATTTGCGTTATCAAAAGTCAAATTAGTAAAATCAATTTTCAGTGGTGGGAAATAATTTATCCTTACATTAATACTTCAACAAAAGAAGAAACTGGAAGAGAAATAAACGATTGAAAAGGAAGCAAAGTACTTCCTAAAAACGTTTCTATTTTAAAAAATTTCGTTTTTTCTTTTTTTTTTTTTTTTAACCGAACAATGAGTTTCTGTCGCATAATGAGTGAAAGAATAATCTAGGGCGATAATACCAGATTCGTAAATTATTTTGGTAATTATCAAGATACTCTTTTGGCAACTGAATTTTGTGCTTCAAAAATACATTAATCATTTCATTGATCGCTGTTATCATTGTTATAAGCATCAATAATATAACTTTGTAAAATAATAAAAATTTAGATTATTAGCAAGCAAATAATGAAATGGAAGGTTCAGTACAGAAAGAAGCTTCAAACTGCAAGGTATTGCTTTGATATCCTATTAAAGGATGACATTCCTTGCAAGATTAAATGTGCACTTGTCATTTAGATCGTAATAACAATGACTGGTGCTTAAAATTTGCTTTTCGAATAATTATGGACGAAAAGTTTTAAGCAGTAATTTTAAACCAATTTCAATGTTCGAAAAAGAGTAAATCAAACAGTGAAATTAGCTTTTATATTAATGTGCAAGTTAACTTATTTTTATTTTATTTCAAGTTAATTAACTGAGTTAAAACGAAATAGAATTTCAACAAACACTGTGAAATTTGGATCATAAAGAAAAACAACTGTGAAAAAATTGGAAATATATTAATCATAAAGTTGTGATTATATGCAGTTACAAAATCAGGAACTTTTTGGAGTGTTTGAATTAGAACAATATTTAAGGGAAAGATAAAAGTCAAGTAGAAAACAAGCGAAAGGTGAAGTAGAGAAAAAAATTTCGAAGAACTGATTGAAAACCGCCAAAAAAATAAATAAATGAGTACATGTGACAAAAAACAGATGAGTTGCTGATCACAACAGCCAATAGAAAGGTATTTGCATAAACTACTCTCTCCATCACCTGTAACAGTGACCTTTGACCAGAGCAAGATACAACAGTTGAATCGAAAATTGCATTCTACTTCTCACATCACTTTCCCCATACACAATCAGCATAACCATCAAGTCAGAACAAAGGTCATTCATTTTTTCACCAAATATATCTAAACGAGATAAATGATAAAAGAAATTCAGTTGTAAACCTTCCTCTCACAGTACCGAAATTAAGAGTTTAAGAAAACCTGTTCTGTTCAAAAGAACAAAATAATCAAGTATGCTGTCACATATTTTTATTAGTATTTAGTAACAAAACACGTAGTTATAGCTGTTTGAAGCGGCCTAGGAACATTAGTATTATCCTTAGCAGTTGGCTTGGCTTGAACGCATCTTTCTATGTTGGGAATATGAGCTAAACTGCAATATTCTGTTATCCAAATAATTTGTTCAGAAAGTTAAACATAAAAATGCCGTGTACATTTTAAAAGTAATATTTTGATGGCAGAATGTGGCTAATGAGTAACTGATGTATTAATATTATATCATCACTTCAGTTTATTATTCATATTACAGCAGTCAGATTAGGTTAAAATGACATCAAACTGACTTGTGTATCCAAATAATTTCTTCAGAAAATTAAAACAATTAATTAGTCAATTCGCTAATTGGCTGTTTACAGTTTAAAACTAATGGTGAAGAATATGCAGTTTTAATTGGCTGGACAATTCATGTCATTTTATATCAATAGTGTTTCTCGCTGTATTTTGCGTTATTTGTACTTGTAGAAAATATGAGTTGGGAGGTTTTTTTTTTTTTGTTATTAAAACCTTCATAATTGAAAAAATATGCCCAAAACTGGTTGAAATGAACAAATAAAAATCACAGCAAATTTTTTTAGAATGGTTATTATGAATGGATTAGCAAAACAGCGTCGGTTCAATATGTAATGTTTTGGGAAAACTCGCATTTAAAAGGTTAAATAACAATAATTAATCAATAAAAGAAATAATGGTAATAATAGTAACAATAACAATATAATAATAAAAAACGTGAAGTTTTCAGAATCAAACATATGAATGACATCCAATGTTATAATCATATATGCTCTCATTTTTCTTTCAACAATATTATGCAGAGAGCCCTCTTTTCGAATTGAATTATTGATTAGATATTCGCAGACAGACCTTCATTAGACTTTACAGTTCTACCTCGGTATACCTAACTTGACAATGACAATGTTATAAAAAGTTTAAATTACTTAGATTCTCAATATGTCATTCCTCTTGGAATACATCATTCGATCAAATGACCTCCACTATAGTTGTGAAGAAAATTAATTCCACAGTGACGTCATTGGACAAGCATAAAGCACAATCCAGTACATATTTCAGTTGCTTATTCTTAGCGATACTAAATTTTAACCCTCAATTTTAACCAAAAAAAAAAAAAAAATTTTAACCCTCAATTTTAACCCTCGTGAATTAAAACCCGTCACTGACATCAAATTTCATTGTTATGCACACGAATTCCATGGAATTTGTTTGCATATTTTCCTTTTGTTTATATTTTGTTAATAATTATATACCCAGGGATAATATATGTAAATATGGTAAAATCAGAAGGATTATATTCGTGAGTTGACTGAATATCATAATTTGTATGTAATAAAAGTGAACAAAAAAAAGTTACTTTCATTTTCAAAACAATGTAAATGCTATTCTTAAGCAGAAACTATGACATACAAAATCGTCAATTTAAATTTCCTATTTCCTTTATAAGATAAAGAATTTTGAAGTAATTTTGATAAATTTGATATTTTCATCATTTGAAGTGAGTCAATTTTTGAAGGATGAATTTCAAGCACTGTGGCAGTCACTAATTTGCTTTGCGAATCAAAACCTTTGAGTTGCTATGAAATGTCATTTGCAGTATGATTACATTCTATAAGCAGAAAGGAAAGAAGCACCAAATTAATTTGTTTATTATATGGTGGGAAAATAGTATATTAAATGAAGTAAACTAGAGTAGCAGAAAAAGAAGTATTATCGTAGTCCTGTTACTGAAGTACCTATCTCTCTTTGGATCCCTTTTAATAAGTGTCACTTCAATATGGATAGCTACCTATCCTTTATCTTTTTAAGGGTAATATTGCATAAGGATGTGATCAATTCGGATCTTATCAAAACTTCCTATTCCATTCACGAATCGTTAATGTAAACATAGCGGTTGACAAAAACACTAGCCATGGATTTATAACTTGTTATGGTTTACTTATCAGATTTGTACAATATCCTTGACGGTAGCACTAGTACAATTACGGTGTTCACAAGTGGTTTTTTATAATTAAGTATCGTTAAAGTTAATGTAAGATATCTAAAAATAATATCATGCATTTTCCTCTTCTTTCAAAAAGAAAATATAATATCACGGACAACAGCAAATTGGTTTGCAATGATCGCATTTGAATTTAGTTTTGTTTGCAAAGCAGAGGACAACGAAATACAGAACTGTACATATCAGAGGTGGTGATTATTCGCGATGATGGGCTGTAGAATGCCAGTCGTAATGCTGGTATTTTCAGCAAGTAGATATATCTCATTATTTTGCTCTCAAGCTTCTTAGTTCGAGGCGGATTTTGGAATCATCTTTTCGAAAACTCTACGTTTCGAATATTCTAAAATCGAGTTAGATTGTTTTCAGCTTCAAAGCATGTATCTATGCTGTATACTGACTGGAATCAAATGCATTCTTTGAGATCAATCAACAATGAGAGAATTATACTGTCTTTATGGGAAACAAATTGGAAGGTTTGTAAGTGTAATAGCTTTCGTTGGATTTTTGGAAAAAAATTCAATTGTATATATCAGATTGCTCGGGAATTCATTAAATTTAACCACAAAACTCAACCTTTTTTAAAATTTTGGAGAATGCATGCAAACGAACGCACGCCAAGACTAATGCAGCCTAGGCACTTTATTGTATATCCGCATGGAAAGCCTGCAATGACAGTATCTTCGAAGTGGCTTGAAAAAGAATTGATATGCTATTAAACCAATAATGTAACGAGCTGGGGGCGTGCCTCACTTAGCTACAGATGCTCTTGGATAAATCATCATTAGCCTCAAACATCTTCTATTGTCCTGGGATCTTGAACCACAGAACCAGGAGACCTTGAAGGTTTCGATGTGGAAAGGCATAGGTACTGTAGGTCTGTTCGATGCGAGTTCTTTATAGAAATTCTTTTAAAGTTAATTGCAGAACAAAATAAATTATAATATTTGGTTGTGACTATCTTTTTTTCTTCTGTTGTCTATTAAATTGTCTATACTTTCCCATTAAAACTCTCCCTTCTATGACAAAATCTTTACTTTTAGTAGTATTGTCACTGTAAATCGTTAGAAATCATTGACCAATTTCATCTTCAGAAAGCACTGATAGAAAATTAAAATAATTAAAAACCTGATAAATTTAGAATTTTGGTTGTTTTCATTTTTTGAATACAATACATACATATAATTCTTGAGCACTGTAAGCTTTAAATGAGGCAAGTGTAGAGAGCAAGATGATTTAAACTTTATTGATATTCACTTTGCATAGATTACTGTCCGACATCTATTCTATCGGTACTTTTTGAAGATGAAATTGGTCTATTCTAAAATTTATTCAAACTTCAGATCGCAGTCAAGATGACACTAAACCCAAATAATTTATCATTAAGTGGACTCGGTCCCAGTAGTATAGAACAAATTCTACGACTCCGACAAGAGCGTAATCAACGGATACCGAAATGTGCCCGTTGCCGAAATCATGGCATTGTTTCGGCATTGAAAGGTGAAAAACTGATAATGTTAATAATGGTCAATAATGTGCGTAGAAAGTTCAAAATTGCAAAAACCAGCCCAAACAAAAAGTGTGCAAATAGTGGTTTTCAAAAGTTTGGGGTCATTTTTGATATTACATAATTTATTAAGATTTCAAAGGTTCTAGGATAAATCTCGAGTGGCGCTGTTATTTTAATAATTTAATTAATAATCTGCAAAAATTCGATATTTTGATCCATCTTACTATCTTCAATAAATATTTGAATTATCAAAAATCGCTGTCCTAAAATGTTTTAGGCAGTTCTCGATTGATGCTAATTTCTTCAAGCTGTTTCCAGGACATAAGCGTTACTGCAAATGGAAAGATTGTCTGTGCGCAAAGTGTACGTTGATTGCGGAACGGCAGAGAGTGATGGCGGCGCAAGTCGCGTTAAGACGGCAGCAAAGTCAGGATGAGAAAGAGGCTAAAGACTTAGAAATACTACTGGGTGTTGAGAGAGGTTCGTTTCTTTCTAAATTTTGTCATCCTTTATGTTTTGTATTGATTTTATTGAATCACTTTTACTTTCAAGTTTCAATAGTAAACAGTACTCTGGCATAGGTTTTTATAAAATTTCTATACTTTCCTTTCGCATCTCTTATTTTTCAGCTGGAAAATTATTGAAATTCATGCGACAAGGTGAAACAACTACCAATGATAATAGAAGTGAAAATATGATTAATGGTGGTCTGTCACTTGAGGAAGGTTACTTGCCATAAATTTTGAGTTGTTAAATGAACTGCTTATGATTCTAAAAACAGATCGTATTGCTTTAAAATGCTACGATCGATTAACTTTTAAATGATTCATTTGCTATTTTGAACGTTGCAACAAAGTATTTCTGCACCGGTACATAACCTCTTTACCATTGATAACAATATTTCACTAGGGAATTCTTGAAATTCTTTCTCTTTTATAGTTTTTGTCCCAGTTAATTTAAATTTGTTAATAGGCCTTATGAGGCAACATAACAAACACAGATGTTGATCATTCTTTGTTACTTTACTGTCCCTTTTTCAGCGAACTAGCTGTGAAAGTAAACATATTACAATGGACATTGTACTTCAGTGACCATTCTCTAAGGAGAACTGCTCAGATTACAGTTTCACTGTTTGCCAATATAATTCAGGCAAATTAGCAGAACAAGTTAAAAGTAGGGATGGATTTCTTGGTATCATAGAGTAGTTGGATAAAAAGCATGAGTTAAACTTAATGAACATGAATCTCAAGTAAGTATCTGGCTACCTCAGAAATCCAGAACAGATAAAGTAGACAGAAGGACAGTGCGTCTGTCATTACACGACTTTCAATTAACGGATGCAAATAACATCAAGTACTGTTATTTGCTGCAGAAGTGCGAGGTATGTCTAGATAAACAAACAAAATGAACGTAGTTTGACTTGTGAGCTATTCTATATGCATAACCCTATCAGATTGCAACATGTCATGGCCATCGGACTTTGTTGGGTAAACAATTAGGACATAAAATAGCTAAAGTTAGGTTAAAAAGTTTAATTAATTAATGGTAATGTGTTATCTATTGTTACAAAAACATGCATGTAATTAGCACCTTATGAAATTGATAGGAATATAAATTAATTATTTTTGAATTGGCTTGTCAGTTGTGTAAACATCGTTTCGTTACGAGAAAAATGTGATCCAGTGCAGAATTTTAATTAATGATATCACTGTTGCTTGGTTATAAGGATAGATCATTACTGAAGTAGTATCTTATTTGCGCTTACTTTCTTACTTTTTAGCTACGTTTTTAATGACCCCTTTTTTTTTTTTTGATAAGTAATTTTATTCTTTATTTCTTTAGTTCACTTGTGAATCACAACATTTCCGATGGCGGCAAAATCTTATCTCTGAAACATAAGCTTGCCATGAAGAGAACGTTTAATGAGCTCATAAGGATTAACGTTAATCGAAAACATATTAGTACCGCAACTGCCAGAAGGTCAAATTGAATAGCTCTCTGCTAAAGGTCATCACAGAATCAAGTCAACAATCAAAACACAATTAATTGCATATATGTACTCCAACAGAAATTGTCCACGGAAGGATTATCCTTGAATGACGAGAAAGAATTATAGGCAGATGCCCTCTTATTCCACGGCTCTTTTCGAAAATGGCGCAATACTTAATTATTATTTCAACTATATCCTAACTACAGTTAGATTATACCATAACATGTTCAGATTTAAAAATTAGAATCATCACGTATTTAAATTTATCTTAGAAGTACAGTAATTCTTGGTTGTGAAAGAATAACAGAATTTATAACAGTCTGTGCATGAACACATTCCTTCTTTGTAATCAGTTATCCGAGAATATCAGCAACAGTTCTACTACTTTATAATAATACGGAATAACTGGATTTAAATCAGTTTCGAAATTCAAAAATTTTCGGAATTACAGAGGACAAAGCGAAATCGCCGCAATTAATCAATTTGCCATCAACATCATTAATAAAACCGAAGACATCCTCACCAAATGCAGCTACCAATCAGGAAAATTTCTCCTTTTCATCCACAACAACACATCGACGATCTAGAAACAATGATACAGCAGATCGAGAAAGCAATAAGGTTTGCTTGAATTTCAATCTGTGAAAAACTTCCGAACACCAATAGAATTTTAAAAAAATTGAAGTACAATACTCTCCAACATAGCCTTTTAAAGCAGAAAATATTCATAACATTAATCATAACACTACGTATTTATAGTCACCATTTGATGTGATAGAATCTACGGAATCTCAACAGCAGATTTGGTCTGCACAATGGTCAAATCCACTAAATTTTTGCACATTCCAGCCATTGGCGCCTCTTCCATATCGACCCCAACATTTCGGACAAAGTAAATCTCGAATATTTTAAAAATTCCCATATTTGTTTCTCTCCAGTAGGCATAGAAAGCAAAGAATAAGGATGAGAGAATCAAATCAAAAGATGTGAGATACTCATATGAATGTTAACAATAATATCAACAATAATAACACGGAGGTACCACAACTTTTAGTATTATTCGGCACGGTTTCTCACTGATCTTCAATTATTAGATTAAAACCGCAGCAGTTAAGTTCTCAAATCCTTCCTTAACATATCCAACATTTCTATTTTGAGCAAAATAAACGATCATAATGTATTTCAACGATCACAATGTATTTTTCTACAGCTGTTTTCCCATTTGGTGTTGGTTGTTACCCCATCAATCCAGCGATGCTGTACACGAAATCTCCATTTCCCAGTGTACCTGAAGGTGACCAATGCTTATGTATTCATTCTTCGTAATTCCCTCCATCTTAGTTCCTATCCATTCATTTATCAGTATATGAGGGAAATAACTGTTTACATTTATTTGCAGGTGCAATTCCACAAATACTCCCATGTGACACATCTCAAACCGCTACACAGTTCTCGTATAACTCGATTGCACCACTGCCACCAGTTCAAGCAAATCCTTTGGATTATCGACAGCATGTCAAATCTTCCAACTCAAATGAAGACCTTCTTGATGAATGAAATCAACGACTATTTACAAATTTACCTCACATATCATCAAACTATTCTCTACACAGAAAGCCAACGAATGATGTGTGACACTGTTCAACAGGATGGAACACCATTTTAGATTATACTGGGATTTTATAAAACGAAATATTTTGTTAAGTATTATGTGAGATATATAGACAAGTTTTGTAATAAAAACCTTATGCATAATTATTTAATAGATGTTAAAAACAACTGGAGAATGTAATACGAATCGCAAAAATACAGTTCGAACATAAACGTAAGGATTATATAAATCATTTATGAATATTTAAGCTTATCTGCTAGTATGAAAAATCTCAATTACATACATTAAGGGAACTCGTAATTTTATTGATTCATGAACTTTTATTTTGCAAAAATCCATAAATAAAAAAGTGAAACACTCACACTCGATAACATTACATTTGAACATGCGCTTTAAAAGGAAGCAGTCGTACACTCCTAATTAGAATTAACCTTGGTTCGGTACGTTCATGATTCCATATATTAAAGCAATTCATAGATTTGCGCGATTTTATGCCATAAGTATATCCTTACCAAGTCGCTATTTCTTTTTCATATTCGTCTTCTTCAAAAAACGGCTTATCGATAGAGCTGTAAAAAGGTATTACAGTAAAAGAGGATATGAATTACTTAAAAGTGGAATCAATGTTTACATTTGCTATTTGAATGTAAAACCCGGTGAAAAATTGTCTTCTGAAAATTTCCTCATAGAAAATCAAGTGTAACACACAAAACTGATCCAAAAATTTAGTAATGAAAGAGTAAACTAACTTAATCATTACAATACCACAAAAGATACAATCACCAGCAACAGTATCATTAATTTCATTGCGTATATGTTCCAGCTCTTCTTGAAATTCTATAACACGCGAAACTCTATTATTGTAATGGAGGTAGTTAGAAAACGACGAATTTCTTGAATTATTAAATAAATTTACCATTTATTTTCTTTTGTGCCCAGTTTGAAGATTTCGATTTTTCAAGTTGCTTCTCCAATATTTTCTCCTTTTCAACCAAACAGCTATATTTTTCCTGCTCTTGCTATAAAAGCAATTTTTCTCTATTAACATAGAACAACAAGTCTTACCATGATTTTTTAGACGGTATTTGAAGTATTTAAAAAAATGCGAATATAAACAGAAACAGTATAGTCTTCGTTAAAGAATAACTGAAACTTTCAATCAGTTTCTAGAAGTTTTTAAGTTCATGAAAATTTCTTAAATTACATGCAATTTATACCAGAGTCCAGTGAGATTTCAACTCCGATTCTAAGCAATCCTTGTGAAAAAAATGTCGGCAAGCAAATGTATAAAACGGTCGCATCATCGCAGGTTCCGAACATGAAGCACATTGATCGTTAGTACGAATTATGGTGAACCGGAAATGAACTACTAATTGAACATTTGTTGTTCAACCAAAACAATATCAATATAAGTTTGGGTGAAATTTAAGACTTTAGGAAATCACGTTTTAAAAACACAAAAAATTGCTACTTATTTTTTGTCTTTTCCATATTGTTACGGATTCGCTGTGCCATTTCCGTTGCATTCTTCATTTCCAATTGAAGTTGCTGAAAAAACGAAATATGCAAATATAAGTGACAGTAATTTAGTTCTAATACACATCGAGAAAAAAAAAACTTTTGTCTTCTAATTTGTTAGATGTAGCTTAACCTTGATTTTTCCGGAATGCTCTTTTAGACATTCACATAATGGCCCTTTAAAATATTCGATAGTCGTAAATTCTGGAAAGAATGGTAGTAAGTCCTGCAAACAAAGAACTGTGCTAAAAATTCAGATGATTCAGACAGTGATTTTCAAATTTATGCAGAATAAATTAAAATAACTGAGAATAAAATTAAAATCAGATTTGGTAAGTGAAAGCAAAAGTTAAATAAACCTGTATTTTGATAGTGTTATCCGATTCTTTCAGCAGGCTTACGCATGCAGCTATATCTTCTTGCTTCTCAATTACATGTCGCGCTGCAAAACAGATATTTGAATAAAGAAAAGTTTTTTACCGAAAATTGAAAAGAGCTAAAATGGAATAACTAAATGTTAACATTCAAAACTTTATCCTTAAATAAAAGTAAAATGTTCAACTAATTCAGTGGATAAAAGATGCAGCTGTATGGAACGCAAAATTCAAATTTGTTTTGATAAGAGTTAAATTCAAACAGTTACGAGGAAAGCTAAATACAACATACCTATTTGAAGCCAAGTTTTTCTTCGCATCTCAATCGAAAATTTGGGCTTCATTGAATTAGGCAGCAAGAAATCGTATTCATTTTCATTAGGTTCCACCATTCGTTTTGCACAAGTTTTTGCCAATTCAACATCAATCTACAGAATACAAAAATTGTAATTCCTTTTTTTTTTTTTGAAATATAAGAAGAGAAAAATATCTCAAAAACATGCACCGTTAAAGCAAGAGAAACAGCTTCGTCGTACAGTTCATTCACACAATACATAAAAACACAACATCGCTTCAATGCTGGAACAAATGACAAATAAAAGAAGCAATAAATGAATTTTTAAAGTCTTCGAAAATAGAAATATTTTAAAAGACTGTCGTCGGTTAAATATACCTTGTCTCTCAATACAAACTCTTAGGGCATATTCAACATCGTACGGAACTAGATTTCTGTCATAACCGTATTTTTCAAAATAATTCAACAGTTCTTCCTGCTTGAACCTAAAAAAATCAGTAATTTTCGAAGATTTAAAAGTTCAACATGCAATAAATTAAAACAATATGACTTACTCAGCACATAATGTTATCATAAAATTATGCATTGCTCGGCTTGCCCAATTTTGATCTATTACAAAACTGAGATATTTCAAAGCAGCAGTAACCTTAAATTAATTAATTGAAATATGAGCACAAGTATTCAAACAGAAGTAATAAAAAACGAATTCTCAGAATAATATTTTAAACTATTATATTTATTCACTATGCTAATTTTATCATACCAAAAGATTTCAAAACCCTTAGAAAAGTGATCAAAATTTATATACCATCTTTGTTTTCGACACATCTTGACAACGATACAGCGCCGGCAAAAGACGATCCGACACAAGTCTCTTACCTTCCTCGATCCAAGCTGCTATTAATTCGGTTGGTATTTTCTCGATTAACAATGGAGAATGCTTATAATAAAGTTCCAAAATGTGCTAGAAAATGTATGTTTTTACCAAAAACGATTTCTATACAAATATACTCCAAAAATTAATATCTAATATTAAGAACCAGATTAGAAAGTAATGTTAAAATATTTGAGAAATATGAAATAAAATTATCAATATTCAGGGGATGTACAGTTGTTACTTATCTACTAAAAAGTTAATACCTGTCTTCGTATCACTTCCAAAACTTTCTCATAGTCAGACTGCAGCAAGTAAACATTTACAGTTGTCACATAATCTGAAACCCATATGAAAATGTATTTTCGCCAAAGGTTTGCAAGTTCTGGTAAATCAAGTAACATTCAAAAGAACAAACCTTTTAGCTTTTGAGCGAGGTAGAGCTGAATATCAAAGTGTGCATGTGAAGTGATTAGATGATAAACTGCGTCACGATTTACTTCCACAGCTTCCTGAAACCGATTGTTTTTTTTAAAATTTTTAATGTCGATCTAAACTGTTTTGTGTGGTGAATAAATATTGGATAATAAATCACAATTTCGCCTATCGTTTATAACTACAAAATGATGATTTTCTAGAATAACAGTGTATTCAGAATTTAGTCACAGTCTAAAATTAGTTCTAACTAACCAGAACAACAGAGCGAGCAAGAAATAGTTCAATTTGCTGACGCATATTTTTGATTTGCTGCTCAATATTTGTTCCTTCGCTTGTTAACTCTGTTCCCTCCAACCGAGCCTGTTTCCCATCTCGACGTAACTCTGCGAATTCTGTTAACTGTACTTCCAACAACCAGAGAACCAAGGCATCTCTTTGTATTTTATCCTGGTAAATTTATATTCAATCAATAATAAGAATTACGAAGCAAAAAAACTCTCGAAAAATTATATGGCTTTTTAATTAACACCTCCGTATTTGACATTGATTTCAACTTAAGTTCCAAGAAACGTTTAAGACCATCTCGCCGATCCTCCTTCGTTGACAAAAATTTAAGTAATATAACTTCAAAAGGTTCGGTTGATTCCGCAAGGACTTCCGCTGCAGCAGTGAAACTAAAAACTTCATGCTATTTTACATAACTTTTGAAGTAAAACTGTCAACAGGTTGTAATTTTCTATATTTTAAATCTAATGTAAAGAAAAAGATGAAATATAAATGCGAATTAAGTAATAAAAGATTGGAAATTATACTTTTTTTCTGCAATGTATTTTTCAGCTTCTTTCTTAACAACTAGCTGATGTGGTGCTGGATTACTCAATTTATTTGTGATAGTCCGTGCTTTTCCGTAGTCACCACGTTCCAAATAGATCTGCCAAATGTCTCTGGAAAGGAAAAGTCTCAATCAGATGTCGAATCAAATGTCGTAAGCCATGAAGAAGAAAAATAAATACCTGAATTCTTCATTTGGCCGATACTTCCACACAGTGACATCAGTATATACCCAAATCATTTCGGACACAGTATCACGACACATTCCTTTTACCTGACCACAATCCTAAAACAATCTTTAAAACACAAAGATGCAAAAGCATATTTAAAAAACCATCAGATACCACCAAATCTGAAAGATTACCATGCATTACAGGAACAAGTGTTTTTCTTTTTAGCTGAAATATCTAACTAACCGTTCCAATGGTATCATCAAAAATTGGCCTCTTATTGAGTAATGAAACAGCTTCAATATGATTACTATATAATAACAAAACATTGTATTCTGTTAATGCAACATCCAAAGGATAACTGTAACGTCCATCCATTAATTGATGTCTGAAATCGCTTGTTGAAAATTCGTTACAAGCTATACCAAAATTAATATTTTTAATGCAGTTTTTCTAGAATAACTTGTTCAACATAAAAACACTGTAATTTTTATGCTATACTATCCTTCACAAATCATTTTTACGTTTCTTAAATTCTGTTCTACACAACTGACTTAGAAACTGCAACTTACTGTATATGTGCTTCTTCAACAATCATGTCATATGCTTCTGAAACTGTCAAATCTATTCGTCCCAGTGTGTAGCCATCAGCACCAACCCAACAAAACGTAGTTGGTTGTTCATTACTCACTTTTGGATAGACAACAAATGTGCTAGGCAAACTGCGTTGCCCATCATCCATAGAATGAAAACGAACTGATGCTAAAAAAAATTAGATATAAATTTTGCCAAATCAGTAAATTAGGTAACAAGAAATCGAAGCATCTGATAATCGCAAATATTACAGTAAATTTAAAAAGATGGACAAAATAATTCTATGGCGAAATATAAATCGTATATTAAGCCAGTTTATCTCAAACACTGAGAAGTACTAAATAGTAATAATTAACCTTTGGAAGCAAATAAAGGCTGTAAGATAGCATGATTATATTCAGCAAACGCAGAGCTCCAAATTGTACTCATAACTGGCTGTACCCCAGTAACATCATGCTTCGTACTGATTTGTCCGCTCAAACAATACAGCCTTCCAGGAAGACACACAAACATAGCCCATCTGAGATTAGTATTCTAACGAATATCATGAGAAACATATACAAAACAAAAAAAAAAAATCGGTGGAGAAAATTACCTCGATTTCTGGTTTTCGTCTTCACAATGACACATTTCAATGCCAGTTATAGATAGATCTTTTATTCCGCTTAAATTACTGGTCAATTCACGAACATAAGCAACTGTGCCACTTGAAATGATCGATGATTCAAACAGAGAACCTATATTTTGAAACTTCAGATCAAACTTTTGGCGACAAAAAGTTCATTAAAAAGTGCTTCCAAATCAGAACTTAAGAAAATGGCAGAAGTGCCGGTTTTTTTTAAACGGTTCAAAAAAAAAAAAAAAAAAAAAACAAACATTTTCAAACACTATTTGATATATTGGTTTTTGTGATCAAAATATGGATCTCTTTTCTGTTCCTAATTAAATTCTATAAAGTAACCTTTCGTAGTACCCAGAACGATGAAGCCTGTTTCGTTATCTGTTAAAACTTCCATATTCCAACCTACGGAACTTATCACATGTCCCTGAAAAGTTTTTTTTTTAATATTTCAATATTTTCGCTTTCCACAAAAAAGACCTTAAAATTACAGAGCTTTCTTCCGAATTTCCTTCGGGCACCAAATTCAACTTTGTGTTACATAAAAAGATGTTACTTTCATTTTTTTCAACTGTTTTGCTGAATCGTGTTTCAAATTCAAGTAAAAATTATCCGCGCCAGTTGTACTTATGATTGCATGACGACCATTAGGACTAAGATGAACATAAGCAATACGATCATGCATTAATAACGGCAAAACAACATCTGAAAAATAGCTTAGCTTAGGAAAAATTCCCACTAAAACTCACAAAACTACAAACTCTGTCTAGAAAAACAAGAATTTGATGAGATCCATAAACTGAAGTTATTGATAACAAAAAAAAAGACAATTTGCTATAAAACAGCGAACTACTTCTAACTACCGTCTAATGTATCGTGATTATGTTTAAAAAGGATTTCCCTTACCCCTCACGACACAACAGAATACACCAGTAGGTTTAGTGATCTCTTATAACACTCTGCCATTCATTTTAGACAATTTTTTTTTTAGTTTTTAAAACTAGGCGTTATAAAAATTTAAATATTAAATCTTACCAAACAAAACTCATCCAACCTCCCAAAATCAGAGAAAAAATTGATGAAGAGTAATTAAATTCTTTTTTTTTCGTTTTTAGAGTGTTGTTAAAATCAGCTGTGGTAATTTACCAATTTGCCTACTAGTGTTTTGAAGTGCATAATGAAGCAGTTGTCGTGCACCGATTACCAGCAACATTTCACCATTGCTCGAACATAAATGGGTTATTTGACCTTTCGGTCTGAAAATTATTTTATGTGAAAACCTATAATTTCAAGAAGGTAAATCATTTTAGCAATATGATAGGTAAACTCACCGGAAATCAACTAATTTCTTGATAAATATCGCACTGTCCAGCTTACTTGAACTCTCCATCTGAGCAGTTTTCAGACCACGAGAAACAAACTATTCATGTTTCTGGTATCATACCAGCGCGACATTTTGGCTGAAGCACAAATGAAGTGTTTTATTTTATTGAAAAGTGAAAATTTCGAAAATATGTAAAGCAAATTCGTGCAGAGAATAATTTACACGCAATAATAGCTCAGTAAGGAACAAAGAAAAAAATAACGTCTTAGTATTACGTTGTCCAGCGTTGTTCAAGAGGTGTTTTATACAGGAAAGATAAAGGTTAGGTCTCTGGAGATCGTCTAGTTCATTTGCAATACTCATCCTGCTATGTTTATTTCCCTTTCAAACGCATTATGTATCCGCCGTATCTTTCGAGGTGACTCCTACGACGACCTGTACTATCTTTAGAGTACTATCTTTCGAGGTGACTCCTACGACGACCTGTACTATCTTTAGAGTACCGTGAAGTCTCAAAGAGCAAACTCTGTTATCAATCTAAATTCTCCCTTCTATTTCTAGTTTAATAACAATTGACGCTGATAGTTAGATACCTAATAACAGTGAATAAGCTTTTTAACATACTAAGACACCATAAATGTGGCTCACGTGTACAAACCGGAATATAACACTGAGGCGAGTAGGAGTGAGCAGAAAACTGGCGAAAGATTTGGGTGACATTTACAGTCTCATCCCTTCCCCTTATCTGTCACCAGTCAATGCATGGTGCATTGCAAACATTTAATCCAAAGCTTTTATAGCTGACTCACCTCCCATATCACTGTTGTAGAGGAAAAGATCAAATCGATCCAAGCATTTGTGAATTAATGGACATCTCATAAACAGTCCCATTTTCGGGCCATATTTCTGCTGCGATACTATCCGGCATGTGTCGATCGAGATGGTGTGCACGTGTCGATGCCTCGCAGGAAATGCCTGATGCAAATGAGGAATGATTATATGTCAACAGAAGAAGAGGATATTCTCTTTCTTTTCATAATATGGAAGTTTGGTCAGTCGTCCATCCTACATAGCTGTTTTAAAATGAAGTACTAATTTCATCAGTCATTCCTCAAAATTCCATTTATACAAGAGCTAGAATCTAAGTTGATTTTAATATCCGTATTTCAGTTATAGCTTACTGTTTCCACATGCATATGACATTTCATTAGAAATTGAAACTTTACAGTTTTTTTTTTTTTTTTTTTTTAAAGAATTTAGTATCATTCTGTTCAAGAGTATTTTTTTTTTGTGAATTTCACACTGAAGTGTTTTTAGAGAAATGAAATAAATTTTGTTTAAGCTTTCATTTTTTCAATTTCAGTCGAAAAATTACCTGCATTGAAATGAAAACAAGATTTGTGACACTTTTTATGCATTGCAGTTATAAAAGTATGCATCCACAATGGGAGCAGCAAGTTGTTGCTTTTTTGGGAACAAATGATTTTAAATTTCAAATTTTTTGAATCATTCTCTAAACATTTGTCTGCTCCCCCCTGATTTTAGTGTGATCCTAAAAATTATATAATAATAAATCAATATGTAGTGATTGAAACTGACTTCACAAATTTGAATTTCTCAAGTTCAACTATTACAGTGTATTACAAGAATTAGTGCAATTCGTTTGCATGTACATTGCAGGCTATGTTAATTTCAGAATACAAGCTGTACTGAACGTACAGTCCTCTTTTTTTCTGATGACATATTTTTTAATTTCGTTGAGTTAATATCGGATAAGTATCAGACGATCATCAGATAACGTGTCATTTGTAAGTCACCTGTTATATACCAAACGTACATCAAGTATGTGTTGTAATTTTGAATTAGTCAGGAAGTTGAATGAAGTCCGTTCTTAAAAAATTTTCAAGTTAAATTATAAAGTGATTTATTTATACTTCATTTGTTATATCTAAAATAGTACCATAGAAAAAGTCTTTGCTATCATTTTTTGATATTTTTGATTGCTGATTTAGTATTATTATTTATTTCCATAAATCTGAGTTTTTAAATTAATGAATATCCAGCAATTACCTCAAAGATAGAATTTTCTGGTATAATGAAGCAAAAATAATCGAAGTTTTGATGTTGTTTAACAAGAAACAAACTTTAAATCTCTTCGGAAATTCAAATTTTTTTTTTCCAAAATTCTTTCAATAAAAAGCGAAAAATATCAAAACCTATGAAAGATTTCACATTACCTCATTATATCAACAATTTTACTTTATTCCTGCTTTGCTTTCAGAAATGCCAGTAATTTTTTGAATTCTATCTTTGAGGTAATTGCCGAATATTCTTCATTAATTTTTGTATTTTAAATGGAGCTTTCTTCTAAATTCGTTGATTTAGTAAGTGAGAATTTAATTAATTACGAAATTATTTGCTATAAACAATCTTTGTCTACAAAAATTCTCTCTATGATACTGTATCGTTTCTATTATCAAAAAAAGTCTATTAGAGATGCTATGCTTGTATCGAAAATAATGAATCATTAATAGTTTTTCAGGTGAAGCCCGTAACACTGAGGCCCTATAATCTTCTTATAGTTTCTGGTAACAATCTCTTACTCAGAAAATCCAGTTTGGATTGCTACGGAAGGTTTAAACTTTGAAGCATAAATTTTTTCTTTTTTCTTTTCTATCTCTATTTCCCTTACTCCTGCAATAAAAGTTATTAGTTCATTCTTTCAAAGTATAAACAGAACTATTTTGCATTACTCTCATTGATGCTCTCTTTAACCATCGAGGAATGAAAAGTGAATTTAAAGAATGAATAACAATAATTTTCGGAATCAGAAGCTGAAAATCTGACAAGTGTAAGGCAAATTTTGAAAATGAGAATTGGAACTCAAATGGAAATGACATTATTTCAGAGTACATACAGTATGCATTTCTTTCTGATCATATTTGGGCACGGAATAAAGTCTGGTCTAACTAATTTATACACCATTTATAATTTACGTGGATAATAATGAAATGGAATATTTGAAAAAGATTAGTTATCGATTAAATGAAATAAATTCAGAGTGTAAAACTATGAAGTGCAACACAGCCACGAATTTACTACCAAATTTCTTAATCTTCTATACGTAATTCTACAAAAGAACCATCCTGCACAATGCCAATTAATTGGAATTTAGCAATTTCTCAATGTGATTTCGTGCAAAATGAACAAATTAATCGTAAAAGTCAAGTTTAGATGAGGACAAAAATAGAGACTCCACGTCACTTTAGAAATGAAAAATGTATACATAATACTTTAATATCTATAATTCAGATTGCAGTATACAAGAAAATCTTTACAGCTCGCGTTACACACATATATATGTACTAGTATGCAATTATTATATCTTTGTTAAACGTAGAAGACGGAAGGATATTAAAACGTAGCATTTGCAGAATCTCTAAGGAAAATGAGATTAAAAAAAATATTTTGTTAAAAGGCAAATGAAAACATTTGAATGCAAATATTGGTTTCTTTTTTCTTTTTGTTGTGTTTTCTTAAGTAAATATTTCAGAGAAGGAATAGAACAAAGATCAATAAAAGAACAGAGAGTAGAAATATTTCACATCCTGTAGACTAAATTACAAAACGTACAGGAGAGAAGGGAAAGAATATCCGAAAATGATTACTTAACTGAGAGTGTAATTGTAAGCCACAAATAAAATGTAAGCCACGTGGGGGATTAGTGAAAAGAAGTTTATAAACTTCACATAATTTAAAGAAATCTCAATTATTAATATCTCCATCCACTGAACTTCTCATCTGCATTTAGTGTATAACTGGTTTTTACTGTATTTCATCGGTTGTTTGTGTCACGGCTTTTTATCTGTCACAGACTTTGCCATCAAATATTTTTCATTTTTCTCTCTTCTCTCCTCCATAGAACCGGAATAAAGCTCAGCTAGGTCAGCTTCGATAAACCCTTGCAACGAGTTGAGTGTTATTTATTCCTTTCAAGAAATGAAGACTATTATTTACGAATGCACAGACTTTTAATTGATTCGGCCATTTTTAAGTATCGTTTCCAGAACGGCGCCATAAAACATGATCAGGAATTATTGGGCGGATCATTTTAAAGTCTGTTTATTTCCAAATTCGTAAAACATTATTTCAGATTTTGGAATAATTTTTCCCAAATAGGTTTCTGATTCGAGAATTTCCAAAAAAAGTTTTTCTTCAAGTCACGTCCACTCTTTCCCGATCGAGAGAGTCTATTAACCTTTCCCTATTCCATAGAGCACATGCGACTAAAGCAAAATGTTTATCACGCGTGTTTGTTGCGCGTGATGCTTTTTGTATCTTGAGCGTGTCTGCTCGTGTATGTCACTGCATGTTTGTTTAACATCTGTATGTTATATTGTGTGTGCATGTATTCGTGTGAATGTCCACAAGGAATCAGAAACACGGTTAAGAGTAGAGGGAACAATCCATGAGTCAGATGTTGCTGTGCTTTATACTGGTCGTCGCATTTTGATGAGAATCAGCTGGTCACTTTTGTTAAGCAGAGGTATAGACTAAGTTCCAACACATACGCTTTCTCTAGGCTATCTAAGCACCTTCACTCCCGAAGATAAGAATCTCACCTGGCGTACGCTCCCATTGCTAGCAGATGTCTTCCCAGCAACCCGTTCGCTCATTTTTCCGCCTCTCCTGTTTACTTGCTTTTGTATTCATTCAGCTTGCAAGAGCTGGCTGGCTGTGGTAGATGTCGCTGTTGACAATAATGATATGTTGTTAAAATGTGCATAATCTCTCTCTCTCTCTCTCTCTCTCTCCCTCCCTCTCTCTGTATATGCACTAGCGGAGCAGTCCCTTAACACATCATTCGGTGGAATGTCACTTGCCTCTTTCCAGACTATTTCCATGTTGTTCTCATCATTATTCTCATATTTTACAGGTATTCCCTTCATCCTGATCCAACTTCGCTATTTCCCTCTTCTTTCTCTGCTAGATGAATTGACACATTAGTTTTACTTTACACGGCAATAATGTCAGTATGTTCAGAAATTCCTGATGATAGTGATGGG